TTCCTCTTTTTTTCTTCACTTTTTTCCATGATTTTATTACTGAAGAAACTTTTGTTTATGGTATTATTTCCATCACACCTATGGGTTAGCATTTCTCAGAAGCTTGACAGTTTTGCAGTTTCTGGTACTCTACTGTCCAATTCAATCACAGTCCTTCTTTCAAACATCCCCCCTCCCCAAGCCCACTGACAAGACAAAAATCAGAGGAAGTTTCTGAGAAGAAAGGGAAAAGGAGACTGCAGGGCGCAGTCACATCTCCCCTTAGTTGTCACTCTCCAGCCCAGGGAAGACTGATGGAACCCGAGCAGTTATCAGACAGTTCACTTCCATGCCCCATCTGTACTCCTGTCTCCTTCTGAGCATGCTCGCAGTGTCCCACAACAGGAGCTGGGATGTCTTTCCACACTGTTAGGAGAGCTTTCTGAAAGCTTTCCTAGCAGTATCTTTCTAGAAAAGTCTTAAACTATAGGTTCTAGACGGTCAGGGACTTGTCTTCATATCTAGGGAATCATCCAGCATACCCTTTACTCAATAAACGTGTTGTGAATGAACAGAAGGGTATATGGAGAAATGAAAGCCTCACAATGTTAAAAGCCTGTCATTTAAAACGAGAATTCATTTTTGTCTCTCTTAGGGTACTCCTTGTTACTTAGCTTTTCAGAGATGATGGATTGTAGTCTGGTTATCCTTTGCTTTATATATAATATCCACTTATGAGTCAGTATATACCATGTTTGTCTTTTTGGGTCTGGGTTACCTCATTCAGGATGTTTTTTTCTAGTCCCAACCATTTGCCTGAAAACTGCAATGTGTCATTTTTTTTAAACAATTGAGTAATACTCCATTGTGTAAATGCACCAATTTTCTTTACCCATTTTTCAGGTGAGGGGCATCTAGGTTGTTTCCAGGTTCTGCCTATTATGAATAATGTTGCTATAAACATAGTTGAGCAAATGTACTTGTGTCATAAGTGTGCAGCCTCTGTGTGTATGTCCAGGAGTGGTATTGCTGGGTCTTGAGGTAGATTGATTCCCAATTTTATGAGAAACCACCATACTGATTTCCAAAGAGAGACATACGTGGGTCACCCTGGGAAGGGGAAATAGACAAGATCAACTGAGTCAATCGGGAGTGTGGTGGGGAGTGGAGAAAGTGGAAGGGAAGTGAGAAGGGGAGGAGAGGAGGGGAAGGAAAACATGAGGGACCGGGATGCTTGGGTTCGGGAGAGGACAGAGAGAGAGAGCACGGAAAGAATACCTTGATAGAGGGAGCCATAATGGCTTACTGAGAAATTCCCAGTAATCCACAAGGATGACCCCAGCTAAGACTCTAAGCAGTAGTGGAGAGGGTGCCTGAACTGGCCTTCCCCAGTAATCAGATTGGTGACTACTTTAATTGTCTTAATAGAACCTTTATGTAGTAACTGATGGAAGCAGATGCAGAGATCCAGTTAAGCCTTGGGCAGAGCTCCCAGAGTCCAGTGGAAGAGAGGGAGGAGTGATAATACGAGCAAAGGGGGCAAGACCATTTTGGGGAAACCCACAGAAACAGCTGACCAGAGTTAGTGGAAGCTCAGACTCCAAAGTGATAGCTGGGGAACCTGCGTTGGACAAACCAAGTCCCCTGAATGTGGGTGACAGTTGGTGGCTTGGGCAGTTTATGGGGCCACTGGCAGTGGGACCAGGACTTATCTCTAGTGCATGAACTGACTTTGGAGCACATTACCTATGGAGACATAATGCTGCACATTACCTTGTGCAGCCTAGATACGGGTGGGAGTGCCTTGATCCTGCCTCAAGAGGATATGACAGACTTTGTGCCTCCCCAAGGGAGGCTGACCCTCCCTGAGGAGTGGATGGGAGGGTGGGGGGGAAAGGTCAGAGGAGTGGGAGGAGGGGGAACTGGGTTTGTATGTAAAATAAAAGAAGATTGTTTTAAAGAGTAAAATGAGAATTCAGACTACCAATTTTAACTCTAAGGTACAGAGCCATCTTTCCAATAGCACAGAGACAGAAGTGTAAGCAGTCTGCAGAGCTTTGCACAAAGGGACAGACTGAAGGTAGGTGTGACTGCAATCTGCCCGAGTTCTACATTCTTCAAGGAACAAGAGGCGCTTTCATTTTTTAAAAATATTTTCTTTATTTATTGTGTATACAGTCTTCTGCCTGCATGCCAGGGGAGGACACCAGATCTCATTCAAGGTGGTTGTAAGCCATCATGTGGTTGCCAGGAATTGAACTCAGGACCTCTGGAAGAACAATCAGTGCTCTTAACTGCTGAGCCATCTCTCCAGCCCCAAGAGGCGCTTTTAGATATTTTACATGAAGCTTCTGCACATACTGGTGACTCTGGAGTGATGTTGACCTCTACTCAAGGCACTGCGTGACTGCCTGTCCTTAGTCTTGACCTCTAGTTTGGGAACTAATTGGGGCTTCTATCAATGGCTATCAATCAATTTGGCAAGTAACATTCCTCTGCATTTTGACTCATGTCTAGGGCATTAGGAACAAAGCCTTCTTGGATTGACAAGTTTATTAGAGCTCTCCTGCAGGCAACAGATGCCAATGTGATTGCAGTGGACTGGGTTTATGGCTCTACAGGCAACTACCTCTTTGCTGTGGAGAATGTGGTCAAGTTGAGCCTGGAGATCTCCCGATTCCTCAGCAAACTTTTGGTAGGTAGAGAAAGGTTCAGGTTAGTTTTGTACAGACTATCCAGAAAGAAAAAGATTCCCCCTTGAGATCAGGAGTAGAGCCATCCAGGGACCTAGTAGATTTTCATCTTAAATCTGGAGCTGGATTCTTGGGATGTGGACAGGAGGGCACTTGAATCCCCCAAGTTCCCCAGGCTTCTGTAAAGTATACCATTGCACAACAAATAGTGAATGTCAACAGGGCAAAATTTAGTAGTTCTTCCCAAGAAATGACATGGTCAATACATACTTTGAAGTTAGGGAACTGGGGGGTGCAGAGCCCCCCCAAAATGGAACAGTGATTGATGGATGGGAGTCCTTCCCTTGTTCTGAAGAATGTGTGTAGGTGTGTGGTGCCCAAGGTCTTTGGTTTTGGGAGCCTTGGGAAAGCCACTGAAACCCAAGTAGAACCCACTGTCTACCATTGCTCATTCCAGGATCTGGGTGTGTCTGAGTCCTCAATTCACATCATTGGTGTTAGTCTGGGGGCTCATGTTGGAGGCATGGTGGGACATTTCTACAAAGGCCAGTTGGGACGGATCACAGGTAAAAAAATTTCTCTCTACTTCTCCTTTCAGCCATTAAAGACAGAGAGAGATTGCTTCAGAGACTCTTCTGAAGTGAACAGAGAGGTTGTTGAGTCCACGTCTATACGACCTAGTCATTATTGCCACTAAAATGGATCTATTGTTTGCATAAAATAGTGTCATTATAAGAGCACATGTATTTGTTTCCAAACTTCAGTGCATATACCAATAAAATGGGTTGTAATAAGTCATAATTGGGATTCAGTGTGGAAATCACACTCATACAGTGTTTACCTGCATAGACAGAGGACTTTACAATTCAGTCATCATTCTCAGTCAGTAAGGATGGGGGCTGCCTGGTAAATACCCTACCTTCTTGGTCCTTCAATTGGACAACTTTGAATCAGGTACCATAGACCCTCCAGAAAGGCCCTATGGGATGAAACCAGTTGTCACTGGTTTTGACAAATTGGTGGTAATGTTATGTTCATTTTAGGGCCAGAAAACTGCCATTGAAAGGGGACCACAACAGACCACCACAGATACCTGGGTTTCCTGGGTAAAGAGGTCCTGGGCTGCTTCTTCCAACCCTTGGTCCTGGGTGGATGGTTCTATGTCCATGGTGTGTCTGGGAGTTGAGAGGAAAAAGAATCATAATAGCAGTCTGTCTTTATAGGTCTAGATCCTGCTGGACCAGAGTACACCAGAGCCAGCCTGGAGGAACGCTTGGATGCTGGAGATGCCCTCTTTGTGGAAGCCATCCACACAGACACTGACTGTGAGCTGGGGTGATTTGTCTGGGATGAGGGAAAGCACATGGGTAGGGACAAGGACATTCCTAGTAGTATGGCCCTGGCCAGAGAGTCCCTGCTCCTGGCAGAGCTTCTGTTTAATGGTGAGGAATGTATCAGGATGATTTTGGGTTTTTTTTTTGTTTTTTTTTTTGTTTTTCGAGACAGGGTTTCTCTGTGGCTTTGGAGGCTGTCCTGGAACTCACTTTGTAGACCAGGCTGGCCTCGAACTCACAGAGATCCGCCTGCCTCTGCCTCCCGAGTGCTGGGATTAAAGGCGTGTGCCACCAACGCCCGGCCCTCAGGATGATTTTGAATGTCTCCTCCAGCTCTGAGATCATTCTTTGGATATCATTGTCATCGTCGTTGTGACCATAGATATTAGTAGTTTTATTTTAAGCTACCAGTGGGCAGGAGGACTCTCACTCGTGAACCAAAATTGTTTGTTTGGTAATCTCACTGATTCAACACCAAACCCTGCTCTGATGGGCATCGCTGACTGAATGACATATGGGAAAATCACGCTGCTTTTTTAGGTTCTATGTGTCTGGCCCCTAAGGACGGGGGTATTCCACTCCCCAGACACACAGGCCAGTCAGGATTTCCCTTTTCCCCAGAGGACAAGCCCTGTCTTAGGTCAAGAGGGAGAATCCCCCTTCCAATATTCAGACACACAGGAAAGCTCACCTCAACACTCAGTCCAACTTGTCTTTCTGACCACCTGGGAAAGGAGGGCAACAACCATCCCCATTTCTACCAGAAATAAAATGTCCCCATGGTGTGCACTGTGCTCAATGTTATTGCCATGAACAAGAGAAACAACTGCTCTTCTAGACCAAAAGGGCTTACGACTCAAGGGAGAAAAACATGTGTGTCTCATCCTCTTATGTCAAAAGCCTTCTAGTGTCCAAACACAAAGCATAAAGAAGCCCATTCAGTGATATTGTCCAACCCCTGCTCCTACCTTCACCACACAGATCTACACCAATATTCCACAAGCCTGGCTATGCTAGGCTTATTTATTTGCTCATGACAAAGGTAAGTCCTTTACTTAAGAGAAATCACATTCATGGTTGACAGAGAATGAGGGAGGAGAAATGAGGAGTTGGTGCTTAAAATACAGTTTCAATTGTTTAGGATAAATGTCAATACAAGGAGGTGATGACTTCTCAGCGTAAATTTAGACAATCAGTAAAGGCACTGAGTTGTCTACTTAAAAAATAAGATGGTAACATTTGCTGTGTGTATCTTACCATAATAAAAAATGAACCACTGTTTTCATATAAAAAACAAAATTTAAAGACGAAGTAGAACTCCTCCATCCCCAAACTTATTAAATATGTTTCATGTTAGATTCATAGTTCCCTGGCTTAGGCCTCTTTGGCCTTTTGAACTTGAGCCTCTTGTGTATGGAACTAAAAATAATAACTCTGCTTATTCAGTTGGTGTTTACTGAGCTAGGTAGCCAGTCCCCAGATCACAATAATGAGGAAAGACTTGCAGTTAGGCATCTGTTCATTTAGTCATTCAATAACTATTTACTAGTCACTCCTAGTAGTCAGATATTGTGGTAGGCGTCAAGGACTCAGAAGGAAAACAACAACAAAAAAGGGCAGGAAAAAACCTGAAGGCTTCATCCGAGGAAACACCAGATTACAGACTGTCCTATCGCATGCACGTGGTCATTACACGTTGTGTAGAAAAGGGTGTGATGGGGGTAACTTCGGAGAGGGTCTGCTTCAACAGCACGCTTGAGCAGTATCTGTTCTTCAGGCAAGGCTCCGCAGAGGAGAATCAACCCGGCTTGGGAAGAGCTAGGAAAAGGTGGAAAGATGGAGGGAGTAAGGGCTGGATATGGACTGGCGCTTGGCTTGTTCTAGAAACAGGAAAGAGAACCACGTGGTTCAAATGTGATGGGAAAGGAAGGTGTATCTTATTGATTTTATTGGGCATATCTGGGTACCCTATAAACCAGCTACAGTGTGCTTCCTCTCAGCGTGGTTTGCCTTGTGAAGTTGCACAGCCCATTGGAGTGAGGAGGACACTGACTCCCAGCCACCCTGCCGCGGGACCGGGAAAGTATGCTCTGAAGCTCGAAGCTAACAGGGGTCTGCCCCTTTCAGATTTGGGTATCCGGATTCCTGTGGGACATGTGGACTACTTTGTCAACGGAGGTCAAGACCAGCCTGGATGTCCCACGTTTCTTCACGCAGGTCAGCAAGCCAGGGAGGGTTAGTATTTAGCGGCTCCACAATCTGCATTTCACCATATCTTCGCCCTGATCAGCCAGTGCGGGTCACGTGGGGTCTTTCTGCCGGTGCCCTCTATGTTCTACAGTGTCTTAGCACACACTGGTTATCTTTGGAGCCCATGAATTCTGGAGAGTTGCCTCTGATACTGGAAGCTGGCCTCACGTTTGTGATGTCATCCCATTTTATGTTAGGCCCTGCCAAGATCTACCATCGATCAGACCAATACCCTATTCCTTCCCTGACCTGTGGGAAGGTCACAGAAGCTATGCTCTTCAGAATGGAGCTACGCAGAAGCAAGCCATCAGACCAGAACTGCATGGCCAAAGGGTCACTTTGCCCAACACTGTACTGTTACTTCTCTTTTTCTTTTTTTCCTTTTTTGGTCTTTGTTTTGAGACAGGGTCTCTTTATGCAGTCCTGACTGTCCTGGAACTTGATATGTAGATCTGGCTGTCCTCGGAACTCACAAAGATCTACCTACCTCTGCTTCCCTTGTGTGGGATTAGAGGCGTGCACTGTTATATCCAGCCTCCAAAATGTTCTTAAAGATTAATTTTCAAACATATTCTCTCCTAAATATATTCTGGAATTACCTTTTTAAAAATATTTATCATGTCTTTTTATTTTAAATTATCAGTGTATTTAGATAACAGATGTATTTAATATCCATTTTAAATAATACTAAATCTGTCAAAAGTTAAGAACCAAAGATTGTTCAGCCTTATATTTTTCTCATGATTAAAATCAATATATTGGCATTTTGTTAAGAAATAGTAAATGCTGATTTCTGTATGTTTGTAGTAGTCTCTCTCTCTCTCTCTCTCTCTCTCTCTCTCTCTCTTTGGTGTTTTTCGAGACAGGGTTTCTCTGTATTGTTTTAGAGGCTGTCCTGGAACTCGCTCTGTAGACCAGGCTGGCCTTGAACTCACAGAGATCTGCCTGCCTCTGCTTCCTGAGTGCTGGGATTAAAAGCATGCACCACCAACGCCCGGCTTGTAGTAGTCTCTTATTTCACCAAATTCTTAATAGTTTAAGGATTCTTTTGTTTGCTTTTTGAAGCAATGTCTCATGCTATAGTCCAAGCTGACCTCAAACTCCAGCTGTCCTCCTACACCACTGTCATACCTGGCTCTATTTTAAGGATTCTTGACAGTTTTATCATAAATCTTTTTTACCTAGTTTGGTTTTTTTTTGTCTTGTGTTTTGTTTTTTTGTTTTTCAAGACAGAGTTTCTCTGTGTAGCTTTGGAGCCTATCCTGGTACTCACTCTGTAGACCAGGCTGGCCTCAAACTCAGAGATCCACCTGCCTCTGCCTCCCAAGTGTTGAGATTAAAGGTGTGCACCACTAACGCCCCATCAGATTGACTAGTTTTTCAAACATGCGCTTCTTGGAAAACTTTAATACATTTCAGCACTTCGATCAGGAGGGGTGGTTTGGTTTCAGTGTTTTTAGAAGTGACATTTTAGTTAGCTACTTTCCATTTCTTTATAATGCAGTTTGAGAAGGGGGCAGCTAGAGTGTCTCAGTTCCCTGGTGGATGGATGTAGAAGGAGTTTGGCAGTAGAAAAATATCCAAACCACAGAAGAAAGGAATGTGAACACAGTCTATCCTTAATTGTCAGTCCAAGAGAGAGTTCCATGGTGTAGGGGGTCAAATGATCCCAGGATCCTATAGCAGTGGCTTACTCCTCACCTATTAGCTCCAGCCTCATGTAGATTGTGGCATGCTTGTGTGAGTGTTGCACGCATAAGTGTGGTTGTAGCTTTTAAATAGTAAATAATCGGGGCTGGAGAGATGTCTCAGTGGTTAAGGTCACTGGCTGCTCTTCCAGAGGACCCGGGTTTAATTCCCAGCATCGACGTTGCAGCTCACAAATGTCTAACTCCAAGATCTGACACCTTCACATAAAATATAAATAAATAAATAAATAATAGTAAATAACCACAATAAAACCAAGTTGGGGTAATTGGGATTCTTGGAAAGTTCTTTAGATCAGTTACTGGGCCAGATGAGTTACAGCACATATAATTCAAAAGACTGACTCTAGGCCAGGGGTTCTCAATGTGTGGGTTGTGACCCCCTTAGGAGTTGAACAACTCTTTCATGGTGGTGAATGTGAACAATATGAAGAAGTTGCACTACTTCACGGGGGTCACTTAAGACCATCAGAAATATCAGATGTTTACATTATGATTCATAGAAGTAGTAAAACTAGAGCTATGAAGTAAGCAACAAAAATAATTGTGTGGTCAGGGGTCACCACAACATGAGGAACTGTATTAAAGGCTGGCAGCACCAAGGAGGCTGGGAGCCACTGCTCTAGACTATCTCTTTGCTGAGAGCAAAAACTGTCCTGTGGGTGTTGGTGAGTAAGATAGACAAGCAGAGACAACTAGCTCAGCTGTAGAGGTGGCACCCCAGCTCTATGCGTGCCTACTTTTCCAGAGTTTGCCTGGTCATACAAGACTCAATCTCAGATCAAATCAATTGTCTTGGCAGGCTAAGCTTCTCAAGACAACTAAAAGTGAAAGAGAGATTGAGGTAACCATGTCTGTTAATGTTCCTAAAGTGTGGCTCAGGGGACAGCCCATCTATTCATAGGGTTCTGTGCTATAAAGTCCAGTAGAGTTATAGTAAGTTGCAGCAAGGGAGTTTCCACTGGTCTGGACTGAAACATTGATGTGGTTTTTTTTTTTTTTTGGCTCCTCTCAGGTTACAGTTACCTGATCTGTGATCACATGAGGGCTGTACATCTCTACATCAGCGCTCTGGAGAACTCCTGCCCACTGATGGCCTTTCCCTGTGCCAGCTACAAGGCCTTCCTGGCTGGAGACTGTCTGGATTGCTTTAACCCATTCCTGCTCTCCTGTCCGAGCATTGGTGAGACCTCATTCCCTTCGCTTCCCTTGGCAATGTATGGGACAAACCATTTGCTACCTCTTTTGTTTTTTAAATAGTTTAAATTGTTTTCACTAGCATTTCACATACGAGTGCTGTATTAACATCATTTTCATCCATTCCTCTCCCCACTCCGATGCCTCCCCCTCCTTCTCAAGTTCAAAACCTCTTCTATAATTGTTATTCTCTCTCTCTCTCTCTCTCTCTCTCTCTCTCTCTCTCTCTCTCTACACACACACACACACACACACACACACACGCACGTCCATCTAGTGCTACTTTTATGTATGCATGTTTAGGACTGACCACTTGGGATTGAATAACCTATCAAGTTCATCCTTGAAGAAGAATGATTCTCCCTTTCTCGGCCATTGATTACCTGTCATTCTTTACCCAGGGTTGGGGCCTTGTACAATTTCCCCTATCGTGTTGGCATGTGGACAGGTGCTGTGATTGTGCACGCCCTGTTTAGACAACCACACTGTCAGAGCACCGCTGACCAATGGCCAAAAGTCTGTCTATCTGTAAAAAAACAAAAAACTAACCCATGAGGTGCTCTCACCTGGAAGATGGCAATTGGCGTTTGCTGTCCCCCATCACCTTGTATGTGCGCCCTAATGTCATGTTTGCTCTGTGTGTGCCTGGTACATATTCTCCAGAACTGCACACAGGTCGTTTTTAGAAGTGCGAGATTGTGGTGGTCACATGACATCTGGGATGGGGCAGTAACTCATTACTAGGCAGCTCCAGTATGTTTCTGCATGATCCAGGCCAGTCTGGGGGAAAGACTTTAAGGAGGCTGAGGGATCAGGCCCCTACCCACCTGTGGGGACCACTGCATCTCACATACTAGGGGGAAAACTCTAGGAAAAAAAATGGCTCTTTCCTATTTCCAGTTTTCTACTCCCCACCATCCCTGGCTGCCACTCAGAACACAGCAGCTTTCCACTGCTCATTTGGTGACATGGTGCCAGCTTGAGAAAATGTGAAAGGCAGATAGTGCCCCATAACAACACACACCAGCATTGCTTCCTCCTTCGTGGACAAATGTCTGTCCTCTCTTCTGAGGTGATGGGCCAAGCAGTTTAACAACTATCTCCCACTGTCTGCCCAGCTTTTCTCTCCACTTTCCTTCACACTGAACCTCACAGATGTTGGCCACGTACCTTACCGAGTGTGCTATCCAAGGTTCTCCACCCTGCGGGTCCTTGTCCTAACTTGACCTCATCTCTGAGCACATTCTATCCAACTGCCATCTTCCAGTCTTCAAAGCGACAGGATACAGATGCTGCCAAAGCAACTATGGCATGAATCGGTTTGCAAGTTAGACACAAAACACTGCGATTCTTACAATTATCTACCATGAATGAGTTAAAAGAGGGCAGCGAGATGGCTCAGCAGCCAGGCTCTTGCCGTCAAACCTGAAAGCCTGAATTCCACCCCCAGGATCCACACAATGGAATGAGAGAGTTGCTATCTACCATAAGCTGTTTTCTTACCTCCAGGTGTGTGTTATAGCATGCAAGGTCCCCTGGCTCCTCCCCACACCCCCACAAAACAACAAATAAATACATTTTAAAAGAAAATAAGCGAATGTGTGGAACAACTTGAAGAATGCACTTCCTGTTGACTTCCGTGTTTACAGCCTAGGACTTCATGTGTCTCTTGGGACTTGTCATATGTACAGTCAAGAATCTACGGAACACAGAATGCATACGTGAATCCACACCTGACTGGAGACTCTGGGTCCTAGAAATGGCCTTCTCAGAACTGTGTCACCTTTGCTTCTTTATTTCCAGGACTGGTGGAACTAGGCGGTGTCAAGATTGAGCCACTCCCCAAGGAAGTGAAAGTGTATCTCCTGACTACGTCCAGGGCCCCATACTGTGGTGAGTAGGGAGGAAAAAGGTACAGCTGTGCTAGTAGGAGATGTCCAGGCTTCCCACAAGGGTTGCATCTGGCCCAGTGTAGGAGTCCAGATAGGAGGCGATGGGTTTGGGAGGAGATATCCTGGGAGGTTGTCTCAGGCAGAACCAGAACTGTGAGAATGAATCCAAGCAGTGTCCTTGCAGTGAGGACCCTCTTCCTCTCCCCCTTGAAATTTGTGCCCAGATGGTTATGATAGAGCACACCTTTAATCCTAGCACTCGGAAGGCAGAGGCAGGCAAACCTCTGAGTTTGAGAGCAGTCTGGTCTACAGAGTGAGTTTTAGAACAGCCATTGCTACACAGAGAAACCCTGTCTCAAAATGAAAGAAAGGAAGGGAGGGATGGAGGGAGGAACAAAGGGAGGAAGGTGTTTGTCTCCTTCCTAGGGGTCCCCTTGCTCTGGGATACCTGACCCATCCATCCTCTCCATTTCTTTCCCCCTCCTGGTGCCCACACCACATACCTCTCACCCCAGCAGCACCTCCTGGGTCAGAACCCCTGAGGAATTCATAACTCCTGCCCCCTTCTAGACACAATCCAGCTGTTCACAGATACTACTCACTGCGTTTCCTTGAAGCTAAGATGCCAATGATTATAAAAGATGCAAAATTAAAACAATAGTCTTGAAATCCATGAAACCCATTACACACTAAGCCAGTGCTCTTCCCATGTTATCTATAGCTTCACTGGGGTGACTGGTTTGTGTTCAATGTCTTGGGGCCCTTCTGTCTTCTCTATGGCATGCATAGGACAAAAAAAGCTACTTTGGATGATAAATTATACAGTCACCTCAATTTGAGCTGATTTTCTCATTAATGTGTGCTGCATTATTGGAGAGATCTTAGTGGCCACAGCCTTCCATTGACTGGAAAGGCCCAGTGCCATGTGATTTGGGACTAAAGGCTCAGACTCTGTGGCCACACAGACCGGTTTTGAGTCTCAGCCTCTCTGCTTTCCAGTTGACTAATTAGGAGCAAGTCACTTCACCTTTCTGAAACCCAATATCCTGCCGTGGAGAATGGAAACAATAATAGTCCCCATATGCAAGAATCAATTGTAAGGATAAACTAGGGCAGAGGAAGTCAGTGGCACGGTGACTCAGAGTAGGGTACCTAATCATTCCCTTCCCTTGGCCAGAGAGTTTGAGACCCAGCTGGGGATGTTTTGAGCTTTGTGGATAGAGCTGTGTCTGAGGAACTAAGCGGTCCCAGTCAGTGGTGGGATTTTCATGATGAGAGTTTCTGAGAGACAGAATCTGAGGCACACATCTGGGCAAGGAAATCAGGATTCAACATCAGGTCTTCTGACCCTTTTCCATGTCCCCTCACGCCACCATACTCGATTCCTTGTTCCTTCTTGTTACTCTCCTGGCAACAGTGCCGTCAGAGCCAGCAGGAAAGGCGTGGTGTGGAGTGGCCGGGACTGTGCTTCTGAGGCCAGATGTCCTGACTTCTCATTCTAGTCAGGGCAGGCTGGCAGCAACTCAAACAGGCTCCTCTGTGTCTGCGTAGCTAAGAATATACTGGTGAGGGAAGCCCGGGGAAGCTTGGAGGTTCTGGGCCTTTTAAAGATGCCTGCTGAGGCTGCCACAGAGCTGTACATTTCTAGTTTCACATTTGTTGTGAATCCCTCTCCCTTACACCCCCAGAAACACACTCCTATCCGTTCAAGCACCACAGAGGGACATAGGAAACCTTCTTGCTCCCAAACTCTGAGCCTTCCTTTCTAAGGACAGATGCAGAGTACTATCCTTCCCCTAGGCCAAGTCTGTGCTCATTTAACTGGGCTTTGATGGAGCCAGGAGCCCGTTCAGTGTCCCCAGACACTCGCCGGGCATCACGGAGCTGCACTCCCACACGAAGCTCTCCTCTTAGCCTGCTTCCAGCAGTGCTCTTCAGGACGGTTGTCACCCCCTCTCCTTGATTTCTGCCAGGCATGTGCCAGCAAGGGCTGATCGTCTACCAAATAATGCTTTTACAAACAGTATTAGTTTTCTCTTGTAGAATGGTTTTTCACTTCATCAGGTCTTCACCATTGTCAGGCAAAGCAATCGAGCGATAAAGAGGTCCAGTGACTTAGAGGCGATGGCACAGCCTGTCAGCATCAGGGCCTGGCCTTAGGTTCCTGCATCCTGACCACTCACTCAGGGCTCAGTGTGCCGCTCTCTGAGTCACCTGTGCCGTTTTGTTTCACTGCCAGTTCCGGTCCACCCAACAACAGTCCTGGCTCTCCTTGGGTTTCTAGGGCAGCACAGAGAACAGAGAAACAGAACCTTTAGAAAATGTCTTGGCAAACATAGAAAGAGATGACATACCGTATGTTAAACTCAACCCGAGGAATTGCATTCCTGAAGTTTTCCTAAGTCGGCTAACTTTTTCTGTCACAGATACCTACTCCTATTCAGAAACCTTACCCATTCCATGACAATTCACAACCCGCATAGTAATCAACTGACAGATAGAAGCCGTGTGACACTGAGTGCTTTTCCCTTCAGAGGGGACAGGATTGCATGTTCTTTTGTCTCTTGAGTTCTTAGTTTGTTGGCACTTGTCAATGAGTCTGTTACTGAGCCTGCCAGGCTCAGACAGACCCCAGCACTTCTCTAACTTAAGCCTCAGTAGCTGTACACATTGGTTACTTCCCCAACAGGCGGATGAAAACGTACAGGTGGGGGAAGGGGGAAGGATTGCATCTCTGACTATGTTCCCGTTATGAAAGGGGCCAGGGCAAACAATGGAGACCAAAGTAACTGCAAAATGCTACCAGCTACTTCTACCCCTTAATAAAGAGAAAAAAATGTGTTAGTGACATTACAGAGAACAGAAAGTCTACTTTCTCAGTCTTCTGGAGAGACTAGGAAAGCCAAGGTCAGGACGCTGGCATCTGGTGTCTGAGGACTGTTCTCTTTGCTTCCAGGATGGCATCTTGCTGCTGTCACTGGGTCTTTACATAACAGAGGGCAGGAGGGCCCAAAGGTCCCTAGCTATGTCCTTTTGTCCCTTTTATGAGGTACTGATCTATTCAGGAAGGTTCTGGGGCTCTGGTTGAACCTGATTGGCTAACAGCACATCAGCAAGATCTGGGATCTGCCTGTCCCATGTCCCCATCCTCCACCCTACCCCCTCAGCAGTGGGGTTTCTGGCAAGTGCTGCCACACCCTGCTTTTTGTGTGGGTTCTGGGGGGCAAACGAAGGTCCTTATGCGTTCACATCAAGCGCTTGGCCGTCTCCCCAGGGATGAAGTTTAAATATGACTTTAGGAGGGGCTACAGACATTCAAACAAGTGATGATTCCTCTTTGACAGTCTCAAGATTACATTACTGCATCAAGATGGGTTGGTAGGTAAATGCAGCTATTGCTGAGTGGGATGACCTAGGTTTATTCCCCAAGGCCCAGATGGAGAAAGGGGAGAATCAATTACTGCAAGCTGTCACCTGATCTCCACCTGCACTATATGGCACACACACACTAAATAAATTCCATTGCAATTCTATGAACATTGTGTGACTGCAAAAAGGTCACCAAACAGGGAGGAGTGAAGCACTCTTGCATGACAAGCAATAATAAAAACTAATGCTTTTTGAGTGTTCCCTAGGGGAGGACATTGTCCTTAGGACTTTGTATATATTGATCCACTCAGTTCTCACTCCGGCCAGTGGGATAACTACTTACTCGCTAGGAAGTTCACACTTGAAGAACTAGAGGATCCGAGATAACTGTTATGATAAAATCTTTGCCCCAGTCACTGGCATCCGTCTACCCAAAGAGTCTGGGATGCTATGGTGGAGGTTCTACCCAAGCTTCCCTCCCCCATCTCCCTCCAAACCTTGCTGCATCTCAGAAAGCCTGCCCAATGATGGCCCCTCCCCCAGAGATGCTCAAGACCACTCCCACAGGGTATTTAAACTGTCCTCCAGAAAACAGACTCCTGGTTTTCCAGTCTCCCTTTCCTGTCTCTGGGGGGCTGAAAAGCCACCCGGGAGTGCTATATCCATTAAATGTGGGCTTTTTCTAATTCTGTTTGGTTTGGTCTGATTTGGATTGCTGCATTGGGGGAGAGGCTTATTGGGGTGTAGAAACTTTTCAATAACCAGTAACCTGTGTCTCCCAAAATGCCTTGGAGGTAGAGCATCCCAAACATGCCACTGCTCTGTGGGGCTTTTCCCTCTGGCACCTGTGCTGTCTGCCAAGCCTTTGCTGTACTCTGGTTTCCTAGTGCATCACAGCCTTGTGGAGTTTCATTTGAAGGAGAAGAGAAAAAAGGATACCAGCATCGAGGTCACCTTTCTTAGCAGCAATATTACTTCCTCAGTCACGATCACCATGTACGTAAGTGTCCCATGTGACTAAGTCCCTCTTTCATGTGTTTATGCTCCAAGTCTAGCACAGTGTGTTTGCTGAAGGCTGGGACTAGCTCACCAAGCTGGGGACAGTGCCCACTATAGACCACAGATACCAACTGTAGGTTTGGGATCAGTACCACAGATTAGCACAGTGGATCAGATGCTAACAAGCAAGACTAGTGGACATCCCCAAAGGTGATTAGCATGTAGTAATCCAGTTCTGGGTAGGAAACGATGCTCAGGGATCCAGGCAGAATTGTATTAGGGAGATAAACGGGAAGGAGAGCCTCAGTCACAATCTCTGCAGGGGTGACCAGGGCCCGAGAAGCCACTCCATGGAGGAATAGTGGGATTGGGTCAGTTGCCTGAAGAAACCCAACGCAGAAGGCCAGTTAAAGTACAAGTGAATGGAACCAAAGCCAATCATTTCCATTCCTCTGGGGGCAGATTTGGCTTGGATCTAGAGATCAAAGAACTATAAATTCAGGGGGTTCCAAGGCTGGCAGGGGATGGGAAGTTGGGAACAAGGGTCTATGTTTATTTAAAAAGCAATCGGGTTAAGTTACAAGCCAGCAGCAAACTGCCTGTCATACCACTGGTTCTCTCAGGTTCCAGTCAGGAAACCAGAGCTGATGCAGAAGAGACCCCAAAAGGGATGTGACAGAATAAACTAATTACAACTGCTCTGGGAAAGCTGAGGGAGATGGAGGCAGGGAAAGCAGGGGAGAGATTACCACAGTAGAGGTAAATTGGCAAAGTCCAAAGACTGACTCCCACAAAACCTGATCATAGTGGAGGCTGCTGAGCAGGAGCCAGAACCTCACAGGAAGTGTCACCCTTCCACAAGTCCTGCCCAACCCAGAGGCCTTTGGAGGCCTGTGCCAGCTTCCCTGGTCAGACGCTACCAGAATCTGCCAGCAAAGTAGCTGCAGACAAAGGTTTGCAGGGTGGACTGCGCACAAATGGGGAAATGGCCAGCGCACACTCCTTTAAACATTCCCTGGTCCAGCTATGAGAGCACACAGACAGCGCCTTAGTGGTCCCAGCGTCTGACAAGAGGAACAAAGGACTTTCAGGAGTGAGTTGGTGAGAAATGGTCACATAGGTGTGCCTGGAAGAGAAAGCCAAGGTGTGGGATGTGGGACAAGAGAAGGCTGGGGAGGCTTGGAAGGACACATCAGAGATCGTGGTTTCTGCCCTGAGAGGAGAGCCCTTGGGGATTTTACACAGGAGAGTCACCAAGTTGGCATTGGGGAACATTGTCAGGCTGCCTTGCTCAACTGTGCTATGAGAGAAGACAAGTTCCACTGGGAAGAGATCACTTCTACTGAGCTCCCAGACATTCTGCCACTGGACACTGTTCTATCTGCAAATTCTGGCCCCTCCGGGTCACACTGCCACATGAATCTGCAGATACTGGTGGCAATTTGTAGATTGTGGTGGGTCCAGCAAGCTGAGGACTTGGCACTGCATCTGTTCAAAGTTGCATTGCTTCCAGAATGGCTTTCCTTTGTCTCTAGCGGGATTGTGCCATGGACACATTGGATCTTCTAGAGCTTTCTAGAGAGACTTGAAAGTAATGCTCCCCCCCACTGGTCACTGGAGGCTCTCTGGGCACATTGGATCTTCTAGAGTTTTCTAGAGAGACTTGAAAGTAATGCTCCCCCCCCCACCAGTCACTGGAGGCTCTCTGGGCACAAGCCCCACCCAAGGCCTTCACTGGCCCTCACAGGTGGCTAGCCTTCACTCCCAAAGGAAGATGCGTGACTCTTGAAGAAGGACCCCGGATGCATTTCCTTTAACCTTCACTTACTTAAAAAAATTAAAATCTCAGAAATTAGAAGGATGCATTCCAGGAAGAAGCATGTTCTTTCCCTACTTTCTATTGTTTTGTAAAACCCCAAGATTTCCTTTTAGTTGGAGAATTTACCCAGGCCAAGCCACCCACACAAAGCAGCTTTCCTATTCCTTATAGTTTCTAAGGCCTTTGATATAAGCAGTTTCTTAAAGGGAGCAGTCAATCCTGTTTTCCTCTGACATATTATAAAATGCTCTGATCAGGGGTGGCTTTTGTGTACTTAAATAAAATCTTCCTGGAAAACGAGGACACAAATTGTGTGCCTAGTTCTGGATGAGGAAAACACACCAAGAAGACAGTATCACTCGGTAAAACAGGGTAGAAAAAGGAAACCGGGCTAGGGAAGCAGGACCCAGCTTCCTATGACATGGAGATGTACCCTGTCCCACTAATTCTTTCTCGGAGTCCTCCACTGAGCAGGAGGCCAGGAGGGAAGGCACACAGTCCACTGCCCATGCCCCAGGCCCCCGGCAGCCAGCTCCTCCTACAGCACAACTGAATGCAGCACCTTTCTTTGAGAAGAGGCTGTTTCAGGAATCCTGAACTTGAGTGACCTCGGTGGGCAGCAGAGGAATCACGTGTGAAGTCCCTTAGATAAAAATTTATTGACTTTTCAACAGGTGAAAAAAATATAATAACAAGTATTTCCTGTGTCCTGTTCAAAATTGTTAGCCTATCTGTAGAGCAGCCAGTGGGGTTCCACAAAATTCTGACTCCATCTTCAAGGGGTCAGTGCCTCTGGGCACCACAGCCAGCCAGGTCTGCCAGCAGAGCCCTTGGGTTAAAGGGGAGGTAAAGTGCAGAGGCATGGTGCCTCATCCCCTGTCCCCTGTCCCCTGTCCTCTTTTCAGACCTAGACAGCAACTTGAAGGGCGAGGAGTCATTGGCTACCCTAACCAACCATGCCCGATAAGCCTAGTGAAGCTCAAGTTCCAAGTTCCTAGCCGGGTTTGGAAAAAAGACAGGACTACCATTATTGGGACTTTCTGTACTGCCCCTCTGCCGGTCAATGACAGGTGAGTCACAGGACACCCCCCACCCCCGCCCCAGGCATCCCCACATCACCACCAAGTACAGTTCTGGACCTTGAGGGTGTTGTTTGATGAAGCTCAACGTCACTCTAGTGGTAGCCATCTTAGAAGAGGAATTGACTAGGACCCTGGGTTTTCCTGAACCTTCTGTGGGGTCATACTGAGTTGAGAGTTTTAGGAAGGACACCAGAGAAGCTTTAATTCTCCTGCCTACTTTAATACATGCAACTTTAGCATCTGCTTCATGCACTTGGTTTGGGTTAAGATTTTATCAGAGCATTTATCATGGTGTATTTCTCCTTCCTGAGGCTCTACTTCAAATGTGTCATTGGCAACACTCTTGGGTGCAGGATCTAGACTCTGAGAGTAGGCATTTCAATGGTTAGCCCCTTTTATGATTAGCATACAGAGGACAGGGACAGTCTTTATTACAGGAAAGTGCTGCCTTCTCTCACAAGACACAGGGGTCAGGAAAAGCCATACAGCTTCTAACTCTTTCTTCTGGTAACCAAGAACCTGCTTCCTGTTGCTCTTCACATACAGCAAGAAGACAGTCTGCACACCTGAGCCAGTGAGTCTGCAAGCGAGCATGCCTGTTTTTCGGGACCTGAGAATACCCTGTGTGTAGCCCAAGCCTATGCAGGAGGCAGTGGCCTGGATTTTTCTGAGGGCAGTGTGGCAAGAGATACGTTTGTGGGCACTTTAGTCCACTCCATTCCTACTAAGGGGAAGGTCAAATCCTTGGTGGTTTTCCCCACAAGTAGTTACTGTGGAGGGGACAGATGACTCATCCTACAGAACTTGATTTCCATCACCAACTTACAAAGTTTTACATAGATGTCATTTCAGCTTCCCTGTTTCTACACAACTGCAATTGTCTCACATCCTTAAGTACTTATACTTAGGATTCAATGGAAAACATATGCAGAGAAATAAAATATCATGGAATATCTGAGTCATTTTGTTGAAATGTAATTCTACTACTACTATCACACACACACACACACAGAGTTATTTACAGGGTCACTGAGATACTCATTGGTGTGCATGCATGCACACACAGTGTAATTAAGCAAATAAGTGTTTTTAAAATTAAGAAATGGTTTACAGAGGATCTGCAGTTCATCTTGGGAGAAAAATGAACATTTTTGTAATGGACAGCCTATCACAGAGACGCATAACATGTCAAGCTCCTAGGAGAAAGTGACTGTTGCTGTAGCATTTGGACACAATACTTAGCCATAGGTGGAGGAAAATAATTGAACATCTAGGCTTGGGGTACATCACAGAAGAAGGGGCAAAAAGAATGTACGAGTTGGAGAAAGGGAGTGAGTGTTGTGTGACAATTTCCTCTGAATTGCAAGTTTCCCTCTAGGAGGGAGGAAAGAGGTTCAGGAGAATCAGGAAGCAAACACACGCCACAAGCCCTGGAAAGATGAAACTTAGAAGATGTACAAGACCTCCCTCCTCAAAATTATGTAACAAGGACATCGGCATAGAAGAGACTATGACCTGTCGAGCTGTCTGCAGGTTCAGGGAGCTCCAGGTTTGCAGTCTTTGCGCATCTTCATCTCCAGGTGATGCAGCTGCCTTTGGGTTGCTCACGCTGCTGTGAGTAACCTCGTGGTCCTGTGACAAGCCTCCGTGAACTCATTGGTTAGCCTGGTTAGACTTCTGTGGAATTGTTACTGTGGTCAGTGGCTGGTTCCCAATCTGTGGTGAGTAGATGTTTGTATGGATCCTCCCAGGGTGTCACACAACACCAGCGCTCCCCACACAGCCTCCTTGTGACAAAACCTTTGTTATAGAGACCTTTTGAAGGAAGTTGTCCAAACCACACTAGTATGATGTGATGTCATATGTTAATATTACTTGCCCAAGGCACCTTATAAAAGAAATCTTTTAGGTTGGAGCTCACAGTTGCAGAGGGTTAGTCCACTGTCATAGCTGGGAGCATGGCAGCAGGTGGACAGGCATGGCACTGGAGCAGTAGCTCAGAGTTTACATTTTTATCTGCAAGTAGGAGGCAGAGCGAGCTAACATGGAATGGAGTGGGCTTTTGAAACCTCAAATCCCACCCCTATCGATACACCTCCAAACAAGGCCACACCTCCCAACCCTTCCCAAACAGTTTCACAAACTGTGGACCAAGCACTCAAATATATGAGCCTATGGGGGTCGTTCTCATTCAAACCACCACATTGGCATATTGACTTTCATCACATTATGAAAATGCCCTTCCAAAGTCATATTCTTTTGATAAGGAAATCTTTAGCAGAGTAGAAAATGAATTCTGGCAATAACCAGACTGAGCCTGGAAGTGGAAACATTCGTGGAGGAAGCAATTAAAAAAATCATGGACCAGGCATGTTGGTATTCACCTTTTATCCCAACACTTAGGAGGCTGAGGCAGGGGGATCTCTGTGAGCCCCAGGCCATCCAGGGACACAAAGTAAGACCCTATTTCAAAACTAAATCAAAACATATTCAACAGCTGCCAGGGTGGATGAAATATTCTAGAAAACTCTGCCTGTTTTGGATCCTTTACCCATAAAAACTGAAAGATACAAATTTCTTGTTTAAACTGTTATTTTTATATCTGTTACATAATGTATAATGAATGCAGATTTGATACCTGAGAGTGTTTCTCTTTTAAGAAGGAATCTACAGTCTATGGGAAAGACGACAACAGATATCAAATTCTCAGCCCTACAATGGTTTCTTCCAGCTGACTAAGGTTTGGAAGATGAGATAGTTTTTGGGGAAAGAAAGTGGGTTTTCAATGGGTCTTTACTTCCCAAATTTTGACCCTTTAAGTAACCTACATGAACCACAGCTCAGCAAAAATCATATGGTAGGGGCTGGAGGGACGGCTCAGTGGTCAAGAGCACTGGCTGCTCTTACAGAGGACCTGAATTCAATTCCCAGCACCCACATGGTAGCTCACAACTCATCTGTAATGAGATCTGGTGTCCTCTTCTGGTATACATGCAGATAGAGCACTCATATAAATAAATTAATTAACTTAAAAAAATCATATGGTAACCTCAAACTGGGTAAGTTGATGGTAATTTAAGAATATTTTAGCTAGGCTGGTGCTACACACCTGTGGTGATGTTTTGTTTATGATCTAATAAACCTTGCCTGAAGATCAGAGTGTAGAGCTAAGCCACTAGTTAGCCATACACCTAGTTAAGAGCTATGCCAGTAGTTAGCCGCACACACTAAACCACTAGTCACCCACACATCTAAGCCATGAGTTAGCCATAGAGGACAGGCAGTAGTGGCCACATCTTTAATCCCAGCACTCAGGAGACAGAGGCAGATGGATCTCTGTGAGTTCAAGGTCACTTTGGGCTACACGAGAGTGAATCAGTCTAAAAGAGAAACAGAGATCATATCATTGATCCCAGTACTTGGAATGACACCCCTTTAATCCCAGCACTAGGGAGGAATATAAAGCAGGAGGAGACAGGACCAGTCTCGGCAGTCTGAGGTTTGGTGGAGAGCAGTGCAGTCTGAGGATTCGTGGAGACAGGATCGCCCTTTTGGCCTGAGGAAGCGGCAGGAGCTAGTGGCTGGCTGTTTTCTTTCTCTGATCTTCAGCTTTAACCCCAATATCTGTCTCTTGGTTTTTATTATTAATACCAACTAGAATTTGTGCCACACACACCTCTGAAAGCTAAGCAATTGGGAGGTAAATTCAAGAGGCATGAGAGCTCACGGTAATTTTCAACTACATAGCAAGGGAGAGGCCAACCTGGTCTACTTGGGACCCTCCCAAACAAACACAAAAGAAGACTGTTCACAGTAGTCTTTTGGGTGAAATCCCAAGGAACTGTACAGATTTCTGTGGCTAGTGGAGTGAGAGCCACTATGACCCTGAAGAGTCAAAGAGAGGCTGGGGGTTGCAGACCAATAGTCTTCTTCCCTGTAGACAAAGGGAAGAAGGCAGCCACAAGGCTCTTCCCCCTCTTCCTTCTTCCCTCTCCCTGCTCACGACCCCGAGTGACCCCAGCAGAAGCAAGAGGAGGAGGGACTCATTAGCTATAGAAGACCAGTGCATACGGCAGAGCACAGAAGTGCAGGAACACTTAGGAACAAAGAGGTTACATTTACCCTCATTACTTTCCGTCCTAGATACTTCTCTTTTTAAACTTAGCTTTTAAAAAGAAGCTCAAATAAATATGCTTGGAAGACAACTGCTGACTTCTGGTTCACTCTGTGACAAAGGCAGGAAGAATGATGTAAACCATAGGGTGTGCTTGCATCATCTGGGTCAGGTCATACAGGGTGCGGAAGGCAGGGCTTCGGCCTTCCTGAGCTATGGCAATGCGAGTCACAGGACAGTGACGCAACGTTCACGCATGAGCTTCATTCTCCGCCTGCCACAGCCCGTCGGAAAATGTGACATGGGAAGAACCCACGTCTTCTCCAGTAAGCAGGTTTGCATTTTCCTTCCTTTTTAAAGCCGCCAAACCACTCTTTCTTTTACACCCTCTTGTAACACCCAGCATCTCGTGGATTTCCCTGGAGGTGATCTCAACAAGCTGAGGTTCCTGTGGCTATGATTTGGAATGGTTGGGCATCCTAGGAGACACTACTTAGCCATACGTCTTCCTTAGTTTTGCCTTATGCGTGTTACTTTTCTTCCAAGTACGGATAAATCATATTTTACTTCTGTGATTTAAAAAATTATATCATATGCTGCTGAGACTGCTATGGTTTAGCTCTGCACTGTCTCTGGGGTACGTGCTGTGTGATTTTTCACTAATGTCCTCTTGTTTTAGAGTGTCGTTAAATGTACCCACGTGTTATTGTGTGTCCCATCAGAAATGTTAGATCATTGCCTTAAATGGGAAACTGGTTTCCCTTATCATAGACTAATCCTAGCAATAAATACAATGAGAACATAGCAATGTTTAAAATTCCAAGTAGATGCTGTGGCCTGCTGGCCCCTGAGCTGCAGGCCCTCTTTTTCCCTAACTAAAAACAAATGCTAGCAACTTATAAAAGAAGTTTTCAAAAACTCATCCACAGGGCTAGCAAGATGGCTTGGTGGTTAAAGGCTCTTGACACCAAGCTTAACGCCCCAAGTTCAAGCCCCAGGACCCACTCTGTGGAAGGAAAGAGAGGGCGCCTCCAAGTTTTCCTCTGACTTTCACACATGTGTTGTGATGATTACACACACACACACACACACACACACACACACACAGGACTGGAAGACATGTAAAGCTTCCTTATTATGAGATAGATAATAGTGGCAGATCTGGGCGCTTCCTAAAAGCACCCTGTCCAGGCACATAGCCTTCTCTTTGGGAAACCTGGTTTTAGTTTAAGCTGTGATGTCTGTGGAGGGGGGAAGGGGGGATAGCACTGTGTGATGCTTCATAGCAGGATGCAGGAAGGGCTGGGAACCCCTCCATACCCATATTACTCACAGAACTCTGTCTGCTGAGATCTTTATGGTTGTGGCTTAATTCAACTCAAAAGTCAGATTCACCATCAAGCCAACACACCTGATGGAAGATTAAAGCAACTTGATCCCAGAACAGGAACACAACAGAATCAGCTAACAATGCGTATCGCTTTACTGTGGTCCAGACGTCATCTGTCACGTGTCTTACTATGTTCTGTCCTCTCATCACACCTGTGAGACATACGCAGTGATTACGCCAGGTCTCACAATGAAGAGCATTCAAGATGGCAGGGCTGGTATACAAAGGAGCCAGGACTCAAATGCCAGCGGTCTGATTCCAGCACAGGGCATTAGCCAGAACTGTGATTAGTCTCTATGTATAAAGCACTCTAAACCCTAGTAAATTCCTCTCAAAGGCCCACAGTGGAACCCACAAGACTGACTACAGAATTTTTGAAGTCTGGGAGAAATTAAAATACAGATTCATCATTTTAAAAAGTTATTAAAAGATTCAAGAAAGCAACAGGAAACAGAACCACAAGTCACATGGGAATCCCAGGCAAGCTGGTGCAGACAGCTGACGGGGAACTCGGCCAGACCCACAGTTGATGAATTCTTTTCGGAGAACAAGGCTGGTCCATCAATACTGTGAGAACAGAGATGGGAGCAGGAAGACCCAGGAATACGGAGACACCAGGATGCCTGGAGAGCACTGCAATCAGAGAGACCACTGGGTACACAACCCTCTCTGGAGTTCTGCTATGAGGAGTTGTGCTCCAGTGACTTCTGGTGACTCACAGCCTGTGCCTTGCCTATAAATCCCTCCTTGAAAAAAGCAATGCTGGCCTTTAATCCCAGCACTCGGGAGGTAGAGGCAGGCGGATCTCTGAGAGTTCGAGGCCAGCCTGGTCTACAGAGTGAGTTCTAGGACAGCCTCTAAAACAATACAGAGAAACCCTGTTTCAAACAACCAAAAAAAAAAAAAAGAGAGAGAGAGAGAGAGAGAGAAGAAGAAGGAGAAGGAAGAGGAGGAAAAAAGCAATGCTTTGCCTTATTGTAACACTGGTAGCTAGTACACTAAGAGAGTATAGTCACACTACTTATTAGAGAATGAAGACATAGTCCCATGGAATATTTTCTAGACTTAATTCAATGTTAGCATTGGATTTTCTTTGTAGGTATTTTTTCTCACTAATTTAGTCTCTTTGATTGTTAGAGATCTGTTCTGATTTTCTTTTTCTCTTGAGTTAGTTTCTGCAGTTTAGACATTTCTAGGAATCTAACCATTTGACCTGTAATCTAACTTGTTGATGTACAATTATTCATAACATTCTCTAATACATTTTATTTCTAGAAGGTCAGTAGAAATGCCTCTTATTTTCGATTTTAGAAACTAAATCTCACATTTTTGTTGGTAAACTCCTACTAAAGATTATCAGCTTTACTGATTCTTTAAAAAAAATAGCTGGTTTTCCATTCTATATTTTGTTAACTGTCACTAATTGTTATTTTCTCCCTTGACTGGAAATTTTTCAATATTATTTAATTTTTTTTCTTTTCAGTAGAAAAAGCCAAGCATGTGATTTTGCTTTTGTGATTTTGTTTCTACATTGTCAGTCTTTCTGAGATCACAGACTTTCTGTTGACTACCTCCCTCTAAAGAGACAGGGTCATGGGGTTACACAGTTCCTGAAGAAACCTTGGATATTATAGTGAGGCATTATTCTGCTAGCCATGCTTTGGTTATCTTCATGTCTGACTAATATATTTCCCTAGCATTAAGTCCCCCCAAAAATCTGAAGTACAGAATATACTCACCTTCTCATTTAGATCAAAGACCTCAGAGGTTATTTTCTGGATAACCTGATTGTGAATTCCTAGGGGGACCACTGTGTAAAAATCATATTGCACAGATCAAAAGACATTTTCACGAGCCCTTTCTCTGAGAACTGACATGAAGGACCCCATCCTTAGCCTCGACTGAATGGACTAGCAGTAGAACCTGACTTAAGCTGGACCAGATAGACTTTACTCTTGACCATTTGAAGTTACAACTAAGAGATAGCCCATCCTTCTTTTCTAGTGGCTGGAATTGTATGAACATTGAGCAATGAAATCAGCCTATTTTCCCATGAGAATGGAGAAACAGGGAAGGCTAGTCTGTCAGGAAAGAGAAACACATTGCCTATTTCCTGAGAGAAACAGAAAAGGGAGATAGTGTCTGGGTCCCCGATGACCTTCTGTTTCTCTGATCCAGTCTTGTTTTGAAACCTAGCAGTAGTCTTGACATCAATTCCGTAAGGTCACCCTGTACTATTACAATAAATTTCCCTTTGCCACATCAATACCATTGTCAATGAAAATGAAACTCCCATTACACATATTATATGATGGGTAGGGCTCTAATCACACTACCTAGATTATCTTCCATAAACCTCCCAATAATTCCATGGGTTTCCACTAAGGGAACAAGGGAAATAATATAATTTGCCCACTCTGGTACATCTAGTTGTTGTGGAATATTAGTTTAAGATGTGTTACATTCATTTATGCTGTGGAATATTTATTTAATGATGCAAAGATGTGTTACAGTCTTTTATGCTGAATTTGTTTAACTCTGTGAAGCTCTGTTACTTTGCCTGCCCAAAACACCCAATTGTTCTAAAAAAAAATGAGCTGCACTGGCAATATCTGGGCAGGAAAAAGAAACAGATGGGGCTGGCAGGCAGAGAATAAATAGGAGGAAAAATCTAGGGAATGAGAGCGAGGAGTGAGAAAAGGAGAAGAGGACACCAGAGGCCAGCTACCCAGTCACACAGCCAGCCATGGAGTAAGAAGGACAGAAAGATATGTAGAATAAAGGAAGATAAAAAGCCCAGAGGCAAGAATGTAGTTAAAGTGAAATAGGATAATTTAAGTTACAAAAGCCAAGCTAAGGCCAGGCATTCATAAGAATAAATCTCCATGTGTTTATTTGGGGAGCTGTGTGGTATGCCCCCAAAGAGTAAAAAACAAAAAAACAAAACAAAACCCCCTCAAAAACCTTACATCTAGTGGTGGGTGAACTCATGATTCATACCAATGCCAGTTGACGTCAGAATCTTGGCTCTATGCACCATATTACATGGCTCTTGTTTAGTGGTTCTAGTATTTAAGACCAAAATGACTATATATAGAGCTCTACTCAATTGAGTGCCATTCTGCCGGATCAAAAATTATCTGCCATATTCCCCAGTGTGCCAAAACTGATAGTTTCCTAAAATATTCTATGGCCAGTTTCAGCTCAATGCCTCTTTGGAGTCCACCTCTAGTTCCACGTCATCCAGGAAACCTGATTCCACATGTCATTTGAGTTGCTGTCTTCAGCATGTTACAATCGTACTCGGTAACTATTGCATGTATATCAGGCTTGTATGATAGTTAAGACTTAGTTTCTTGAAAATGGGGGCTTTGCTTTCTCTTTCTTTATGTCCTCCACCCATAGTATAATTCATTGGATTATGCAAAGGAAAGCTCAAATGGAATTAAAGACAACAAACTTAAAGGTTCAGAAAAGATGAGAGGAGCAGTCGCTATCTTTTCATAGGTGTCTAGAATGGTTTCCATTTATGGATCTTGTTTAAGAATTTGCCAGTGTTACAGTTTAACATTTCAAATCTCCAGAGGAAGAAATAATGGTTGCACTGAAATATACATCTTTCCTACCTACTGAATCCTCACCTAGCCGTAGATCTCCTTATCCTGGCTTTCTAAAAGTGATATATTGCTTACCCAGCCTCACACACACTGCTCTCACTCTTGGACATACATCTCACCATGACTGTCACAGCCCCCTTCCTCCACCTCAAGAGAGACAGGCTTCTTTTGCTTTGTGAAGAGTTTGACAGTGATAAGAAAACCCAGTCCTTGCATTTGATGTCTTCTCTGATTCTCAACACACACACACACACACACACACACACACACACACACACACACACACACAGTTTGTGAAGCATGATAGTTTGCCTCATGTGTCCAGCTGGTATCCTGACAACAGTCCATTCCATGCAAAGCCAAATCAGCATCTTGGCCCAGCTGTTTGTCCTCTCCTATGATAACAGTCACCATGATAATTCAGCTGTCCAGTCTTGAAGCCTGAGTCATGTTTGACTCAGAACATAACAGCACTAAAAATAAAAGCCATTTCTCTCCCTCTGCTCCTGTCCCGCCCCAGTACCTGATTCACATTCACACAATGGCTTTTGATTTCTTCCAGTCTGGGGTCTGTTCTGTTCCTTCCTGTCTAGGCTCTCTGGGAGACCTGGATTTTGGTACCAGCGTCTGTAGTGATCTCTTTTCTTCCAGCCCTCCTACCACCAGTCCATTCTGTTCAATAGCTGTGTCCAAAACCACTTGAAACTCATTCTCCTGCTCCATAATTTTCATGGAATTCTCCCAATATCTTTAGAGGGTCCTGGACTTCAGAACGGCCCCTGAATAAGTCATTATATCTTTTCTCTTGATTCTCATTCATCTTTTCCTGAAAGCAATTCTCAGCCCCTGCTTCATTGAGAGGTGGAAGGAAAATTAGGTAACTCTCCTGGAAAGGGCAACCCAATTGGTGAATTCCCTTACTTTGCAGGATCAGGGTCAATGCGGCTCAACTATGAATGCCCCTCTTTCTTGTGATTCTATCTTGAAAACTCCCACCGTGTTCGCTTCTGTCTCCTGGTTGAGACTCAGAAGTCAAACCACCCCAAGCATGGGTTCACCCCCTTACTTGTTTGTCTGGTTTTTGAGACAGGGACTCATGTAGCTCAGGCTGGCCTGGAGCTGCTGAACTTCCTGCCTCCACCCCTGATCATGCTCTGTGACTCTCAGAGTTCAACAGAGAACCTGCCATATGCCATGTTTCTTATCTGGAAAGTACAGAAAAATGGGTAAAAGGAGAGATGAGCGGTCACAAAACCAGAAGGTTTATTCACTCATTCAGCAAGTTCTTATTGTGTCCCTACTGTGTATTTGCTGTTTTGAGAAAAACTGTTGTGTATTGGGTTTGAAAGTTCACTATGTGTCAGGTACAGTTTTAAATGCTTTTCATAGCTCTAGGCATTGATTTAGTAAATTCTCACAATCATTTCACACAAAACATATGTTTTGGTTTTGTTTTGACAGTTGTAGCTATTTTGTTTATTCTGTTATTCTACATTTGAGTGAGCTGAGATATCCCACAGCAGGATAACTGTTGGTAGAGCATCCTGACTCAATGTCCACTCATATTACCCTATATATATTTGGGAGAGGCATGCCATGGTATATATGCAGAAGCCAAAGGACAGCTTCTGCCAATTGGTTTTCTCCTTTTACCATGTGTGTTCTACGAGCTGACCTCAGGTCTGCCAGGTTTGGCTGCAAGTGTAATACTAAGCCATTTCATAGGCCCTTCTTATTTTTAACAAATTTGACTAAATAGACATTCTTCTGGTAATATCAAGTGTTTGGTCATATCCCATAAGGTGAGAATGCAAGTACAAATAACACAGGAGGCCTCTTCCTTCCGGAACAGTGGTTCTCCACCATCCTAATGCCGAGACCCTTTAATACAGTCCCTCATGCTGTGGTGACTCCCCAACATAAAATTATTTCATTACTACTTCTTAACTGTAATTTTGTTACTGCTATGACTCATAATGTAAACATCTGATATGCAGGACACTGTGATAGGCAGCCGATATGGGGGGGGTCACAATCCTCAGGTTGAGAACCGCTGCTCTGGAAGCTCACACACTGGTAGGAAAGCACCAGCCAGAGCAACCCATACCAGTGCTGGTGGTTTATCATTTACGTCAGCTGTTTCAGCACAGATGGTGGGAGGGGCGCTCAGATGGCTGTAGGAGTGCTGCTTTAGCGGAGCAGCCCCCTGGCATTGCATCAGAAGTCTACAGTCCCAAGTCTGGTGCAGTGCATGGCTCCTGTCCATAGTCCCAGGAAGCTGAGAGAGGATTGCTATAGGTTGAGTCCAGCCTGTGTCTCAAATGAGGCTGTGTCTCAAAGGACTAAATAGAAGATAAAGAGGAGGAGGACGAGGAGGAGGAGGTTATGGCAGCTGCTCACAGTCTCAAGGAGCCATTATTGCCAGCTCACTTATCTTTCTGTCCTCACAGGCCCATCTCAAGCCTAAGAAACCCCAGGTACCTTTAGAAATTCCAGACCCAGTACCCCCACGAATTCTGTCTTTACTGGTCTTCTACAGGGCTTATTATCAGTAATTTTTTAGAGTATACATACAAGTACATTTCTAAAAATATGTTTATGTGCTCATCTTAAGAACCGACATATACAAAAAAATCAGAAAGGTACAAAACTTACATACCACCAGCCACCTTAGCAATAATCAGCGCCCACGGTGCTCTTTTTTTGTCTCTCAGTTTACTTTAATGTGATCAGAGTGCAGACCATAGATCTAAGCGATTCCTGCAAAGATTGAAATAGTATTGGATATAAAGGAAATAGGAGACGGGACAATGAACTTTGACCACAGAGGCTTCCGTGATCCTGTCCCGAATCCTGAAGTCTCCACAGCATCTCTGATATCTGGACCCCAGACAGAGACCCAGAGCTGCTATCATGCAACCACATACAAGGAAGCCAAAGACCTTATCAAATATATATGCTAAGTTACATTGAAGTTGTGCTTACTAGGTTAGATAAAATGATACCCTGTAAACATGAGTTTTTAAGTGCAATTTTACAGCCAAGACAGATGTTAAAATAATTGAGGAACTGTGTTGGGGGAACAGGAAAAATATAAGTGGTTAAGTGAAGAGAAATTGGATTGCGAGAAAGGAAACTCATGGAAAGGGGAAGAAACTGAAAAGGATAAAGGTTAAAAGCAACTAATATTTTCCTCTTTGGCACTTGACACAAGATGTGTAAAAGACGAAGCTTCACTGGGCAGGAGGTGGGGAAAATCAGGCCTGATTGATTCATCAAGGTCTCAAGAAACCACAAAGAAAAACCTCCTTCCCCGTTGTTCTTAAAGACACAGAGAAAGAATTGGGCATGGTGGTGCATGCCTTTAATCCCAGCACTCAGGAGGCAGAGGCAAGTGGATGGATCCCTGTGAGTTCAAGGCCAGTCTGGTCTACAGAGTGAGTTCCAAGAAAACCAGAGCTACATAGTGAGACACTGACTCAAAAAAAAAAAAAAAAGCCAGAGAAAGGGCCCTAACTTGGATAGAAGAGAGAAGCTGAGAAAACTGGAAATGAAATGAGAAATTCAGAAATCCCAAGTGTTCACTTACCCTCTGCCCTTGAAAGGAATGTGTAAGCCATTCCAATAACAGCAACAGAGTTAGTTGCATAGACACCTAACATTTGCCAACCGAGTGCCAAACCTGGGACCTGGGATAGGCCCCAACCACAGCAATGATGAGAAACTTCCTAGCCCTCAAGCGCCTGAGAGGGAACCTGGAGAGAAATGGGCTGAGAGATGTGGTCCCAGAGCACCATGACAGAGTAGTGGGTGGCAGAGTTAGGGTGTGAAAGGAGAGATATTGAGTAGTGAATGGGATCCAGGCAGTGGGTCAGTAGACAGCCGCTTCAGGCCTTTGAGCAAAGATTCGGTTTCTAGGCTGTGGAGCGAATATGTCCTGGGCTTCCCCGTCTGAAGTGACCATATGACAATAGCAATGGTACACTGTGTAGAAGAGGCATTTGGGGAAGGATCACGTTGGAGGAGTGTACCAAAAGTGAAGTAAAGCCTCATGGTCTCTAGGTAACCTTCTGCAGGGGAAGGCAGCTCTGTCTGGGTACAGTGACACGTGGAAGTGAAACTGACAACATCCTCGCTCACCCTACCCGCCCTCAGGTTTGTGTCAGCATCTGCAAGCCAGGATCAAGAACGCGGAGATGGCCATCAAGAGTTGACAAGAACCTCTTAAGATGAGCTGGGGCTTTTGTTTTTTAATCACCAAATGTACATGAGAAAGACACAATACATACAATCTTATTTCAGAAAAAAATTTAGAGACGTCAGAACTTTATGGGACACCTAAGTTCTATCAAGTATAAGAGTGAAAGCCTAAAGGGGGAGGGGAGAGAAAACAGAACTCCTAATGTCTAACAGGGCAAGAGGACACAGGATGGCGTTGAGGTGAGATGGGCCTCTGCTGCGCTGGTGACATCTGCTGTGACACTCAGATGACAAGATGCCAGCACAGAGAAGGCAAGAGTGAAGGCATTTAGACAAGAGCACAACTGCAAAGGCCCTAAATACAGGTTAGTATGGCTGGAACACCAGATGGGGATGAACACATACGGAGTGGATGGGCCACAGTCAACAAAGACTAAAGAGTAGAAACTGCCTGGAGAGCCATTTGCTTTCCCATAGTCTCTGCCTGTTGTTGTTCAACAAACCTGTGGTGGCTTGAATAGGAATGACCCCCATAGACTTGGCCCATAGGGAGTGGCACTATTAGGAGGCATGGCCTCGGAGTAGGTGTGGCCTTGTTGGAGAAAGTGTGTCACTGTGGGGGCAGGCTTTTGGGTCTCGTATGCTCCAGTCATGCACATTGTCTTCTTAGGCTGCCTACGGATCAAGATGTAGAACTCTCAGCTCCTTCTCTGGCACCATGTCTGCCTGCATGCTACCATGTCCCACCATGATGACAATGGACTGAATCTCTGAAACTGTAAGCCACCCCAATTAAATGTTGTCCTTTATAAGAATTGCAATGGTCATGGTGTCTCTTCATAGCAGTAGAAACCGTAACTATGACAAAAGCCAAAGCTGATTATTAACTGGGTCAATGTGACAAGGTCTAATCACTGAATGGCAGTGAATGCTCCCAGTTCAGAGCAAAGGAAAGAAAACAGGATGTTTCTTCCTGAAGATGACAGCACCCAGTGATCAAAATTGATTGAACCACTGAACTGCAGCCAGAGGCCTTTGTGAGTCACGGGGCCCCTCAATGAATAAACCTTATTCCAGTGTCATTCAGTAAGAGGTTTAGATTTTACTCAAGTGGAACAGAGAATCATTTGAAATTTTGAGCTACAGAATGATGAGCTCTTACACATATTTGTTTATTTTCCTTATGGTTGTTAGTTCCAAATTGGGTCCCCCAAAATGGTAGTGCTGGTGACAATGTTCTAAACAGAAGGACTTTGGTTGGGTAAACAGGATTGTTACTGGGTAAACAGAGCCTAAAATCTGGTTTCTGTTTACCAGAAAATCGGATGCCACAAGGCATGTTTCTGTTTACCAGGAATCTCCTTTAGTTCCTCAATCCGCCTCCCACCAAAGGCCAACTATCTTTGATAAGATCATCAGCCATTCATGTTTTAAGGAAATAGGAATATAGAGAACTTTCATATGAAAGAGAAAAACATTATAAAAGGCTACTAATAGCCAGATACTTTGGTGTGAGCCTGTGATAGCAACACTCAGGGCAGATACAGGAAGGTTGCTAGTTGAAAACACTGTGACACCCTATTTTTGTTTTTTTCCTTAAATAAAAAAAATCAGCACTCCTTAGACTACTGTCAAAATGTCAAAAATATTTTCCTTTAGATAAGTGTAAAAGGAAGATGCCTCTGCCGTTCACTCTGTCCCTGTACTGAAGGTCCTACCTAACACACAGGTCTACTCCATCCACGCTGTCCCTGTACTGAAGGTCCTACCTAACACACAGGTCTACTCCATCCACGCTGTCCCTATACTGAAGGTCCTACCTAACACACAGGTCTACCTCCATCCACGCTGTCCCTGTACTGAAGGTCTTACCTAACACACAGGTCTACTCCATCCACGCTGTCCCTGTACTGAAGGTCCTACCTAACACACAGGTCTACTCCATCCACGCTGTCCCTGTACTGAAGGTCCTACCTAACACACAGGTCTACTCCATCCACGCTGTCCCTGTACTGAAGGTCCTACCTAACACACAGGTCTACTCCATCCATGCTGACCCTATACTGAAGGTCCTACCTAACACATGAGTAACAGAAAGGGAAGAGAGAGAAGAAGAGGAGGTATGGGTCAGGAATGAAGAAATAAAACTGTCACTATTTTATCTCTGAAAAATGCTGCAGAACATGTAGATTAATGATGAGAATTAATATATGTATGTGTTGTAATCACTAGGTGGAAGCTGAAGTAACAGAAATTAGTTGTATTATGTAGGCAGCAATGAACAATCAGAAAGTAAAAATATTTAATGATGGAATTTATAATCACATCAAATTCACCAAATAACTATAAAAATATACAAGGACATCTACTTCAAAAACAAAAAGTATGATTGTGAGAAAACAAGGGAGACTAACATAAATGAAATACTAATCCACGTTCACAAGTATAAAAATCAGGGTTGCAAAGATCGTGCTTTTTCAGCACTACCAGCCTGCAATCCACACGTCCAGAGAAACTAGGAAACAAAGAGGACCCTAAGAGAGACATACATGGTCCCCTGGAGAAGGGAAAAGGGACAAGATCTTCTAAGTAAACTGGGAGCATGGGGGGAGAGGGGAGGAAGGTAGGAAAAAGAGAAGGGAAGAAGAGGAAGGGGAGGAGAACAAGAGGGATCAGGATGACTGATACAGGGAAGAATAGAGGAGAGCAAGAAAAGAGATACCTTAATAGAGGGAGCCAGTATAGGTTTAAAGAGAAATCTGCCATTAGGGAAATGATCAGAGATCCACAAAGATGACCCCAACTAAGAATCTAGGCAGTGGTGGAGAGGCTGCCTTTGATGCCCTTCCCCTATAATGAGATTGATGACTACCTTAATGAGCATTCTAGAGCCTTCATCTAGTAGTTGATAGAAGCAGAAGCAGACACCTAAGCACTGAGTCATATTCCTGGAATCCAGTTGTTGAGAGGGAGGAGGGATGAGCAAAGCAGTCAAGACCATGCTGGAGAAACCTACAGAAACAACTGACCTGACCTAATGAGAGCACATGAACCCCAGCTATAAAGCTGGGGAACCAGCATTGAACCAAACCAAGCCCTCTGAATGTGGGTGCCAGCTAGGAGGTCTGAGCAGTCTATGGGGCCTCTAACAGTGGAGTCAGTGTTTATCCCTAGTGCACAAATAGACTTTGGGAGCCCATTCCCTATGGAGGGATAGATACTATTTCAGTCCAGATACATGGAGGAGGGCCTAGGTCCTCCCCCAAATGATGTGACAGACTTTGATGATCCCCCATGGAAGGGGAGTGGGTGAAGGATGGGTTGGAGGGGCGTTAGGGGGCATGGGAAGATGGGAGGGAGAGGGAAGGGGGTGTTGATATGTAAAATAAGATTGTTTCTAAATTTAAAATAATATAAAAAGGAAAACATAAAACTTTCACTTTACAACAAAAAAGAAAAAAAGACAATGGTTTTCACACTTGATCTGTTTGTGTTTCAAAACTGACATGCTGGTTGTAAAGTTTATGTAGATGTGTAAAAGGAAAGATGTACAATAACCAAGATCTGAGGAACACCTAGATTGCCAGATAGCAAAACTTACTCTAACACTGCAGTAACGACAACAAGGTGGCATTATTACTGGATACAAATACACAACAGAGAGGCCAGGATGGAGCACAGGGCTAGTACAAAAACCAAATAGAGCAATGACTCCGCCAAAAGGAGCCTTGGGTACAGGGACACTTGACTATGCCAAAGGTTGTGATGAATACTAACTATCTCAGTAACCAATGACTAGGCAACTGGACATCCAAATGGACCCTTGTTTCATGCCATGCTCCAAAACCAAATACAGGCTGTTCCCAGCCTCATCATGAACTGTAAAATATCTAGGAGGCCGAGATGGAGACCATCTTCAGGGGAACACAAGATCATTGCGACACAGAAAGCTCTAGTCGCAGGAAAAGGGCAAAACCAAACTACAGTGAACTCAAGCTTGAGTTCATCAAAAGACACCACTTAGAGGAAAAAGAATGTTTTGGGGGAAATGTGTAAAAGCCAGCATGATATTTTTAACCTTATTATTTAAAATATTTCTATAAATCAGTAAGAAAAAGAGAAACAAGCAAACAGAGAAATAACCAAGAGACCAGATAGACTAGCCACTTCATAACAGAAAACACCCACTCAGGGATAGGAATGGGGTGGGGAGACGACTCCATGGTTAAGGACACCTGTTACACAAACACGAAGAATGGAGTTTGGATTCCAACAGCCATGTAATGAGCCAAGTGTCCCAGCACTTTAGCCTCAGATTTGAGGAAGGTAGTGGTGGGGGAGATAGTTGGAGTTTGCTAGCCTCCAAGCTAAACAAGTAAAGGGGGGAAGTAGAAAAGGTACTCAATCCTAGTATTCATCAGGAAAGTGAAAACTGTAACCACAATGAAATGATGCTATTCATACTCAAAAGGCGAAGATTACAAAAAAAAATCCTGACAACTACTGGAGAGGGACTCTCAAACATTGCTGAAAGGATTGCAAGTTGGTACAACCACTTAAGAAAAGGATTTGGCAGAATCCACTGTAGTTGAACATGGATATGCTGGGTGCCTTGTTCTTTGAGGTAGTTACCACTCCTAGGTATATGAAATGCAAATGCATCCATACCGAAGCATCCGTTCAAGGATGTCCACAGGAACACTGTTTTAATCACTCCAAGCTGGAAACCATCCAAGTGCATGCCAACAGAAAAATGCATAAGTGCATCACGGTATATTCCTACACTAGAGAGCTACATGTCAACAAGAGCCGACCACTGGAGATGGAGAGAGCTTCCCCAGCTGATTAATTCTCAGCTGTTTGAGTTTTCTAATCTCACCCCAGGCAGTTGACTGAGGAGACCTATGAGATGACTCCTGCTCCACATCCGTGCTGAAAGCAGTAATAGGAGAGAGAACAGGGAGCTGGGTGGGCATGGCATAGCCATCCCAGCTCGTCCCCACTGCATGAGCAAAACAAATGACTACAACACTTTTAAGCCACTGTATTAGGGATAGGTTTTACACAGCAGTAGGTAACCAGAACTTACATTGAACTTTTTAAGGAAAAACAACGTAGAATATACTCAGCAAAGCATAGTGCTATACACCAGTAATTCCAGCATTCAGGAAGGGGTGGCAGGAGGATTGCCAATTCAAGGCCAGCCTCAGGTACAGCAATAAGCTATTGTCTCAATCGAAATAAATAACCAGATAAAAAGAGAGCGGAATAGAGTCCACTTGTAAGTCACTTTTGAATGTTTGAGGAAGGAAAACCAATTGGCTAAGCTTATAACATTTCTTCTAAGAGCTATCTATCATTTAATATGAGATTCATAAACAGGATATGATTGTTTGCATTTTAAACTTAAAAATTGAAGAAAATGTCGGGATTTAAAAGTTTCTACTTCAGTAGAAACTCATTTGGGGACAAAGAAATAATCACAGGGAAAAGTCACTGGATCCTTTCAGACAGCTGAAGTGTGGAGTGATTTAGTGAATGCATCCTCCGAGTCCATGCCACGTCATAGGTGCTCTACCCAGTCAGGTTACTGGATCCTCACAACAGCCTGGTGAGGTGAGTTAATAGCCCCACCTGACAGACCAGGCTCAGAAGCTATGTAACCAGCCAAGGTCCCACAACCCATAAAAGATGGAGTCAGGCCTGACGCCTCTGGACCCTTCTCCTGTGAGGAAGGTTCATGAAGGTACATTTCTCCATGTCTCCCTTGGGGCAGTTGTGGTGCTGACGTGGCATGCCCATCCCCCATCTTGCCCCAAATCTTTCTGATGGATGAGGGGAGGGGTGTGAGTCCAAGGGGCCATCCAGGGAACATGGAAGAGAGCCATCTAGCCACAGAGACAATGGCTCTGTAATTCTCAAAGTTCAGGGGTGTGGGTTGGAGCTAAAGGAGCCTGTGCTCTGGACATAACCTGAGAAGAGTTCTGGAGAGGAGTTCTGGAAGCTGTGGGGAAAAACAGAAGAAGAAGGAAATTAGCACCTAACTCCACAGAGGGCTTGCCCAGTGTCACGGGATCTTTGCTGGGTTTCCATTTCCCCTAAGGATCATGCCCAATGCCTAGCCATAGGCAGTTGTGCCTTTCAGGTCTTTCGATCTGGAATATGGGGGGCAGGGTCCATTTCTGAAATTATCTAGCACTGTCTCTCAGTCTACGGTTCCATCCTCTCTCGCCATCCAGGATGCACTCCGCTTCCCACTCTGCTCATAGGTGATGAGAAACACAACCCCAGCCCTGCACTAAAAACCCAGCAAGCCTTCTAACCCTGCCTTTCATTTCTACAAAGGGGTGGGAAGATAAGGCCTGCAGCACAGCATGAGAAAAAAGACCTGAGAACCGTGCAGGGAGGGAATGCTGCCCTGGACCCCACCCACAGAGGGCCTTTGTGCAGACTCCAGAGTCTGCCAACCTAAGAGCAAAATGTCTACTCAAGAGATGTTTACTTGACTGGCAGCCATCAGCTTTCCCTCTGAGGGAAGAGTTTGAAGGCAGTGTGACAGTTCTGTCTCTGCCAGAACACACACACACACACACACACATACACACACGCACACATGCTCACACACACGCATACATACTCACATACACACACACGCTCACACACATGCTCTCACACACACACTCACACTCTCACACATACATGCTCATCATACACAAGCATACATACTCACATACACACACACGCTCACACACATGCTCTCACACACACACTCACACTCTCAAACACACATGCTCATATACATACACTCACACACACTCATACACACACATATCCTCACACAGACATACACACACACACGCTCACATACACACTCACACACATATGTTCACACATACTCATACATATGCTCACACAGACACACATGCTCATACCTTCACACAGACACATGCATTTTCTCTCTCACACACACACTCATACATATACATTCACACAGACACACACATGCTCACACACTTGCTCATACACACACCTACGCTTACACACACACACACACACACACACACACACGTGGGGGTGGAGGGTCACGGCATCAGGTAGAGCACACTCAGTTCTGAAGCTCCGGGCTAGACTCAGCTTCGGGTCTCTCTCAGTCTCCTCCCAGGCTGCTCCTCTGCTGGCAGAGGATTCTGCCAGCTGTCAGAAACCAAATCACTTCCACTGGGTCCTGTTTGTTGTTGAGTGGTTGGGACTGCTGTCCCCACCAACCCTTTCCCATGGGGTGGGTAGGCAAAGGGTAGGTTTCAGGGAGGGAAGGAGATGCCGTCAGTCACATGGAAGCTGTCTAAAATATGACCAATTATAACTGAATGTTTACCTCCTTCGGAACACTCCACTCGGTGGTTTGAAAGTAAAAGCCACCTGCTGTTTCCTTCCTCTCTGCTATTTAAATAAGAGGGATAAACACGGGAGGATCTGGGGAAACAGTGGTTCTGGGGAAGATCTCATGACAATTTGGAATAGTTCTTATAGGGGAGAAATGAGCCCAAGGCTGGAAGTTAGCAGGATTTCAGCTTGGTATGAGCAATGGATTGCTCCTGCCATGTGAATTACACGCTGTGTATGTGAAGAGCTTGTGCAAGGACCCCAAGACTTCTTACGATTTTACAAAGTGAGTCAGGCCTCAGAGTACTCCTGCTGAGGTGACTTCTAGTGCTGACGTATACTGTCCTCATTGCTGTCATTGCTGACCAACCAGGCACAAAACAGTTCTAGTCTCCTTATTTACCATGATGTCTGTCCTCTGATGTTTGCAAAACATCCTTCAAGTCGGGGCTTTGGGGCCTCTATTTGAATGGTTTTCTTTATCCTCAGAGAAATGGGTACTGACCTTGGAGGAGTTAGCATTCAAAATTAGCAAAATGGAGACAAAAAGTTGGTTGCTTAGGGAAGAGAAGGGAGAGCAAAGTCAGGGACTAGGCAAAAACTCGTACACACACGCGCACGTGTGTTTGTGTGTGTGTGCGTGTGTGTGTGTGTGTGTGTGTGTGTGTGTGTGTGGTGTGCAACAGCACGAAGCACCCACAGGCCACACTGGTCAGTAAGGAAGGGGATGGAGCAGGAGGTGTGGAAAGACAGAGGAGGACCAGTGAACAGGAAGGTAAACTAAGTTATCGTGGGTCCCACAGCCTCGGAATTACTCTACCGGAGACAACAACTTGTGCATCTTTAAATCCAATGTCTGTCTTCATGGCCTTCATCTCTCGCCTGCCTCTCTCCTTGGCTATGTGTACTGTTTTGGAAATACACATCCACTCATTCACTCTGTGCACCTCAGAGGCCTTCTACACTGGGCTAGTTCCTCAAATTTGTCGGTGCTTCCCAAAGAACGGTAGGTCCCTGCAGTGGCTCCCCTGTCACTTAAAATGCCTTCCAGACTGTGGACAGTGGGGGTTTCCTCAGGAAAAGCCAAGCCTCCACCACTGTTGGGTAGAGCCTGGGGGAAAATGTCACAGTATTGTAAGATGTATCAGGGGAATGTGAAAGCGACTTCCCAGAACTACAGACACAGCTTTCCTGGAAATCCTGCCTGCACCGAGGGGCCACCTGGGTCTGGGTCCAGGTCACAGCCCACACGCATGGGCTGCTGGGAAAGCCAGGCTGCCCTACACCTGTCACAGTGATGTTTAAATCAAAGCAGTGTCCAAGCCTCTGCCTGAGTGGCCAGCACCTCTGCTGCTGGGCAGGAGGAAAGCGTGACAGGGCCATTTGCTTCCCAGGGCTATGTGCCTGCCATCACCAGTCTCTTTGATTGCAACAGTCCTTCCTAGTCAAGTCTTAATGACAGCTGTTTCCCAGAACTTATTTGCACACCAGGGAGACCATCAGTAGAACCATGCCAGCATTCTCTTCCCTTTGAAATACATGCTGCAGACAAAAACCTCCCTAGTCCCAGCCATGCTTTCAGCGGTCAGCAAAATCTAGCCCCTCCCACCTCCAAAAAAGATTAGCCACCCACTGGCCTGCTCGAAATGTCAATCAGCCCATTCTCTGAAATGCAACCACAGCCATGAGTAGGTTTAAAAAATCCTCCATGCAAGCATGCGCCTGCTGCGAGTGCGCGGTAGGGTTATAGCAGAGAGTCCTCTGAGGGACTCTGAAGCGGCGCTCCTGCCCTGAGAAGCCGATAGAACCTGCACTGGAGAAACGGGCACATTCACCTCAGCATACTTACACAGGATCCTTAGCTGGTGACCGTGCCCGAGTTAGTTCTGCCCTCACCTCATGTATTCCCCATCACTCCTATAATCCATAAACGACTCTGATCCTGAAACCTCCTCAAAATCCTCCAGCACCAGACTGGTGGAGTCCTCACCCAGGGTGCCACTGTCAGGTCTGGACATCCTGGCCCGGGGTAGAGGCGCAGGGAAGTTGGAGGTAGCAGGAGGTGGGGAGCAAGGGGGTGTTGGCAGGATACAGATGGGCCTGGCCTGGGCAGAGGACACAGCTGCCTCAAAGACTTCTTCATCATCCTTCTCAGACTCGGGTCCTCCATCAGAGGCTGAGGACCCCAGCACGTGATAGAGGCTGGGGAGACGGATGTCGAAGCGCAGCCCAAACTTAGCAAATAGTTTGTCATTGAGAGTGTAGAGCTTCTCCGAGATGTCATAGCCCAGCAGGGCTGAGAAGAGGCGGGAGATGTATTGCTCTCTACTCAGAAGAAGGTGGAGGTTTTTCCGGGGCCAGGAAATGTAGCTGCATTCGGTCTCAGCAGTCAGCGTGACCTGAGGGGTTAGGAGCAGAGAGGTTTAAAGTGCAGGGAAACGGAGCTATTTGGATTTTGTAGCTCCCTATGGTCTAGCCGGGAGGAAGTCCAGGGACAGGCTTCTTGTGTGCACGTGATGTTCATGCGGAGTCAGGAGCTGGGGACCGTCCCATGCTCACTTGCCGATCACCTGGCCTCAGTCTTACACTTGGTTCTTACACTCTGTGGTTCCACTGCTGATAACAACAATGGCTGCCTAAGGTTCTTAGTAGAATGGTAAGGGAGGGAGGCTTCCTAGGGCACTGAAGAGAGGTCAAACTGAAGATTGCTCCCTTTTTTAAGAATAAAGAAGAACCAGACTTGGTGACCTATGCTTGTAATCCCAAGTACTTGGGAGGTTGAGGTGGGAGGATGACAGGTTCAAGGCCAGCTTAGGCACCTTAGAGGAGAAACTCAAGGTCTGGGAAGGAGATAACTTGCCTAGCACACGTGTGTGAGGCCCAGTATTAGCGGGAGGGGGACCAAGCACTGTAGCACAGTCACTATGAGATCTCACGACTCCAGGAGGAATACGGGCGGGCATAGAAGAAACCCATGCGCAGAGTGGAACAGGTCCCCTTCCTCAGTTATTTTCTTTTAAGTATCTAGGAATTTCTGCGGAAATTTCTGGTCCACTCCAATCAGGACCAGAAAGATGACTGAGTGGGTTAAGAGCACCTGATGTTCTCACAGAGGACCTGAGTTTGATTCCCAGCACCCACATTGGGCAGCTCACAGCTGCCTATAACTTCAGCTCCAATGGATCTAAAGCCTTTGATCTCTACGGTTACCTGCACTCTGTGCATGTCTCCCATACACATTTAAAAATAAATCTTTTTTTTTTTTTTTTGGTTTTTCGAGATATGGTTTCTCTGCGGCTTTGGAGGCTATCCTGGAACTAGCTCTTGTAGACCAGGCTGGCCTCGAACTCACAGAGATCTGCCTGCCTCGGTCTCCCAAGTGCTGGGATTAAAGGTGTGCGCCACCACCACCTGGCAAAAAATAAAATAAATCTTTTGAAAAGACACAAGTTAAAAAATCTGGCCTTGCCTACTTGCCCTCCCATCACTCCCTTCTCCTTCTCAGTGTCCGCTGAACCACTTCCTACTCCCCACAGCTCCCTGCCTTGTCCAGATGTCAGACGAGGTCCCTAAATTAGTCATCAAGGTCAGGGGCTGGTTGCTGGTTTCAGCTTTACCCCTTCGCCAGCTGTGTAACATCCGTTACTATGTCCCGGGATGTTGCCTCTGAGAGAACTCTCAAGAGAACACTCACAATCTGTCTGTTGCCAATGACTGAGCATGTGGATGTCACACTCAGTCATAGCCCCTGCCTTATATGCCCTTGCCAGAAAGTCCCAGACAAGAAACTGGTGCCAACCAAGAGCAATTATACCTGATGATGCCCTGACTTGGATGACGTCAATGTCCTCAAGGCCAGACACAATGATTATGGGCTTTCCCCCGTGTGGGCTGTTATTGCTTCCATTAAAAAAGAAAAAGAAAAGAAACTCCTTTTCCTTGTCTTACTTTCATGATTGGCTACCATTATATTTATTCCCCGTTTTAGCAAACTCTACAGAAAACTGTCTATACCAAAGGTCTCCTTTCTTCTGACTTGCTTTTTGACAAATAAGGCTGTCAATCATTGTTCCTGTCAATCAAGACCCCCAATGGCCTCTCAGTTGCTTCTTCCACAGGTCTTCTGGGTCACCTCTCTTTGACAGACTGTCTTCCTGGGGTTCTCCAGATGCCAAACCCTCCTGAGGCAACCTCCTGACTTCTTCAGGCTCATTTTGTTTTCTTTTTCTCCCCAGTTTCTTAACAGAAGAGGCCAGGTTTTCAACCTCTATCCTCTCATTCACTAGGCATTGCTGTCCCATCCAATGGCTTTTAGTGTTATCTGCATAAACCATCCCTGAATTTATCTCTCCAGCCCAGACCTCATTCCTGGATTCCAGACTTGACTATTCCAACTGCCTTTGCAACATCCCCACTGTCCAGTGTGAAGCAAATTGAACATATCCCAAGATGCACTTCCCCTCTGACAAGCTCCGCCTGCAGCCGCTGCATCCTTCTTGGTGCTCAGGTCAGAAGCCGCCTTCATTAATTAGGCTCCACTTGCTAGGAAACCTTTTGGGCTCCATCTAGAAAATGTATGCTCTGGCCCTTATAAATCAGGTTCCCATGACACCTCTACGGCTTCCTCTTCTGCTAGCTGCACATCACCTCCAGGTGCTCCCCCGTCTGCACCTGAACCCTGCGGCTCTCCCTCGGGACTTTAGCACTTGCTCTGTCCTGTGTCTCACAGATGACCAGAGTGCACACTGTCTACTCGCTAGCCTTTCCTCAGCTGTCACCTGTGTAACAAGGGCACCCATGAGCAACCTTACACTGCTTTCTGCTGATCTTTTAATTAGCAGTCATTATTTTCCAACATAGTTATCTATTTGTTATATCTAGGGTTTATTTTTGTCTCTCCTGCTAGAGTATAAACTGCGTAAGGGCAGGATCTGTGCTGTTCAATGATGTATTCTAAACCCTTTCAGCAGTGCTGACATATACCGAGTTCTCCATAAGCACCTCTGAAGGGAATGATGCAAGTGAAGACTAACAGTCTTGTATGTTGTCAAACAGCCTACTGTCACTTTCCCATGTCTTATAAAGTCCTTCCTTAGAGTCTGGAGAAATGGCTCAGTGGTTAAGGCCACCTCCTGCTCTTCCAGAGGACCAGAATTCAGTTCCCAGCACCCGTGTCAGGTCACGTACTACAGCCTGTAATTTCAGCCAATGCCCTCTTCTGGCTTCCCAGGGCACTGCACCCATGTGCACATACCATCGCACACACCATATACATACACACATAACTAAGAACAAATCTGTTTTAAAAGTCCTTCCCTAAAGGTGCTCTAGAAATCTACTTTCTTTTATTTTATTTTTGTTGTGTGTGTGTGTTGGGTTATGTGGGTATGTGTGTGTGTGTGTGTGTGTGTGTGTGTGTATGTTAGGGGGTATGTGTGGACACATATGATATATATATGTGGGTGTGCTGGCCTGTGCATGTACATGTGGAGGCAGAAGTTGACTTCAAGTACCTTTCTCTATTGCTTTATATCTTATTTTTTGAGATTTAACCTAGCATTTGATTCAACTAGAGTGGCTGGCCAGGAAGCCCCCCTGATCTGCCTGTCTCTGACTAGCTCAGTGCTGGTGATACAGGCACATGTCACCATGCCCTACTTTTTGTTGGGTGCCAGTGATCTTAATTCAGTCCCTACTGCACCTGCCCCTAACCTCCAGAAATCTACTTTCTGTTCGTTCCCATGCATACAGGACTGTCTGTCATAAAGATTTGATAAGTACCAAGCTTTTCTTTATGAGCACACATGTAAATAGGACAGGAGTCCAGTAGAACAGGACATTGGCGCCTAATGATAAATTCTGTGGGATGTGCCCGGGCTCTTGGCAACTCATGAAAGTGTCACAGTGCCACCGCCAGTCAGCAGATCTGGGGTAACTGGATTGTGAGAGGTGTGATGGGAGGCTGAGATCTGTGTTAAACGTGTTGTGGATTGTGATTTAGACAGTCACCAGAATGGTTCTTCCAATCAACAAAGCTATGTAGGAGGCAAGATCAAGATGAACTATAAGCCAACAACATTTGATATCTGCAAAGAGGAAATGGGACTTAACACAGCCAACAGCAAGGGAGTGGATCTCATGGCTTCTAAATGAGGCACACACACAAGACATAAAAGAGAGGGATATGAGTGTGCTTACATTCCAGGCCCAGAGGCCATCTGGGGTAACAGCCTTTCCTTTGTCATATCACCACCTGTTCCTCCCTGTCAGCGCTCTAGCCTGGTGTGGCTCCAGCCACTCAGCTCTTCTGGTCATTCTCCTGGCCTAAGGGAGTTCCCAGAGAATGCCTCTGGGTGAGGCAGAGAACGTGGGGACAAAGGTGTGACTGGAGGGGGTCAGTGGCTAGTGGCCCTGGCAATGGCAGCAAGACTGTGTCTCTGACAATCTCACCACAGAGCAAAGAGCCAGGATTAGGACGGAAGCTGGCCCAGACAGTGGCATTGCCTGGCATGCGTCTGTTCCGGGGTTAGCTCATATGCTGGCTAGGGGACTCTCTGGTAGACATCACAGAAGACACACAGACCCTAGGACAAGCAAACTGTCTGTAAGAGTCCCTAAGAGGGTTGAGTGAACCATTCTTATGATGCTTCTTTCATTTTTTAAAGAAAAAAATACAGTAGATCCAGGCTCCTTCTTGGCTTTGTCACTTTCCGGCTGAGTGCATGATGCTTTGGAAGCTGAGATGCTTTGTCTGTTAAACAGAGTAACAGTAATATCCAATAGCAAGTTGTGTGAATCAGCAAGGCAATACAACATGCGTGTGTGCCATATTCTAGCCCTCGGCACTCCAGAACCACAAATGTGAAGGGCAGCAGAGGGGTCAGCAGGGGCTGAGTGGCCAGGATCTCTGGGGCCTCAGGGGAGTGAGTGACCCATACAACATTCTGAGACACCAAATGCTCATGGGCAACCAGTTCAATAAAAAATGTGTTCTTGGGACTGTGTTTTGGAGCGTGGAGACAGAGACAGAGACAGAGACAGGGACAGGGGCAGGGGCAGGGGCAGGGCAGAGACAGAGACAGGGACAGGGATAGGGGCAGGGACAGGGACAGGGAAAGATGGAGATGTCTCCGTGTCGTTAGACTAGACAACATGCACACAGCCAGCATAAACAAAGGGAAGAGCTCTAGCAGGCAGATGGCTGCAATAAGCAGTGAGACACAGAGGCGGGCAGCAGAGCCTGACCAGCCCTCACAGAACAGTGCTGGGGAGCACGGTGGCTTGCTCAGAGGGAAAATGCATTTCAGACAGAGGGACAACAGCAGGGTCAAGGTATGCAGGTGCCGGGGTTCGGCAGAGCTAGAATGAGCAGCATGAACCAGGAGGTCTGGAGATGCAGCCACAGAGTGCTTAGAGTTTCAGTTACCCCATGTAGGATGGGCTATTTTGTCCTTTAGGCATTAGTCTTTTGTAGGCACACGTGATGTAACTGCCTGTCAGGGACTAACACCACCCTACCATGTTCCCCAGACCTGGGAGCCCAGGCATTCTTCTCCCAGAGGAGGCAGAGGTCATGACCTCCTCCACTCTTAGCATCACATCTGGTGGTGGTCAAAGGGCAGATGTGAGAGAGGGAGGCAGCGAGGCTGGGGGCTTACAGTGACAGGTGAACAGTGCTGCCACGGGGCTCCTTATTACCTGGAAGGTCCCCTCCTCAGAAGGCTGCAGTGATTCCCACTCGGGAGAGTCCATGAACTGGTAGGGAAAGATGTAGTGCAGAAACTGCCCATCCTGGCTCACTCGAACCCTGACAAAAGGAGAAAAGACACTGAATGGGGAAGGATAATGACTGCTCCTGTGCGCTCTGTTAAAGTCACTTATTGCTGATTAGTTCAAATCCTCCAGCAGAAATACCAACTAAAGTGTGGAGAGGCCAAAGCAGATGTGACCCGACTAAACATGGAGACTAAGCTCTAGTGGCCCTCCTTCTTCTCATACAGGATTTTCTACTCCAGACTGCAGAACTAAAGCCCGGGGGCAGGGGGAGGGGGGCACTAAACTCTTAGGAGCCTAACATAGTGTCTTATGTGCATATAAGCCTAGCATAGTGAATCATGTGTATGTGAGTTCATGAATGGCCACTCGACACTTGGGAGGCTGCAGCAGGGGGACTGCCACGAGTGTGAAGCCAGCCTGGCCTACAAAATAAGTGCCAAGCCAGAAAGGACTAGAGTGAGACCCTGTATCACCACCACCATCACCGCACACACACACACACACACACACACACACACACACACACATCAAAGGAGAAGGAGGAGAAAAGGAAGGGGTAGGAATGAATGAAGGAAGGAAGGGAGGATGGGGATAGGCAGAGATCTGGGAATTGTAACGGGAGAGCCTGTTTTTCCTTTTTTTGTTTTTTTTGTTTTTGTTTTTGTTTTTTCAAGACAGAGTTTCTTGGAGTAACAGCTCTGACTGTCTTCGACCTCACTCTGTAGACCAGGATGACTTGGACCTCACTGAGACCCATCTGCCTCTGCCTCCCAAGTGCTTCATTTCTTCCTTTCCCCCTCCTTTTCACTCTTCCCTCTCCTTTCCCCTTTCCCTCCTTTCCCTCGTCCTTCCCTCTTCCCTTTTCTTTCCAGAGTACTCTGATTATCATCTTTTTTAGCCACACATGATCTCCAGCAAGGTGATGGAAGGGACTGTCTATGGTCAAGTGCTACAAGGGCAACATTTCAAAGAATGCACAAATGTTTATAAAGTGTGACACTCAGAACCCATGGTGTTTTCTCATTAAACATCAGTGGTCACTGTTGCCATGGGAGCTAAGACTCACTCTGATCATAAAGGCAGCCGATGTCCAACTGTCATTCTTCCTCTGAGGTACATGCCTCCACTAAGTCTCCAGAGGGACATCCGTGGGTCATTACTCTCTTCTGTCACCATGGGTCCTCAAATTACAGACTCTCAATTACAGATTAGAGACCCTCAATAGAACAATTGGGCTTGGAATAAATCAAAGCTATTTCCTTTCTGTAGCTGTCAGTACATGGGCCACACTCCAAAGCTTGTATAGGAGATCTCAAATACAGCGGGGTGCTTCCTTGATGTCCTGGCAGGAAACAGGGTCACTACAAACCTCCTGCTTCTGGGTTTACTTCCTGTACATAGATGGTGCTTAGCAAATGTTAAATGCGCATGGAAGAAACAAATCAATCTCATTGAAATGGCCAGTTTTCTAAAGCTCATAGAGAGGTGTGTGTGGGTGGGTATGTGTGTGGGTGGCTGGCCGTGTGCATTTCAGCTCTAGCCTCACCAGACTTTGCGGCAAGTGAACACGGTCACCCTTGACAGCCTGGAAGATGCCCCATGATCTAGTTTCGTCTTGGAAAGTGCCAAGAAAGAGGAAGCAAAGTCACTCCTAGAAAAGTCTATTTGGGTTTGTTTGACTTGCCACATCCTTCCCTCGATGAAAGGGGGCACGGAATGGAAAGGGACACTAGGACGTGGGAAGTGTGGGCCGGGGGAATTCCAGGCATTGACAACAAAGAAGGTCTTACCGGCCAGAGAGGAGCAGGGACAAGCGGTTGATGGGTGTCTCACCCTCCACGGCGTAGGTCTGCTCGGTGGCTAGTGTCAAGACCTGCTCTTGGCAGCAGTGGACAATTTCCTTGTAGACCTGCAGGGGCACCTGCAGGGGCAGGCACAGTGTCTTGTAGAGGAGATTGAACTCCTCGGGGAGGGTATTCACCCGAAGGCGATACACCAGATGTGCCAGCTGAAGCAGGCAAGCCACGGTCAGCAAGATGTTCCAAATGACGATGTCTAGCCCGCAGGCATGAAACCAGCCCCACAGCACATAGCAGAGGTAGCCCGGGCCCAGGATGCCGAAAAGATAGAAGCATCCGTACACTCCACTGCCTGCCATAAATCCCATGAGCAAGAAGCAGTTGGCCAGGTGGTAGACGGAACCTTCCATGTCCTGCTTCCAGCTACTGCACACGGGCCCACGCCAGAGGAGCTGACCCAGTGTGCTGCCGTTGGCACTCATCTTTGGGGCTCTCAGGGCCTTTCCAGGCCTCTCCACAAGGAAAAAAAAATCAGTCAATCGGTCCTCCCCGGTGACTTTTCACCACCAACGCTACCTTTGCTGACAGGAATGCTTCTGGTGGCTCTGAGAAAGAATGCCAGAACATAGTATAGGTCGTGGAAGATGGACAACCTAGGTTTGTTGTTTGGGGTGATTTTTTCCTTCTCTCTCTCTCTCTCTCTCTCTCTCTCTCTCTCTCTCTCTCTCTCTCTCTCTCTCTCTCTCTCTCTCTCTCTCTCTCTCTCTCAGCACTGCTCTTGTCCTCTTTGCAGCATTCCGGTGAACTTCTTTCGCTCTGGCTTTCTTAGGATAGTCTTCATATTTAGTTGTCAGCAAAAAGCATGAACTGTCCTCAGAGAGAGTAGGCTCCCAATACCAGAAACATCGGCAGCACGGGGCAACGAAGCCACATCCTGCTTTCTGTTGTTCCCAAGCAGAATGAGGCATGAGAGCCAGCAGGAGAGACACACTTGTGTTCCATTTGGAATGCGTGTTCTCTTGGCACCGGAAGAAAGGGTGACCCCAGAGGGATACCATGTTTGGAATTGGAATCCAAGAGGTACTGGCAGTGAGAGAAAACAGGCCAGGCTAGCAGGCAGGCTGGTACAGCACTTAGCATACCTCCAGAGGACACGATAAGAGCCTGGGTCAACAGAGCCAGGCAGATCGGGTCAAAGGAAAAGCAGGCAGAGAATTTAGGTCCACAGAGCAGTGGACACACTGCAGATGTCCTGTCAGGAGAATTTGGGGATTGGCGTGGGGTAGGAGGACAGTTCAAAGTGGGAATGCCTGGGACTATTAACAGAAACAGTACTGGCAGCCAAAACCGGAAAGCCCCATAAAAGGTTTAAGACACTCTGCAAACATCATCACGTACTGATTTGACATTCGTTCAACAAAAGCAGCTGTGTGAAGCAGCTCCTTCAACTCTAAGTTGACACTCCTCTGCAAGTATCTGCACCTAGTAATAGTTAATAAATGGCAACACATCACCCCATCTACACCAATAACCTCAAATCAGAATGACTACCTAGGAAATACTCATTTGGTGCTCGATCAGAGGACATTTTATACATGTATTACTCAGTCATCACCGTTCTCTCAGAGCTGAGGAAAATGGAGTCTCAGAGAGGCTGGAGCTTGAACCCGAGACTGTCATACTTAATGCTCTGTTTTAAGTGGGCTTCAAGGTAAGAAGAAATGACAAACATGTCAAACTAGATCCATTGACTCCCAACTCCACACTCCCAAGACATCTGATGACTTCTAAAAACTTCTAAGCATACCCAGGGGATCCACTTTGGACTGCTGAGAAGTAGAAATGGGTTATGCAAACATTAAGCCAAGAAACTTGATGTCCTGGCTTCTGGGATGGGACGGGGGAGGCTTGCTGGGTCTCCATCCTGGCTGCTGGGGTTGGTAGTGCCTTCATCCTTATTGTTCCCAAAGTTTAAGTGAGGAACCAGTAGCCTGGAGCCATCCAAATGCTAACTCCTCAGGGACTCACTGAATTTAACAGCCTAACACTGAGGAAAAAATTAGACATTGTTGAGTGTGCTGTTGAAGTTTCCATCTCAAACACTCACTAAGCACACACTAATGACCCGAATGTCACTTTTCAAGGAGAGGCTACAAACAACAAATGCCTGAAACAAATTACCAAATTAAGTTTACAGAAGAGTGTGACATGGAAGAAGGGCATGTGGAGAGGGCTGGCTGAGGGGCGAGGTGTGAGGAGAGGGAGAGCAGATTTTGTCTGGTGGACTGAGATGGCAGAAGTCACTGACGTGTGAAAGTTCTTGGCATGCTGAAGGAAGACATTTTAAAATTTTAATTGGAATAAATGGATCTGCAAATGGCTACATACTTCAGCCTCTCTGGAGAGAGGCAGAAAAGGGCTGGAGCATTCAGAGAACCAAGATGACAAGCATCTCTCACAGCCAGCTGTGCTTTGGACCTGTAATGCCTTTTTGGTGTTTTGCTTCATTTTATTTTTTGAGCTTGGGTGTTACTTCATGCCAGGTTGACCTGGAACTCACTAGATGGCCCAGGCTGGCCTAGAATTCTGCCAATCCTCCTGCCTGGCCTCCCACATGCTAGGATTACAGGTGTGACTGTGATGTCATCTGTGCGGTGGAGGGTGGGGATTTCCGTATGCTGCCTTGGTCACGTGCCTGCTTCCCAATCAACCTACCTACTTTAGCAAGCAGCGCCTATTTGTGAATCATGCAAGGGGCTCCCTGGATTGGAATCCCTGCCAGCCGAGGGCAGGAAAGTCAGGGCAGGCAGGCAGAGAAACAACCAAGGCTCTACCCGAGATAGAATTTCAAAGCAGGTCAGCAAGACTACCCAAGGGCTTGGCCCTGACTCTTTAAAGAGACAGGCAGGTCAACTAATTAATCACTGCTGACTTGTCTAGGATCCCTACCAGTCACCTGTGATTAATTGAGCAGAGGGCACTAACATCTATCAAGCCGCTATCATTTTCTAATGTTAAACAAGATACCTATTGTTTTATTATCTAATTTTTTTTGACAGGGTCTCACTACATAACCCCCCCTCCCGCTTTAATGAAAGAAAAAGGCTTAAAGGAAGCTTGCCTAAGATCGAAGAGTTAATATGTGGGTAATGATTAAAGCCTAGGTCAGTGTGAGTCTAAATTGTAATTTTCCACTACACCAGTCTACAAGGTATGCGGGGGAGTTGACAACACCCATATACATGTATTATAACAGAGGATCTGACTATGTTTGAGTGGTGAGATTAGTGCCCATAGACCAGCAGAATACAATAACAGGAAATTATGTCTTTTTTTTAAAAAGTCAGTTTGATAAAGATAAAAGAGAAAATATATTGTGTCTGTTAAGGTAGTGTGTCCTTCTGAGGAAACCCACAGACATAAAAACACACACAGTGGAAAGAAACAGAAGTCACGTTATTTGACAATTTAAGTCAGTAACCTTATTCAGAAAAACTGTGAGGTGGTAGGGGGGGGGGACCACAAAGATGAATGGAAAAGGGAGGGGTTTTTGTTTTGTTTTGTAATCTAGAGGGAAGACTAACCTGGAAAAGAAACTGCAATTTCATAAAAGATGACCCCAAGGTCAAAGGAAAATCTCTGCTGGAAGCACAAAGGGTAAGGGGAAACAAATTGCAGGGAGGTGATTTAAGGGGGTCTGGAATCCGGGCAGGTGCTCTCCAGCAGGGGAGGGCATCTGGGGAATAGGGAACAGATGTGTTGGCAAGCCTAGTGTTCTAGGTATGCATTGTGATACTAACGTGGCCTGAGACCTCTCATCCAACTGTGCAACAAACACTTGTAGGTACCATGGTCGGGAGATGGCATGCCTAAGCATGAGGACAGATAAACAGCAGCAGCCTAGGTTGCCCAAGGTCTGACTTTGCCATGGTCAGAAACACGACACCTCCCATCTCCTGACTCTTGACTAGAGAGTGCCACATCCATGTTGCTTATGGCCCTCTACTTGGGTGTTCAGCTTCTTGGAGATGAATGTGTCCTGATTCAGATCTTCCACAGGCTCTTCTTCAGGGAACAGCTTCCTGAACACTTCCACTCTTAGAGGAACTGATCCTGTACACTCGATGTGACCATCCAGGATGACCTCATGGTTATGTGGGTGAGATGGAAAACTAGTGTCTGACTCAATAGTCATTGACCCTTTCCTCCTGTGAAACAGAACTTCAGTTTTTCCCAGAGATCTTACAAGACATGAAAGAGGCAGTTTAAAACACTTAGCCTTAGATGTGCCTCTGGCAACTATTGTTTCATAAAAATACATGTAACAATATTACTCAATCAGGCTGAAAAGTGGATTTAGAGATTCCATGCCTGGGGACAGGTTTCTGCCTCTCCTGCCTGTCTTGAACAAGAACAATCACGCCTGGTTTCACTGGTCTTGAAAATATACCCAGGTGCTGGGTGGCACCAGTAGCTACCATACAATTGCCTACAAAGTTGCCCCATCTCTGGACTCTTACACTTGGGCTCATTTTTCCTGATGGAAATTTTCTATATGTGCTATTGAACCCATTAGACTTGACAAAAGGTGAAACTTCTATGAGTTTTATTTTTTTATTTTTTATTTTTTCAGTAAGACAGGGTCTTGTAGCCCTGGCTGGCCAGGAATTCACTATGTAGAACAGGCTAGCCTTGAATTCAGAGAGATCCACTTGCCTCTACTTCTGGAGTGCTGGGATTTAAGGTATGTGCCTTCTTGGTGAGGGGTGGGACTTGGTGCTGATTTTCCTTTCTCCTGTGCTGGGGGGTTTTGTCTGGCTTGAACCTGTAAAGGTCTTGTGCATGCTGTCACAAGTCTCTTTGAGTTTATACGTGCATTGGCCCTGCTGTGTCTGGAAAATGTAGTTGGTATCTGCTAGGAGAGGAGAAATCAGTTTTCTTCAATGGAGTGGCACTAGGTATGTCAACCACACACCAGGGTAGGCAGGCCTCATGGTCAGGAATAGTTGGCCAATACAAATCAGACTCCGTGTGTGTGTGTGTGTGTGTGTGTGTGTGTGTGTGTGTGTGTGTGTGTGTGTGTAAAAGCGTGTGTGTGTGTGTATGTGTGTTGTAAAAGCGTGTGTGTGTGTGTGTGTGTGTGTGTGTGTGTGTGCTGTAAAAGCGTATACATGTTCATGTGGGTACATGTGTATGTTGAGGCTAGAGGTCAATGGTGTATCGATTCCCCCCACCCCACTCCTTTTTTTTTGAGACTGGCTAGACTGACTGGACAGTAAGCTAGAACTCTGAAGAGCTGCCTGTTTGACACACGCACATACACACACACACACACACACACACACACACACACACACACACACATAGTGTTGGGGTTACAGATGCACACTCCTGCACCTGGTTTTTATATGGGGCTGAAGACTGAAACTCAAGTCTTCATGCTTGTGAGGCAGGCACTTAATCAATTGAGCCAACTTCCAGCCCTTAAGTTTTTAATAGCTAAATGAAAAACCAGTGGGCAGTTACACATGAACTCTTGTGGGAAGCACCTTGAATACCCATCATAGTAAAAAAAAAATCAGATTTTCATTCCTGACTTTTTATTTACTCATCAGATTAGAAGCTCTTTATGAGCAGAGTACACACGTTATTAATCTTTACATTCTGAGCACACCAAAAGTTGAAACAGTGTGCCCTTTTATCTAATGTCTCTGCCTGGAGGACAGTCTGCATATGTAATGTTTATTGTCATGTGTTGTTTGAGCTCATTGAGAAGCTGGCTCTGGAAGTGGTGCTGCCTCTTGACCCTGTCCTGTCCTACCCCACCCCCCATGCACACACTTTAGAGTAGTGGTTCTCTAATGCTGCGACTCTGTAATACAGCTCCTCATGTTGTGGTGACCCCCAACCATAGTATTTTCATTGCTACTTCATAACTGTAATTTTGCTACTGTTATGAATGCAAATGTCTGTGTTTTCTGATGATCTTAGGCAACCCACGTGAAAAGGTCATTCAACCCACAAAGGGGTCACGAGCCACAGGTTGAGAACCCTGCTTTAGACCCAAGCAGTTGGTTTATGTCAAGTGTCCTCCAAAATCCATCTTGGATCCAGCTGAACACCTGGAGCAGAAACAGGGAGAGGGACAACGCAAGCAGACAAGGGCGTTTAAAGCATTATGCACTCGAGAACTGCTAGGAAGTGAATTATTTCCATCAGAGACTATTTATTCCATAATAGAAAACGCCTGCAGTGGGAGTGCGACGCTGGAAGGTTCCTCTCAGTGAGGAATTCCAGCTGCCTTGGCTTCCCAGTCGGTTTCTGCTGGATAATTGTAAGCAGCTGCTTTGGGGATGTTACCTTTCTGCTGCAGTGTTCTCCTTTGCAAGAGACACCCTGCTCCACCCCGACGCTGAAACAGGAACTCCAGCTGGCTGCCTCCAGGGCTTCCCTGATAATTTCTGCTAGCTGCTCTGAGCCCCTGCTTTGATGGTTTTTGTTATTTGTTCTCTGACTTTTGCTTACTATATACTCAGTGAATTCACTCGTTCACTACTGTCATTCTCCATTCCAACAGAGGAAGGGGTAAGTCGGATCACATAATCAATATTTAGGGCTGTTCTGACACACTAAGTATGTACTGGATAACATACATCCGCAAATGTGAATTTGTATCAGGTACCTCATAAGCAAGCACTGGGCTCAGAGGCCAACAATCTAGACGTGCATGCCAGGCTGCCAGCTACTTGTCTCTGAACGCCTGTACTCACCTCACTTGTGAAACAGGGATTACAGTTTCTCCACAAGTATCACCACAGACCCGTGGAAGGCAGAGTAATTCTAGGATTGGCTCTGCCTGGGGACATGGCCTGTTTTCATTAACCTTGAAGTTGATCGTTTGAACATTAGACAAAGAGAACTGTTAGACAAAGTGTCAAAGTGTCTATACTGAGTTTAGGAATTACTGAGCCTAAGAAGACCTAGTAAAGAGGTGTGTCAAAATTCGGTGGTCACCTATGAGATCAAATTCTTTACTTTTCTGTCACTGTGTTAATATCTAAGTATTAGTCCTGAACTGCCACATACTGTCTCTGGAATGGCTGTGCCTTAGGGAAGGACAGACAGAAGGTCTTCTGGGATGTACTGTCAACGGGTGCTTTAGTTCCATACAAACCCAGTAAGAATACCAAATTGGAAAAGGTCAAAATATCAATGCATTGCCTCTGAGCTGAGGGAAATGGGAACCCCAGACACTAAGGAACACGTGGATATTGGCTTTCTAAATATGAACTGGGCAGTACCCATCAACAGCCTTGAAAACATGCATAACCTCTAGTTACCCTTCACTGAGTGATAGGCTGGTGGGTTTCTGGTGATTTCTTCTTCACATGACCATAAAACCAGCCAACAACCAACCAACCAACCAACCTCCCTCCCTCCCTCCCTCCCTCTCTCCCCACCTCTCTCCCCTCTCTCCCACACACCAGAATTTGTGTATCTGATACCACCTGCCTTGGCTTAAGATGCAGTTGCTGGAGGGATATCTGACACATACATAGTGAGCATACAATGTAGTGGTTAAGTTACAGTATGACTCAGAGTGAATTCACGCATCTAATGAAGCAGAATTCTATTAACTGGGAGTAAAATGTTAAGGGGAAGAGATAATACAATCTCATTAGTAAATAAGAGTACATTTAGAAAATATTTTTAAAAATTCTTATTTCCACTTTAAATATGTGTAACTAGGACTGGAGAGATGACTCAGCAGTTAAGTGTTTGCTTCCCTTGCAAAGGGGCCCTGTTCAGTTCCCAGCACCCACACAACAGCTCACATCTATAACTCCAGCCCCAGGGTCTCTGACACCTTCTGGACTCTGAGGGCACCAGTACACACATGGTACAGATACATACTGGAAAACAATCAGACACATAAAATAAAAATAAATCTTTTCTATAATGTAGAGTATGATTGCACATACCTGTAACTGCAGTATGCAGGAAGCAGAGGCAAGCACAAGGCTACCTGAGCTACAAGGAAAGACCCTGTCTCACCTCTCCCCAAATGTAAATACAGAGGGTATGTATCTGCAACAGTTTATTTAAATTTAGCATTGCCTGCTGGGGTTGTAGATATGTCTTCCCCTTTGTATATCTAAGCAGTCTGAGTAACAATCTACCAAAGGCAGACAGATCTCTGTTAGTTCAGGCCAGCCTGGTCTACAAAGCTACACAGGGAAACTCTGTCTCAAAAACAAAATAAAACAAAACAATCTACCAAGAGACTGTCCTGGATGGGAAGTTAATTGTCTCTGTAAACTGTACAGCACTTATTAAAAGTACTATACCCAAATGCATGTTAAGTAAAACTAAGACTAATGAATCAAAGAATTAGAAAATTGTAGTTAACACTACACACTAGTGGCCAGGTGATTTATAAATGACATCAGTGCTCACAAAGCCTTGGGTTGTTCTTTTCAGATGAGAAAACAGATTCAAAGACACTGTGACTTACTGACAGCCGACAATAAAGCCAGGTCTGAGGTCCTTCAAAGCCATTAACTTGCTGGGGCTGTAATCCTATCTACTGGGGAGGTTAAAGCAGGAGGATTACAAGTTGAAGGCCTCAGAGCATGTCCAGCTTGGGCAACTTAGTGAGACCCTCTCTCCATCACAATATAAACAGTGAACACAGGGCCAGGGACAAAGCTTACTGGCAGAACACTTCCCTTATTTGCCTAAGGCCCTAGGTCCAACCCCAGCACAATGACTGCTACCAGAACAAAAGGGGGAAAACAGGAAAAAAAGCACACATTTAACCAATTCATTAGGTCAGAGTCTTAAAGGCTCTGAGCTTTTATTCTATAAAGGAATCAACCTTGCTAACCCACCACACATGAAGATGAACTATCCTCTAGTGACATTTCTCAGCATCTTTTATCTTTGAAGTTTTATTTGTTTGAGATTAGAACTCAAGGCTTTGTGTATACCATTCAAGTTCTCAGTCACTGAGCTGAATCTCCAGCCTGTATTTGAGATTTTCAACTCAATGCACTAAAAGGCAAAATATGGTCAACTATGAGTCTTGACTGAGATGATATGGCTGTGGCATCATTTTGAACAGGTAAAAGATGTTCATTCCTATTTCCATATACCTCATTTTGGAGGTTTTACTGGTTGAGAGAAGAATATGCTTTCTCCTAACAACTGTCCAATCCCATGTCACAATAATGAGAAACAGAAACTCACAGCACAAGAGTTGCTACTATACACTCTAAGAAAAAGGAAACTGAGCAAAAAGTTATGTGGGTATGAGAGGGACAGAAAAAGAACCACAATGAAGGCTGTTTACCACATTTTCTTTCCTTTTGTTTTTTAATAAATTATAAATACTTTATCCACTTAACAAGTTCATCAAAGAACTTCCAAAATATTTACTCTTCTTCATTCTTCAGGGATCATTCATTCACAAAGTAGGCCACCTACAGGAGAGATTTTATTTCAGAAAGTCAGACAGAGTTCAAACATCAAAGCAGACTTAGGGACTTAGGGGCTTACGATCATCAGAAAGAAATGTTTCCCTGAAATATTCAGTACGTGCACAATTCTTCTAAACAAGGCATGAAACAAAGATTGCTTTTCAAAACTTCAGTTTGGCTTAACTAACAACACCCCTGAAACTGTTCATTATAATAACTAATCTTTGGAATCTTTTGGTGAGGTAAAAGCACAATTTTCTTAGAAGTACCTTTAAAAACACGCCAAGGCCCTGTGCTTTTAGACATTAAGTAGGAAAGACAGGCATGTCTCTGCTGATTCAAGAACTTCTGACAACATTCCACGTTAAAGGCAGAAGGAAGGTCAGTTCAGTACACAGTCCCTGTGGGAAGCTCCTCCTTGACCCAAGGGCAAATAAAGACAAGCCTCTAAGTCCACAGAAGATCCCTGAGGGAGAGCAGCAGAGGACAGCGCTGCTGACCTGCTCTAAGTGCCAAGCTTCTCACCATGACCCCTTATCTGCCCCCACCCTAGTCCCTATGCAAGAAGATGCAGAGTACCATTGAAAAGATGGCTACTCAGCCAAGTCTAACACAAGAACTTCCTAAACCTGTTCCCTTCCTTTGATTCAGACAGGAAATGAGCCTCACTGAGACACAGACACCTAAATTCCCTTTTTCCTAAAAAGCCTGAAGGAAGAATACACTTAAGCAAAGCTCTGAGCAGGAAAAGGAACCGGAAATGGAGTTGTGTGCCATTTCAACAGCCTGCCGCACGCTGACTTCTTGGTACTGGCTATACATCAGAGATGCTGGCTGTGAAAGTTCTTCTCTGGGAGGGGAGTCCCTTGAGGGACTCTCTTTTGCATTTTGGCATTTTATAGGTCTTAATAGGTATCTTGTTTTTAAATTTGAATGTTAGAAATGATCCCTGTAATGCATTATCTTGAGATACTTTTATAAATAATATATGTGTAAATAAAGTTCAATTAAACAAATAGTAGCATTACCATTACTTTAATTTGATTTAGAGGGTTTTCCACCTTTCTTTTGACCTTAATAGCAGGAAGGTAAGAGCCACTCACTTCCTGATATTTCTAAATAGTTGCTGGATTTGTCTCAGTAAAAGAAAGTTATAAGATTGAAGACTGTCTAGACTCACTACTATGATATCTAATTTTCTTTATAGCTTCCAAGTCTTTTTTGCTGTCACCATCAAATCTTCAGATACTTTATAGTTAGCATAGCTTGTTTCTTTAGTCTTAACAGACGATTTAAAGGACTTGAAAATCATACAGGAATTGGAGTCAGCAGGTGAGGCCACAGCCTGTGAATCTGGAAAGTGTTCCTTGATGTTTTTGAGGTTCAGCTCTAGGTAAGAACCACTGGCTGATGTAGAGTAATTTGAGATAGAGCATAAGAGAGGGTAACACTTATCCCCATCTGCTTCCAGCCATCCCCGATGAACATCTATTTAGGTTTTGAATCAAGGAACTTTCATGACCACTGCTGGAACAACCCAAGTTTGTAAAGTATTTTTCCTCTGAAGAGGTTCTCAGAAAATATGGTCTATTAGTCTTAGAGACACACCAATTTGATCAAGCTCATCTCAGAACAGGGTGGGTAGTTGTGCTGGAGTTTACTACAGTCAGAGACTTGGTTCTGAGGTATATGCTCCCATGCATTCCAGCAAGAGCTCTTTTTCATTAACGTTCACTATAAGTCTTAGTATATTGAAGATTATGGTAATGTACAATCCCCAAAATGAGCATACTGGCCAAAAGAGCTCACAAAGTGTTAGGAGGAAAACACACAGTGCCTCTGTTTGGAGAATGTAATCCCACCACTACCCTTCACTTCCAAAATTCGCCCATGATGCTCTAGCAAAGCTTAGCATAACGGTGGAGAAAGAGCTAGAACAAAAGGCCATGTACATACAGACATTGGGGCCTGTGTGTTCAAATGCTCTTCTTCTCTAGTTACACTTTTTATTATCGGGTAGGTGGCACTCATCTCCTTTCTATACTTCAAAGACCATGAGGAGTCATGTGTGACATTCCAAAGAGAGGTGAAAGAGAAAGAAGCCAGCCCCCCACTATTATCAAGCAGGCATGTGGCTTTGGTATCTCTCTGCTGTCACTAAAACAGGAGTGGCAGTGAGGTGTGACCTGATAGAGGCACAAACAGAATGCTTGCTGGAGGCTGAGGTCCCAGCTCTGACCTTGCTAAGCCCCCCTCAGGAACCCTGCCACACTGAACCACCATTAGTGGCCTATTCAGTGGCTCATTCACCTAGTTAATAGTGCCCTATTCAGTCACTTATTCACCTAGTTAATAGTGCCCTATTCAGTCGCTCATTCACCTAGTTAACAGTGCCCTATTCAGTCACTTATTCACCTAGTTAATAGTGCCCTATTCAGCACCTGCTATGTGCCAGGCAGTGGTCTAGGTGCTCGGGACAGGCTGAGAGTGAAACCAGATGCTTCCCAGAGCATCCCTCCTAGCTGGAGGGAAGCAGGGTGATCGTCATAAGAAGATGCTCAGAGTACAGGTGGTGACCATAAAGACAAGAGTAGCCGCTAGCCACCTACAACTGTTAACCTTTTTCTAAATTAAGAATTCATTAGGCCCAATTGAACTGCTTAACAGTCAACACACACAGCTAGTGTTTGCCATACTGGAGAATGTGGCTCTACCTCTACCATCGTAGATACCCACTGATGTGGTTGGAACAGTGGCAGGGAAACATGCCTCTACTTCACATGGGGAATGGGGGAAAAGCCTCACTAACAAAACTTTAAAACAGCACTTAAACTTCCCCCAGCCAGGAGGGGATCCCCCCGACTGTGATGTGACTCCAAAGGCTCTTGTCAAACCAATTCTCAAAAGCTTTACACTCTGTCTCGGACTTCCTGGCTGCTCTCAAACTGTCGCCATCATTCACCATCCCATACTAGGAACCAAAAAGTTACCTTCAAGTGCTACTGAAACACTCCAGATTAACAAGGCAGGCTACCTTTTGGAGAGAATGCTGCCTAGCAGCTAACTCTGGAAAGTAATACACAGACTTGAAGCAATGCAGTTCACTCACCATGTCATATCTTAAAGCCCAGTGCTCTCATGCACTCCTTGTGGGCTTCAATGAGATGTCCACAGTGTTCTTCTCCTTTCTCAATGATGCTGTAAAATAAAACGCACTGGTTACCTAATAAACAGATGTTAAGCACATTCGTGGGGAATATGGCACCACAGGGGAGTGAGACAGGGAAGCACACAGAATGTGGCTGAAGGTAGAAACAAAACTCTACTATACCTAACAGCTCGGCTCCTTTGCTCTGTATTTGTTCTTATGATGGCTCCTCAAAGATGTTCCATAAGGTTTTGAGGTTTGTTGTTGTTTGGGGAAGGTTCTAACTAGATGAAACCATTATGTATAGCAAATGATATATTTATACTCAAGGAATAATAAACATTTCTTTAAAATGAAATAAACTGAATCAAATATTTATATTAAATGAAGGGAAGAGCTTAACTTGTGGGCCTTTCATCATACAGAAATTAACTTCCTGTTTCTCCTTACATTCAAACACACATAAACCTACTTGTAATCATTAAACACCCAACAACATAAACATAAAAAAAGATCTGGTAGCCAGAAGCCACAAGATGAATCCTTCGTTGAAAGATAAAATCTACCAAGTAACAGTAAGAGCTAGAATGTAATGACACATGCCTAAAATCTGGGAAGCTAAGGCTGAAAAACCCTGCATAGAAGGCCAGCTTGGACTACATGTCAAGATCCTGTCTCAAAATGAGTTGGCAAATGGGGTCTACTATTAAAATCCTTACCAGCAAATGAGAGACAGGGTGGGATGGATGGTGAGTTCCATATAATAGCAGCCTTGCAGACATGCTGGGCTCTTTCAACACACATGGGAGGCAGACAGGTTAAGTGCCTTGCACAAGGTCACCAAGTCAGAGGATCGGGCTTCAAGGTCTGCCTGTATTTCTAAGCTCCTAATCTTAACATCACATTTCCATAAGCAGGTATTACCATTGCAGGACCCTCGGTACCAGACCGATCTTTAAATTCCCCATTTACAGTATGGCTTGCAAAGTAGTGAGAATAATAGAGTGTACTAGGGTTCTTACTACACCAACAAATAATTTCTCTTTCATGTATTTTTTTTTAAGACTTGGCCTCACTTTGTTGCTCTGGCTAGACTTGAGCTGTGGCAATCCTCCTGCTTCAGTCTGCCCAGTAATGAGATTACGGCATGAGCACCCGTATCTGCTTCTACTATTACTTTTCTACTTTGATGGGACAAACAGGTGGAGATGTATATTCACATTATCTGAGGACTCCTAATGAGATCTGTGCAGAATTGGGACATCATAAAAGTGAGATCAAATAAAACCTTTTGTGACTTGATAAGATAAACATTAACGCCACCTATATTGTAGATAGACCTTAACATGAATGTTTTTATTTTATGTGTATGGTTATTTGGCCTACATGATTTTTTGTACACCATGTATATGCAGTGCTCATAAAAGCCAGAAGGCATCAGACTCCTCTGGGACTGGAGTTAAAGATGCTTGTTAGCGACCAGGTAGGTGTTGGGAATCGAAGCCAGGTCCTCTGGAAGGGCAACCAGTTCTCTTAAAACACATAGCCATCTCTCCAGCCCCAGACAGACTGTCTTTTAACCTTCGGCTTGTTAAAAAGAAAGGGATCCATACAGAAATGTATCCTGTGTCCTACTACACGCGCGCATTTTGGAGAAATTCTTAGAAATTACCTGACAATTTTACACTTTGGTCTTGCTAAATTCATCATAGCTAAGTGGTGTGATAATGGCTGTTCCTTTAAGTCAAATAGCATCTTTACGCACTTCTATATGTCTGGACTTAATACCTAAGAAGGATCAAGGGCATGGTAGCAAGGAATAAATAACGAGAACCTTGGGGCCAACCTGACCTCTGGTCCTCTCCCGTTACCCCTAACTGAAATTGAGGTGCGCGCTCAGGAAACGGGACGGATGAGAAACTATGGGTTCCCGTAACTCCCGGGAGCCAGAGGACAGAGCGGAGCCGAGCCTGCGGAAGCCCGGCCGTCCCTCCCCGGCTGCGCACTGACCACGCATCGCGCGCCTTCTTGGTCTCCGGGCAGGCGCAGCACGGCTTCAGCGGCTTCTTCTCCTGAGCCTCAGGCGGGGCAGAGCTGGCGGCAGCCAGACCCGGCATCCTTCCAGCCGAAAGCAGCAGCGAGCGCACACGCGCAAAGATCCCAAGTTGTCTGCACCCACTTCCGCAGTCACGCTAAAGAGGGCAGGAAGTCCCGCCTCTCAGAACGGAAGAGAGCCTCAAATGCGCGTGCGCAAAAGAAGCGGGACGAGGGCATTGACCAAAGGGCATGGCTTCGGCGCAGGCGCAAAGGTTAAAAGGTCACCAGACTGTTGGTTCTGCTTTCGAGATTGTAATTTGATTGCAACATTTTTCCTTTCTCTTTCCTCCCTACAAACTCTCACCCTTCCCTGCTGTCCTTCAAATGTATGGCCTTTTTTAAAACTAATTCTTATTGCATATATATTCCTAAATATAACGTGTTCAGTTCAGTATAACGCTACCTGTATGTATGTTTTAAGGACTGCCCTTTTGTCACTAAACAACCAATTTTGCGTTTTCCACCCTGGGGAAGCCCTCCTTTCCCATTCCCAGCTTTCTTGTTGCCTATAGTTCTTCACATAGAGTTGAGGCATCATGGACTTTCTCCATTGGATTTGACAAGCACATTTCACCAAGAGTGTTAAAGTGTATTTGGGCAGGTCTTGCAAAGGTGGAGGGTGGGGAAACAGCTGAGAGGTCTCTAACCCCTCGCATGGACATTGAGATGATAGCTGAAAACAAAATGACTTCTCTGAGAGGCGTAAGGGAAACCATTAGCAAATGCCAGTTCCCTTGAGCACCAGATCCTGAGGCATTTCACGATCTTTCTCCCTTCTCTTCCCCCTTCACTTTGTACAGTCTAAAGATGCTGGGGGCAAAGGTCTCCTACCTCCTTTTCCTCTCAGGCATGTACGCTAATACGCTAAATATTCAGCTAACACTAGTTATGAAAGAGGATTTGAAGGGTTTTTTTGTCTAGTTTCAACTCTCTCTCTCTCTCTCTCTCTCTCTCTCTCTCTCTCTCTCTCTCTCTCTCTCTCTCTCTCTCTCTCTCCTCTGTGTGTGTGTTGGATAAGTGAATAAAAAGGTAACTGATTCTGAAAGTGCAATACCCTCCATTGATTCGGATTGGCCATTCTAACTCTGTAGAAGTTCACTAAGATGGAACTGGGCACATGTTTGAGTGACTTCCTTACACTGGCTTTGAGCTAATGGAGGGGTGTTATTTTTTAAAATACAAATATTTTAGACAGGGTCTCTACCCTGAGCTGGATGATCCTGAACTGATCATTAAGTATTGGAATCACAAGTGTGTGCCATCCATGCCTGGATTATAAGGGCTTCCTGAATTCTAGATTCTACCAACTGAGTTATACATCTTCATTTTCCAAATTGTTCACTCATACATTTGTCATTACACCAATTAATAACATTAAAATACTTTTTCCTGACATTTATTAAATCTGGGTAGGAACAGTATAATCTCCAGCATAATAGCCTCCATGTAGTTCTGAGTTTGAGAGTCATTTCACCTATGTAACAAACTGATGTTCTGAGATGAGTGTAGTTTGCTCATAGTTACATAGCTCCTGAGGTTCTACCTATCCCGTGCTGCACTTACTATCCCAATGCAATGTGTCTAAATGCAAAGTAACTTTCATTTTAAAACCACTGGTCTGTATTTTCTTTTACTACTGCATTTTTTAAGAATAGTAAATGAACAAGAAAGAAAAAGAAAGAACTGAAAAATTTAGGGAATTATGAGGATTGAATGTGATACAAATTGTAGGCCAAAAGATGGAAAAGGGAAAAAATAAAACTTTTTTGTAACTGACTTTTTTCAGCCCATTTTTCCCTTTGTGAAGGAAAGTTCCTGAAATGAATCCCACCTCACTCTGAACTTCCTACATGGCGGCTCAGTTGATTGGAACATTAATGATGTAGCAAGGGAGGAATGTTAGTCCACAGTCAAAGTGTCTGGGAGCAGCTTTAGTTAGCCCCCTTAGTTGACCTCCTATCTTTGTGAGCATTAGGTAAATCCTTTGGAATGCACAAACAGACCCTCTAGTTCCCACCAACCAAAAGGCTAAGAATACCATCTGAGACTATGTCTGTGGCTGAGATTTCCTCACCTTCTTGTGACCTGTCCACCTAATGTTTTTACCACTATGTTTGGGAAGTAGCTTGATTTATGGCTTTTTTGTTCCTTTACTTAAAACTACATGAAACTATTGCCATATTGAAATGTGAATTTGGAGTAATGTGAAATTGTGTTCCCAGACCATGGCCATTCATATTTGTCTCCAGAATAAACTATCTCTTATCCCCTTTGATGTAAGAGTTTTATTTTTGTGTTGAACCAGCCTTCCTTTTTTTTTCTTAACAGAATTGGTATTGACTGGCCACAACAGTTCTCCGTCTGACACCCTTAGCTAGTAGCTGACCACAACAGTTCTCTGTCTGACACCCTTAGTTAGTAGCTGACCACAACAGTTCTCTGTCTGACACCCTTAGCTAGTAGCTGACCACAACAGTTCTCTGTCTGATACCCTTAGTTAGTGGCTGATCACAACAGTTCTCTGTCTGATACCCTTAGTTAGTAGCTGATCACAACAGTTCTCTGTGTGACATCCTTAGTTAGTAGCAGCAGACCCCAGGCGGAGCAAGCTTCTGCCCTCACTTTCTTTAGATTGATCTATTTGAAACTGTTAAAAAACCCTTGGCTGTCTCTTGAGCACCATGACCTACAAAAGCTGTGAAGTAGAATAGTCTCCTGCTCATGAACAAAATAAAAAGCAAACTGGGAATGGTGGAACAAACTTAATCCCAGCCTTCAGGAGGCTGAAGTAGGAGGATACAGAGTTTGAGGCCAGCCTGAGTTGTGTTATGGGTTCAAGTCTAGTCAAGGTCTCAGAGCATGATTATGTCTAAAAAACAAACAAAAGATCTCATTTCAAAAGGGAAACATCCTAATTTGTACTCGGCAACTTAACTCTAGTTTTAGCATGCTATAACCAGCCTATATGTGTGGCTTACTTTTTCCTTTTCCCTTTGACCATTAAGCTTCACTTTTCTTTCTCAGCCTACATGCTTGTAGGCTAAGGTGGTTTACTTTATAGTAAGTGGAAATTAATAATATAAAACATACCCAATTATTGTTTTCCTATTTAAATCCAAGAAAAACATCAATTACCTACTTCCCCAAAGAGGAATTATAATTAGATTATTAAATTGAAGGGCCTGAGATAGCTCAGTGGGTAAAGATACTAGCTACCAAGCCTGATGACCTGATTTCAATCCTCAGGACTCAGATGGTAGCATAAGATTAACAACTCCATATAATACACTGTGATGAATACACACACACACACTCACACACACACACACACACACACACACGAACCTCGAAAGTTTAAAACTTGAAAATGGATTGACATATGGAAACTAATAAAAGATAAGATAGATTACTAAGATGCTTACTACTTTTTGTATTCAGTTATTGCTTCTCAATTTTTATTTTAACTAGCAAATTTTCCTCATTTTAGCTCTTGGACTGTTGTCACTAAAATTACTAAATTAATGGCAACAAGTTTGAAATGGTGACTTAAGTAGAGTTAGATGGCACCAAAGAGCAGTTCTGTGAGTGGGATGACAGAACCACTAACACAGCAAACAACAACTGAGAAGTTACTTTTTTTTCTTTTTTCTTTTCCAGACAGAGTTTCTCTGTGCGCCCTGGTTGTCCTTGAACTCAGAGATCCACCTGTCTCTGCTTCCTGAGCACTGGGATTAAAGGTGTGCACCACCACCAACCGGCACAAATTACTTTTTAAAATTCTTCAGTGATAAAGGTATGTATCCTACCCTGTCTAAGTTTGATGACGTCACCAAAGAAGGGTGGGTAGTTGCTTCGAGTAGAGTAGGAGTGACACCGTATGTTGATAGAGAAGAATTACAAGGCTTAAACTCTCATCAGTCTTTTAGTAGCTAGCCTCCGTGATGCTTACAGAACAAAGTAATCTTACGTAATATTTGCTTGTCTGCCTTTAAAGACAACAAAAGCTTTCCAATTTCTCTGGGGAAATTGTACTATACAACAGTCTCTGCTTTCTGATTTCTCTGAAAAGCCTGAGTTCTTCCCTCATTTGCAGGCCAGTCCATAAGTGATGGCAGAAGCCATCAAACTACTGAGTCACAGATAAAGGACAGTTCATCACTAGCAGCAGCAGCAACACAGAACATTAGCATCTTTATAGTGGTTTCCAAGTCCCATTTCCTGCAGGTAATGCGAATAGCCACACGACAGCTGCACATGTGTTGGGTTGCTTCATAGGAACACAAAATTCTTTTTTTTAAACCTTTTTTAAAAATTTAAATTAGAAACAAGCTTGTTTTATATGTCAATCATAGTACCTCTCCCTCCCCTATTCCCCTGCCCCCCACCAGCCCCTTATCCCATCTCCTTTCTGCTTCCCAGGGAGGGTGAGGGCTTCCATGGGGGATTTTCTGTCATATTATTTGGAGCAGGGCCTAGACCCTCCCCTGTGTATCTAGGCTCCCAAAGTCCATTCTTATACTAGGGATAAATACTGTTCCACTACCAGAAACCCCATAGACTGCTCAGGTATCCTAACTGACACCCATTTTCAGGGGGTCTGGGCCAGTCCTATGTTACCAGTCTGGGGTCCATGAGCTCCCCATTGATCAGGTCAGTTGTTTCTGTGGGTTTCTCCAGCCTGGTCTTGAACCCTCATCATTCCCCCCACCCCCTCTGCAACTGGATTCCAGGAATTCAGCTCAGTGTTTAGCTGTGGGTCTCTGCTTCTGCTTCCATCAGCTACTGGACGAAGGCTCTAAGATGGCATATAAGGTAGTCATCAGTCTCATTATCGGGGAAGGACATTTGCGGTAGCCTCTCCACTATTGCTTAGATTGCTAGTGGGAGTCATCCTTGTAGATCGCTGGACATTTCCCTAGTGCTAGATTTCTCTTTAAACCTATAAAGGCTCCCTTCTGCTTAAAGGGCAACACTGTATTGTCCATCATTGTTTCCTACTCAAGGGGACAAGGACAGACAATCCCCTCTGACTTGCAAGACACAGTGGAAATTAGCCTCTGTGGAGAGTTCTCTCAGCATGCCCAATCTTTCCTTTAAATATATTTCACTAACAAACACCCTATATTTCACTAACAAGCACCCCTCCTCAGCACTGAAGTTTCCTTTATACAATCACTACACTAAATGATGAGAACCTAGCTTCATGAAGGTCGTCCATTAGTCATTTATTGTTTACTATGGATGGAATGCTTGTGTCCTGCCCAATGAATCCCTAGTCTCCATTGTGGTAGTTAGGGTCAATGAAGTCATAGGATGGAGTCTCCACAATGGGATTTGGACCCTTATAAGAAGAGACTAGACCCTGAACCCCTCAATTATGCCATATGATAACAGAACAGAACAAGAAGGTCGCCATCTGCCAGCCAGGAAGCCCACCGGCTCTTATGAGGAGCCAGATTGACCGGCACCTTCCTCAAGTTAGACCTTCTAGATCCCTTGTGAGAAATGAGTATCTGTTGTTTAAGTCATGTTCATTTAACAACCCATGGCACCAAGACATCTATGTAACATTATTATCACAGCCTAATAGTAGCACATATTTGTTACTTCTCTGTTTCCATAGGTCAGGAGTCTGGGCATAGCATAAATATTTTACTGGATTGTGATTAAGACTGATAGAGGTCACTATTTTCTCTGAGGTTTCAGTGAAGATGAATATGTCGCCACTCTCTCTGCAGGTATTAGAAAAATTCAGTTTCTTGCTATTCTAGGGATGAGTGCTTTGGCCTCTTTCTTGATATCAGTCACATCATCTCCTGGTGGCCATTTGCAAATGACCAACATGGTCACTTGTCTCCTTGAAATCCCTTATGAAAGGAGAGCATAATGAATATTAAAGTCCCTGTAAAGGGATCAATCACATAACCACCTATTTCCCACGATGGTTTGCAGAGTCTTTTGGTTAAAACAAGTCCTGATTCTAAAGGCGTAGGTATCACACAGGACTCTGAGGCATGTTCAACTCAAACCCATGGGCACCAGCCCAGGACAGTGGTGAAGTCATCCCAATTGGAACCTGTTTAAACCATTGAATCTTAAAAATCATTTCATTAGTGTTGTGTGTGTGACTCAGGGGAGGCACTGGCTGTGGCCAGTGTGTGGAGGTCACAGGACAACTTTGTGGGATTTGTTCTTTCCTTCTACCTTTCATGAATTCTGGGGATCAAACACGGATTGTCGGGCTTGCATTGTCTCAGGTGGCAGCACCTTTACCTGCAGAGGACCCAACATTAAGACTTTTTTTGAGCTTAAAAAAAAAAACAACTCAATTGTGAGTTTCTAGAGTGTGACCTTTATAGAAAGAAATGACAACACCATGTTGCAATGTCACAAGGCTGGACATGCCTACCAGAGCACAAACACCAAGGGCCTAGAGTCCTGGGAGTAACCTTAGGAGTTTACTACAGGTTGGTTAATTATCTGAAGATAAACTTAAGACACAGACTGTGTGGAAGAGATCCAAAAATGGAGAGAAGTGTTGAATTATTACCTTAAGTCCTGGTCTGGGAAAAGCCCCTCATTTCAATAGTTGTGAGTCCATGAACCAAAATTCAGAAAAAAAATTGAACAAGTTTCCAAAATATGATCTAAAATAAAATATTATTTTAAAAGCTGTATAGTTAAAGCTAATCAGAATATCAGATATGTGGAAATGCATTGCAACCATAGCAGCAACACTAAAAACAATAAAGCGTTATGATCCCAAACTCACAGAGATACACCTGCCCCCAGTGGGATTAAAGGCATTCACTAGCATGCCCTGCTCATTTCTCTGATTTTGATGCATAAGAAAAATAATCCAGCATTTATTTTATCTTTATTATTTATATTTCAGGATAACCAAGTTGGTTTAAGAAGGTTTTTAAATTACAAAATGCCAGAAACTCACCGTTATAAAATAAAAGGCTTTTAAAAAATCTTTAATTGTTCCAGCCAACCAATAAATAGCACCTTTGAGTCAACCATGTGAATTTGAATGTGTACTATATAAGTTTGAACAAAAGAATGAGCATTAACTGTGTTAGCTATGATAATAGTAATTACTTTTTAAATCCATTCCTTGGGCTAGAGTGTATCTCAGTAGGAGAGCGCTTGAAGCATATGCGAGACTAAATTCAATTTGTAACAGCACAAAAATAACGAACGAACAGTATTATTAATTTGAGATGCTGGTTACTTTTAATGCAAAGTGATAAATAATTTCTTTTAAAAAGAAGAATGGACCATGGGCAAAATATTCTGAGCATTCTCAAAAGCTGACCTTTTTTTTTTTTTTTTTTTTTTTTGCCTCTCTAGTTCCTCCCCTCCCCGGCTCGCCACACGATTTTTCAGAAGCAGAGTCCACTACGCATGCGCCAAAGTGTCTGCATCAGCTCTAACCCCGAGAGCAGCCGCCTGGAGACAGACTTCCAATTACTGATGGCCTGTCTCTGAAGCTCTTGGTTACTGCACCAAGGCACAGCATTTAGGAGCTTGGATTCCTGGATCCTGTGGAAAGGGGTTTTCAGAAATGAAAGTACCCGATTCTTCTACAAGGTTACCGGACCTCCTAGGGATCTCCAAAAGACTGGTGGCGAGGGCTGTCACTAGCAAATTGCTCTTGGTTTTCTAGGGTAGCCCTTTCCCCAGCACTTGACGTGGTCCCTAGTAGGGAGGAAGCGAGGCCATCCTCCCCCTAGCCTCCTTTCCTAGCCCTACTTCTTTCCCTTTTCTCTAGCCTCCTTCCTTCCAGTTCCCAGCTCTTCAGGGCGCCCGGCATCCCACCTCTTCATCCTGCCACGTTTGGCCACCTTGCGTCACCACATCCACCATGCCACTCGGTTTTGCCTTTTCAAGCTGCCTTTCTAGGCTCTGCCCCGCCTCCTGAAACTCGCCCCGCCCCTTATCTACGCGTGTACATCTGACGTTGCCATAGCTACGGTGCACCCAGCTACCAAGCCTCCCATAGCTGGTGTTCTGCTGGCAGGAGGAAAGAGACAGCACCATGAGCCACATAGTGACTATCCAGGAGCCCAAGACCAACCTTCAGCGGTTCCCCTACCATTGCAGGAGGTCGAGGACCAAAGGCACCGTCGTCAGTCGAACATACGATTTCTTGTACGGTAAGAGCTGCCCACTCCTCCCTGGGGCTAATGTAACCTGGTAGGGGAGCGGCGTGCTAAAAAACAAACAAACAAACAAACAAACAAGTTCCAGAACAAACGCTCTGTCTTAGGAACCAGGAGTTGGGAGCAGCGGGTCCCTGCACTCAGATGGCCTTGGTACTCTGAAGCTACAAGTGCGCTCAGCTCCTGCAAGCAACAGGAGAGGGTCACTTTTTTTCTCCTAATAAGTTATCTTCCTGAAACCCAGTCTGAGGTTTTGGGTGCTCATTCAGAAAAGTGTGAAATAACTTGCAGAGCTAGAAAGTCACACAATGTGCCCGCATTTCAACTGGGGAAAATGTTCAGCGAAAATAATCTTCCTGCCCCCAGGCTCTGGACAACTCCAAATTCCGTGATCTGGGTAAAGTGGTGCGGGTTTCTCTCATATGTTTTCGGAGGCCTTTTGTTTTCTTTCAACCTTTTTTATCTAGCAAAACATTAATAGACTTAATGCACTGATTTTCCCCCGGGGCCAATTAAACTCCAGTTTATGTTAATACGCCAATTTTCCGTTTGTGGGCTATTTTTCCGGACCTTAAGTTCTGGTCCATTCATGTTTGTAGCCTTCTTGAACCTATTCCAGTGCCGGTATACAATGTTAGGTGTGTAAGTGTTAACTAAATTGTTGGATTTACTGCAACCGTTTAAGCATGATGACTCCTTTTTCTGATTTTGCCCACTGTAAAGCCCACCTGAACCCAACATTATTTTCAACTATGTCCCTGTGGATTCCCATAAGACACCCCATAAGACCTATTTTCCTTTGCTTGGGATGTGTAATGACTGCTCACATGACCTGCTCAGTGGTCTACTTTGTTACTCTTGGTTTCATCTTTGGAAATGAATCTATTAAATGTTTGGCCAGGGCATTTGTTTATGGAGAGAAAAATCTACTTGGGAAATCAAATGTCTCTCCAAATGAATTTAGTGTCATGTTGATTAGTTCTTTTTTAAAGATTTTTATGTTTATTTATTTTATTTTATGTGTGTGTTTGCCTGCATGTGTGTATGTGTACCACGTGTGTGCCTGGTACTCTTGCATGTCAGAATAGGGCAACAAATCCCCTGGAACTGGAGTTAGGCGACTATAAGCCACCTTCGGGTGCTGGGATAAAGCCCAAGCCTTCTGCTAGACTCCAGACTAGCAGCTAGACTATCAACAAGTGCTCCTAACAGCTGAGCTGTCTCCCAGGCTTCACATGGCTTGATTTTAATAGATAGTCCACTCAGTCACCAGTACCCTTCATCATTAAAGTCATACATAGTGAGCAGATACTTAGTCGCAGTTAATCAGTTGTTGATCTTTGGAGAGATAAGGTGGGCCCATCATCAACACAGAGTCTATAAATCTAAGGGATAAATTCTAAAGATGGCTGATATTATTTATTTCTTATTAGAGAACAATATTTTCTTACCAAGTCTCTAATTCTCAAGATGTTATGCTATTTGCATCCTTCCAGTGCACAGAACATGGAAAATAATGTCTAAATTAACCCCCCAACACCTGTGTGTGTGTGTGTGTGTGTGTGTGTGTGTGTGGTCTACAGAGAAAGTGCTCCAAAGCAATACAGAGAAACCCTGTCTTGAAAAACAAACAAACAAAACATGAAGGGCACTGTGTTTGAAATATGACAGGCATTTTTTTTTCAAGATAGGGTTTCTCTGTAGCTTTGGAGCCTGTCCTGGAACTCACTCTGTAGACCAGACTGGCCTCGAACTCACAGAGATCTGCCTGCCTCTGCCTCTCAAGAGCTAGGATTAAAGGCGTGCACCACTACAACCCAGTTAAATATGATAGGCTTTTGTTTGCATCCCAATTCCATAAGCTGACTTGTAACTCATAAGAAAGAAACACATCTAACAGATTCCTTGGTAACAGGACCATCAGTTGATAGGCAATATGAAACTCTCTAATTTGCTTTCCCATTAAGAAGTTGCAAATCAAGCATACTGGTACATGCCTCCAGCTCTTCCTTACTGTTCAGAAGGCAGAGACAGAAAGATCTCCTGCATTCAGGAGTTCAAGCCTAGCCTGGACAGCATAGCAAGACTCAGTGTTGAAATGAGAGAGGGCCAGTAAGATAGCTCAGTATGTAAGGGCCTAATGACCTGGGTTTCCTTCCCAGGACCTACATGGTTGAAGGAGAGAGCTGGTATCTGCAAGTTGTCCTTGGCATCTGCACATGAGCAGTGGCAAATAAATGTAAAACAAATCATTTTCAAAATGTGCATCAGTGTTACAAAGCTTGTGGGAGTGTCCAGCCAATATCTTACTGGATTGAGGCTCACCCCATGAGCTGGACCCTATCCCCAATGCTGCTCAGGTGGCCAAGAACCTGAGACTAGACAGGTCATGAACCTAGGGAAAAATACTGTTCTGCTAAGGGAATGAAGCGATAAAAATGACTCTTAGTGACATTCTGCTATACTCATATGTCAGGGTTTTGCCCAACCACCATTAGAGAAGCTTCCTCCTGTGGGAGATGAGAATAAACACAGAGACCCACAACTCGACAGTATATAGAGAGTAAGACACATCGAAACACTCAGTTCAAATCCCTCTCCTCAGGGTTCAGGGAACTCTGCAGAAGAGGAGTCAGAGGGCATGGAGGACACCAAAAAATAAAAGGCCTTCTAAACACAGCAAGACTGACACTCATACAAACTCACAGAGACTGTGGCAGCATGGGTCCAGTTGGGCCAGGTGGGCTCCCAGGGCTGAGTGGGAAAGTGGACATAGCCCCCACCCCTAACCCAGAAGCTATCTCCAACTGATAACTGCTCACAAAGGAAAAATTAATTCTCTCCAACAGAGTCTCACTAGGTATACAAATCACACTTAAGGCCAGGCCCTGTGCCCAGCAGTAGATAGCCAACACAAAATGAAGGCGTTTTTGAAGGTTCTTTGTCCCATAATGCTTTATTAGGGCTTTTTTTCCCCCTTTCAGATCTTTTGCATATATATCATGGTTTCCATTTTTGTGTTTTTATGGGATTTTTGTGTAAGCAAACTGTGTGTGTGTGTGCATCTATATATGTCTCTTATACTTTTTCTTTGGGTCTTTTTCTTCTGTTTGTTTTTTTATCTTATTCCAATTTGCTTGCTTTTATTTTATCTTACTATTATTATTAGATGCCCCTTTGTTTTCTAAAGAGAGAGAGAGAAAGAAGGGGCATGGATTTGGAGGGGAGAGGAGAAGGCTTTAGAGGAGTTTGGAGAGGGAAAATCATAATCAGTATATTTCATATGAAAAAAGTCTATTTTAAATTAAAAAATAGGAAAAAAACTGAGTAAAACCCAGAGAGATATAAGGGAGAAAGTTGCATTCTGTCCCCAGTATTCTCACTGGAGATGTAAACATACTTTATTCTTTATGTCACTCTCCTTTGCAGACCCGTTATTTATCGTGTCGAGTGAGCGAGACCATGCACAGGCAAATATCCAAGCCACCCTGATTCGAAGCAGACTGGTAAGTTTAATTGATCTGACATAACCTAATCAATCTGAACCATCTGGCTTGGCTACTGCACTAATCGGATCGATTTATCAGGACTTTGGATACTGCAGGCATTACTGCACTATGATTGCAGGGACCAGGCATGTTAATGCATGTAGCTCATTGCAAGGGTTAAGTAATAGTAAACAAAGAACCCATAAACTGGGCAGAGAGATGGCTCAGAGGTTAATGGTGCTTGCTGCTCTTACAGGACGATGGGAGTTCAGTACCCAATAGCCAGGTGTGGTGACTCACAACACCTGTGACTTAGTTGCCTATAACTCCCTTTCTTTTCTGGCCTCTGTGGGCACCCGGATTCATGCACACACACACACACACACACACACACACACACACACACACACACACACACACACGGTGGGGAGACCCATAAAATAAGTCAATGGAAATGATGTATGAACCCAGTGGTGGCAAAACATGTACAGTACAGAATAATGTAGTCCTAGCATCTGACGCATAAATATTGTTGCCAGCTTTTTGAGTGTCCTCTTAGATACAGTCTGTGCAAGTCCAAGTAATTCCTCCTCAGGCACTAGATACATTGCTTTGCACTTTTGAAAAAGCTTGCAGCACAATTAAATAGTATTAGAAAATCTGACCATACAATTTTGACCTTCTCCTCTCTGCCTCACTTTCTGAACCTTAGAAAAAAGTTCCCAACTTTAGGTCCATGTTCAGTAACCTGTGCCATCATCCAAGATATTCTATGTATTGGAGCAAGTCAGATCCTGTCCCATCGTGTGTCAATCGGGAATGGAGGGGGCAAGAAGCCAAACACAAAGAAGCCCTTCGACTCCACGCTGCGTAAGTATCAGGGGGCCCTGCTCCGAAGCATAGCCATGGTTTAGTGGATACACTAATATTTTAAAAAATTGTAATTATTCTGAATGATTTGAAAACTTATAGCTATGATGCAATCCCTCTTTCTAAAACAGGGCTGATTAAGAAGCAAAAGTCATACATTTTATACACATATATGTTATAATTATTAACTATATATTATTACATATTAATTTTATAATTATTCACAAAACATATAAATATGTTAAATTAATTCTAAAATACATATGTTTACATATAATAAGTATAACAATTAATATATATTTTAGCCATATATTGTTACATTCTTTTATATATTTATTTACAAATATTTATACTTGCATAAATATATATGTAAATATATATTTAGGATTAAACCATATTTATATATGGTTAGAGGTCTTCTAAAGGTTGGTACATGTACTTATGTGTATGTTAAAGGACAGCTCACCACTAAAGACAGGAATGACCCAGTCTGTTCCCTCGGTACACCTCAGGAATTGCAAGTGGTCTCTTTGGCTGGAACCTAAACTATGTGGGTTTTTTTGTTTTTTTTTTGTGAGACTTACAAGTAAAGCACCTTCAAAAATATATCTACTGAAATCTTGATTGTTAAATGACTTACAAGTAAGTCGTGGTAAGTTAATAATAATGTGTCCCAGACAGGGCATAAAATTAGTCTTTGAAACTCTGCTATTTTCATTAAAAGTGACTGTTTTCCCATTTGGGATTTTATAAATCTACTCATTTCCCAAGCCTGACTTTTCCTCTTACCAGATCCAGTCCTTCTTTCTACCTGGTCTAAGACATAGGACACCTAAGTGCACTCTCTGTCCCTAACACAGAAAAAGGGTATGTAGAGATGATGACTTGAATATACTTCTCTGCTTCCTTTTAGAATGGATGCTTCTTTCCCGATGCCCAAGGAAGAGTACGAAGATCCAGAGGTTTCTGGAAGGAATCGCTATAAATTCTTTGACAGGTAGAAAGTAAAGAGCAATAAATGCTAGAGCCTTGAGGCTACTAGGAGGCATTCTTTTTGTTGTTGTTGTTTTGTTTTGTTTTTTTGTTTTCTCATTTAATATCCTGGTTTTAAGGAGACATTCTTATGGTGGTGGCAGCAGTTGTCATTCTTAGGTGGGGGCAGCATCCATTCTTTACTTGGATGTCACCTAATCTTCACAATAGTCATATAAGAGAGGGCATATGAGGTACCCATGGCAACAAAGGATGTATAGGATAAGATGCAGTCATCAAATGAAGTCAAATGTAACATATATCTTGTGGGAGAAATTGCTAAATGCATCCAAATGGACAATACTTGTGAACGTTGCTCAAACCCAATCAAAATATTTTCTTTATTTCATTTGTGACTTCTACCACTGTGATAATAATATACTCAAGGTGAACTAATCTGAAATGAAGATATCCTTGCCAACCTTGGGTTGGAAAATAATCTTGATACCACATCTGAATTAACTGCCTTTCAAAGATGAATTTCTCATCTATGTTATCACATGTAAACATTCCCTAGTGGAGATGTTCTGATGCTGACTTTTTTAGGAATTTAATTTAGTAACTAAATTAGATACAAATTCTTAGGCTTTTGGCAGGAGGGGGAGCTTTAAGTGGAGGCCTTGGTCATGTCAGAATGTCTTAAGAACTTGACAAGTGGCTGGAGACTGATGAAGCCCAAGTGTAGACATGTTTCTGAGGTCATGGCTGCTGAGGAGATGCCAGTGTGCACAGCAGGGTCCCCAGCTGTACCCAATATTGACTGGATCTCCTGGGCCAGATCTGGGAATTTGCATTTTAAATAAGAACATCTCCAGTAGTTTTATATACAAAAAACTTTGAATACTACTAATTTCATTTTAGTTTATTCAAACTCATTGCTTTTTTGTGTTGTTTTTTTGGGGGGGGAGAAATAGTAAAGTAAGAAGAAAGCTTGAGCCAGTACGAAAATCTCACACATTTTCCTTTTTCTCCCAGACCCTTCCTTCCATTTCTTCAACAGATGCCACTCAATGTTGTTTTAACAACATCCAAGTAAGTAACTTTATTTCAAAAGTCTCTCATCTCACCATCCACTTCATATTTACTACAGGGAGGCAGTTCTCTAGATCAATACTTTGCAGCCTATGATCTATCGACCACCATAGCCAGGAGCCTTCCTGGTCCCTCCAGTGATTTTCTGTGTGCCAAGGTCTGACTAATATTGTTACATGGACTATTAAAGTTCACTGATTTTTCTAGTGGGTCATGAGTAACACTGAAGAAAAAAAATAGAAATCACCAAAAACATCAGACATATGTTGCTGTTTTATATTACCTTTGTTTAATAAAGATGAATGGTCATTTCTATATGAATATAATGGTTATGACATAAGATATATTTCTGATGAGTTATCTGTGCTACTATAACAAATTGTCATCGACTGAGTGATTTATAAGTTACAGAAATTAATTTCTCATGTTTCTGGAGGCTAGGAACTCTAAGGCTGAAGCACCAGCATTGAGTGTCTGGTGAGAGCTCTCTTGCTATGTCCTCATATGGTGAAAGGGAAAGGCTATGCTCACACATACTGAGACGCAGTAAGACAAAGGGGCCCTAAGTCGTTACCTCTAGCACCTTTATAAGGTTCCAATCCATCCATGAAGGCTTATCACTTCTCAAGAGACTCCTCCTTTGAGTACCATCAAAAAAGAAATGAAGTTTTTCATCCACAACACACACACACACACACACACACACACTTCACGTGTCCTCTTTTGCTTCCCTGGAGTACACACTTGCGGGGTGGTAATGCCTCAGTGTCTTATCAGTCGTGAATCGTTTTGGGGGGATGGTAGTGTTTTAAATTTGATGATCATTTAACCTACACAAGACAATGAGCTGCACGGGGGTTTATTCCACACAAAGGAGTGAGACACATTGAGAGAACAGTGCAAGGAACAATGCCTTTAGTTTTGGGGTAAAACTGTGGCTAAAAACACTGTCCCTCTTTCCTGCGCTGGGTGCCGCAGTGTCAGGAATGTGGTACAGGAGGAGTTCAGGACAGAGGAGACAGCCACGGTGGCTACTGTAAGATTCCAGCATCAGAGCATCTAACCCCAAGGACCAGCCAGGACACAGCAAGGGCCACTTGGGGAGCCATGAGGAGTTTGTGGGATGGGGGTGGGGGAGTCTGAGTCCTGGTCAAGGCTGAGATGGGGTAGGAAGAAATTGCCCTTATTTTATTTTCCCCTAAAGTCAACTGAAATGGCGGGAGACCATAGTTTGGAGTAAATGAGCAAGGAAATTGCACACGAAGTTACTATAGGTGTTCTGTAGGAGTAGGAGTCCTCTTTTTCACTCCTTTCCTGGACTTTCCTAAAAACAGCCTAGGCATCAAAAACCTCCCTCAGAAGAACTGAGGCAGCCTGACCACATTCAACCAGATCATTCAGGTGGTTGTAACTTTCATGTGATCTAAGATAATGCTGGGGAAGCACTCTGACCTATATCCCTAACCCCATTTTCCTCATATTTAAGATAGTTTTGACACATAGCTCTGGGTGTCCTTGAACTCATGAATCTCCTGCTTCAGTCTTCTGAGTGCCAGGATTACAAATACTTACTACTACATTTGAAACATTTTTTGAAAAAAAATTAAAAAGTAATCTTACTATTCAAGGCTTTTAGTAGTGGGAGTGCCTTTTCATTTTCAATGAATCTTGACATTTTGGGGTTGCTTTTGTATAAACTATCATATAGGATGATATAAAGCTGGTGTAGAAGTTTTTAGTAGAATAATTTTTGATGGAAACAGAATCTATAACTAGTATTAGATTATTATTTGAATAGATTAATAAATTTCATTAAATATATGTATGTGCTTTTACATTTTAGGGAGACTGTTTTAAGACAATGTAGCCCAGGCTGTCCCAAAGATCTCTATGAACCCCAGCCCAGGACTAAGGCTAGCCTCAAACTCATATTAATTAATCATCATCACTCTGGAGGATGAGGCAGAAAGAATGCCATTAAGTTCAAGGCCAACCTGGGCTATCTGAGACCTTGTCTCCAAAAAACAAAACAAAACAAAATAAAACCACTAAAACAAATAAGCCAACCATTTTGTTGGATGTCTGTTTCCTTATAATTTGTCAAGCGGGTCTTCTCCATCCTTTAAACCTTTATATATGAGGAAGTTACATAAAATAGTGTCTGCTTTACCATCCTTTGCTTTCTGTTGTGTGCACTATCTTTTCATAGATCTATTAAAAGTTCTACTTTCCGATTTGTGATCATCCTTTACTTATTTTTCTGTGGAGCTCCATTAGGCGTTCCCATAGTGGGCTCCAGGCATCAAACTCAAATCATCAGGCTTGCTCGGCAAATGCTTTTACTCTCTAAGCCGCCTCCCTGGTCCCAATATAAATACTTTCACTTGTACATCTTTTTTCTTTGGGTTTTTCCGAGACAGGGTTTCTCTGTGGCTTTGGAGGCTGTCCTGGAACTAGCTCTTGTAGATCAGACTGGTCTCAAACTCACAGAGATCCGATTGGCTCTTCCTCCTGAGTGCTGGGATTAAAGGTGTGCGCCACCAACGCCCGGCTCCTTGTGCATGAGACAGCTTCTTGCTATTTAGCCAGATTTGGCCTCCAACTCACTGTGTCTCTGGTCCTGGATTACAGGTATGTGCCATCATACCTGGCTACATTTACTACCAAAAGAAAAACCCTTTTGCTTGTTTATTTGAGGGTGTGTGTTTGTATGTGGGTGTGGGAACACATGTGTGACAATGGACAACATGTGGAAATCAGTTCTGTGCTTCCATCATGTGAGTTCCAGAGACCAAGCTCAGGTCATCAAGCTTGTTGGCAAGCGCCTTTACCCACTGGGCTATCTCACTGGCCCCGGCTTATCCTTTGTTGATGCTTTTGCAGTCTCTCTGTAGCTGATTTCTGCGGAAGGTATTTGCTAAGTGTTGCACATGCTCGTTGTATTATGCCAGCCTTGATTAAAGAGTTATCATCCACAAGGACCAGGACTAGTGTGTTCTAGTGCTTGCTTTCTTCTTTGAGCTTCCTCTCCTCTGCATTGCTACAAATAACTAAGAGCAGAGGAGAAGCAGGGAATGTAACAGTGCTGAATAGGTCCAGAAGTGTAGACACAACACCCCCAACCCAAAAGCCATCTCTAGCTGTGCACCACACAGCTGCTTTCATGAGGAGATCCAGCTGTCTCTGGCAACTCACTGTCCCAGTACAAGTGAGAGCAACAAGGTTATTCTCTACGGACTGTAGGGCACAAGGTCACACACTTAGTCATACTGGACTCTGTGCCTGAGAGCATTTAAAGGGGGGATGGGCTTAATGAAACCCAAAGATTTGTTTTTACCTGGTTCTACAGTATTTGAAATGTTTGCATTGAGTTCCAGCCTTTAATTTTACCCTCCTAGGCAAGAAACATTTGCTTTTCCTCCTGAAACTTCCAAGTATGCGGTCATCCCGTCAAAGTCTACTGTGGGCACTCAGACGGATTACAGGGATGCAGATGTGCAAACAGATCCGTACTCTCCAGAGTATGTCGTGTGTCAAGACACTATTCCTGAGCTCTTGACCCTGGCTAACCTGACGTGGGGTGAGTTGGTAATTGTCACTAAATATTGCTGAGACTAGTACATGCTGCTGAGTTCCTGGGAATGACGTGTATTCAGGCAGCTTATACAGTGGTTTATACAGTGAAGGGATAACTCACACACTGGGAGAAAATATTTGCATGTAAAATATTAGGGAGGGACTAGTCTCGATCTTCAGACCCTACAAGGACTGAAAACTATTCAACATCCAGAAAACATAACCTTATTTAAAAATGGGCAATGAACCCGAAAAGACATTTCTCAAAAGAAGATAGAGATTTATTAAGAAATGAAGCTGGGATCCCAGATGCAACAGAGAGGTAAGTTGGAGTGAGAACTCAATAAGGGAGAAGAAGACATGGTATAAGGGCAAAACTTTTTATTTGCTGACAATTTTCATCTAAGACCTTGGCAAAGGTCTGGGATGATGACTCAGTGGTTAAGAACACTGGCTGATCTTCCAGAGGACCTGGGTTCAGCTCCATGGCAGCTCACAATCATCTGTACTTTGAATTTCAGGGGATAAGACACCCTCTTCCGGCCTCTGCAGGAGTCAGGCACACAAGTGGTGTATAATCATACATACAGGCAAAACAACAGCCAGGCATATAAAATAAAATGTGATATATTAAAAAAAAAAACAATAGAAGGCCATTGAGGCCCTACACTCAGAAAGCAGAGCCAAGTGGATCTCTGTGAGTTCCAGGCTAGCCAGTGTTACATAATGAGGCCCTGTCTCAAAACAACACACTAAGTATCAGAACTAAAAACAACGATCCATAAGAGAGCTGATCATGAAACCAACATACAAAACAAACAAACAAACTAGCAAAAACAACAACAAAAACTAGTGACGTTACTGCGAGGGCTGCATGTAATTAGAAAAGTTATTGGGAACAGTGGCAGCAAAATGTGCTTAACCGCTTAAAGACTAGACATGCCAAGACTTTATAGAGAAAATTTACAATGTTTCGAGGTGTGATTAAGGCAGAAGCAGGCCACTCTTATGAGTGAGAAACTCATGCTCAAATGGATATGAGTTCCTTCCTTAATGAGTTATACATACCTTCAAGGAATTCTGATGGAAATTCCTAGTCCTACTCTAACTGTCCCTATGTAAGTTAGTTACGTTTCTCAAACTCTCTTCAGTGAAAGCAAAGCTTCCATAGAATCTGTGAGCTACTCTGTGTTTGCAAAGCATGCAAGGGGGGGGGTAACTGAGATTGACTACAAACTGTGTGGGAGGGAGTAAGGAAGGGTAGACCCAGAAGGAATACCCCTGGAGGGTACATTTAGCACTTTCCAGGATTAAAGTAATCCTATTTTGTGTTCTAACTTCCAGACCAGAACCTTTCTTGTAAGAATCCCTAAGAAGCTCACACTGGGCAGAGAGAGACCAGAGCAGGAGTGTGAGCTCACACTGGGCAGAGAGAGACCAGAGCAGGGGTGAGCTCACACTGGGCAGAGAGAGACCAGAGCAGGGGTGAGCTCACAGTGGGCAGAGAGAGACCAGAGCAGGGGTGATCTCACACTGGACAGAGAGAGACCAGAGCAGGGGTGAGCTCACACTGGACAGAGACCAGGGCAGGGGTGAGCTCACACTGGGCACAGAGAGACCGGAGCAGGGGTGTCTGCTGGGGCCTTGTGTAGGTAGGACAATCCAGGTGTCTGTCAGAGATGTGAGTTTAAACGGAATAAAGTCCTAGAACTCTCTGTGAGTGCAGCCAAGTGCCCCCCCACCATGGAGTTGAATAAAGACAAGTTTCAGAATAAAACATGAAATGACTTTTCAGTCTTTGGCTAACAGCAAGCGTAGACTAACACATCTATCATGCTTCATATGTGATGATTTTTAAAATCAGTTCACTTGGTTTTTTTGTTTGCTTGTTTGTTTTGTTTTGTTTTTTGTTTTTTACAAGACAGGGTTTCTCTATATTGTTTTGGAGGCTGTCGGTCCAGCCTGGCCTCGAACTCACAGAGATCCACCTGCCTCTGCCTCCCAAGTGCTGGGATTAAAGGCGCGCGCCAACACTGCCCGGCCAGTTCACTTGTTTTTATGTAGTTCTGCTTGTTTCATCTTTAAGTCAAATCTGGTTTCTGCTTCCTGCCTTGTTAGGGGAGTAAGAACACAGACCCTCATCCACTTCAGGGAACCTACTTCACCTTTTTGTCCCTCAGTTTCTTTATTTGTAAAGTAGGGATCATTATACTTCTAGGATAGAGATTTATTGAAGAGCAAATGAATTTGAACAGTTATTGCTATATTGTAAGTGATTAAAAGTGTAATTTATCGCCAGGCGGTGGTAGCACACACCTTTAATCCCAGCACTCTGGGAGGCAGAGGTAGGTGGATCTCTGAGTTCAAGGCCAGCCTGATCTACAGAGTGAGTTCCAGGACAGCCAGGGCTACAACAGTGAAAACCTGTCTGGAAACAAAACAAAAAAACCCTGTAACTTAAATAAGTCTTAGACACGTGAACTCCACAGACTCACAGAATGCTGTCTTAGACACGTGAGCTCCACAGACTCACAGAATGCTGTCTTAGACACATGAACTCCACAGACTCACAGAATGCTAAGTCTGTAAAGAATTCCCTAAACTACTTCTGTGCTTATCTTGGGAGAGGGAAGAGGAGAACCGAACTTCATATGGTGATTAAAAGAATCTTTGACTTTATTTTTAATTTTTTAATTTCACTAGAAAAGGTAAAGTTATTTGATCTATAATAGAGCTGTCTTTAGTATGAATATGGTATTTTCATACTTTTTGGTTTTAAATTGCTAAACAAAACTTTACACAACTACCATATATATTTTCATATGTATCAAACATGGAATTATTTGTTTCTTTTTAAGCTGATATGTTTTCCTTTTAAGAACATACTTAGATTAAAAACTTATAATCACACAATCATGGGGGGGCACGGGGGATGGTGTGTGCATGCATACAGTGCCTGTGGGAGGCCAGAGAGAGAGACCCCTGTTGTGAGCCGCCTGATACAGGAGCTGGGACCCAAACTCTGGTCTTCTGCAAGAACAGCATGCACTCTTGACTGCTGAGCCTTCATTCCAGGCCCCACACATTTCTTTTTTCTTTCTTTCTTTCTTTTTTTTTTTTTTTTTTTTTGGTTTTTCGAGACAGGGTTTCATTGTTTTGGAGCCTGTCCTGGAACTCACTCGGTAGACCAGGCTGGTCTCGAACTCACAGTGATCCGCCTGTCTCTGCCTCCCGAGTGCTGGGATTAAAGGCGTGCGCCACCAACGCCCGGCCCACGCATTTCTTTAAACTTACATATTTCTTCATACATTAGATGAATCAAAAGTATTTCCACTTATGAGTAAACCAAAAACTTGGAACCAATAGAACAGAAAATTAAAAAATAGCTCATCGTATGTGATAGAAACATTTTTCTCTTTAGCCTTTTCTGTATGATTATTTTTTGAAGTGAAAAATTAACATATTAAACAGGAAACTCACTTGACACCTATTTCCTTTAGTAGTTTTTGGTCCTGTGAAGACATACACCAAGTCAAAACTGCATTTAGATCCACTGGCCACCAAATGTGCCAGAGAAGGGTAAGATGATCTGGGTGTTGACTTGTGTTTCTGAGATGGTCAGGAGCTATAACCATGACTCCATAAATACCTGGACTCTTAAATGTGGAGGTGAGGCATAGTCCTAGATTATACACTTACTATAAATGCAAGGAGGATTACCAGCTAATGGTTCTTTATCACCTGTTCTTGTTTCAAAGTATGTTTCTTCTTAACAGCAAATCCCCAGTCTCTGATATATTTTCCTTTCTGTATTTAACATTTTGGGGGGAATTTTATTTATTTTTAAGTGTTTGTGGGTGATTTGCCTGCATATATTTGTCTGTGCACTACATGTATATAGTGCCCACAAGGCCAGAAGAGGACGCCAGATCCTCTGAAACTGGAGTTACACATGGCTTTGAGGCACTGTGTGGGTGCTGAGAACTGAACTTGTGTCCTTTGGAAGATCAGCCAGTGCTCTTAACATCTGAGCCATCTCTCCAACTCCTTCTCTGCCTTTTAAAATATGGACCTGTCCTGTACAGGACGTTTGAAGGTATGATCAATTGTTTGGTGGTCATTGATCATTTCCCCAGTGCTTTCCTTGAACATGTATGCAACCAGAACAGCTTCTACTTGAGTAAGAGGGGGCAGGAGGGTACAGGCAACACAAGTTTTGGGGCATCCAGGGAGCTTTTCCCAGCGGCATCATGCTGTAGCCTAACCCTTGCATTTAGAGCAGGGCAGGAGGTGGCTTGTGGGTCTGCCCTGTGTCTCTGAGCTGTGACATCCCCTGCAGGCCGAGGTCTCCCAGCAGGACAAGCCGAGGTGGAGATGATAGAACGGGCCCGGGAGAAGCGTGCTTGGGAAGCCACTCTGCCCCCACTGAGCGACAGCTTCCAGTTTGAGAAGAGGAGGAAGATGATGAATGCCATGGAGCGGAAGGAGTGGGCCTTCCGAGAGGGAGAGATTGAAAAGTAGGTTCTCTGGCTCCCGGACAGCTGTTCATGGGTTGGTGAGCGCAACGTTTATTATCATTATTACTACTATTATTATTATTATTATGTTTTTTTTGAGACAAGGTTTCTCTGAGTAGCCCTGGCTGTCCTAGAACTCACTCTGTAGACCAGGCTGACCTGGAACCTAGAGATCCACCCGTCTCTGCCTCCTGAGTGCTGGGTGGCCACTTTATTATTATTTTTTTAACCTGGAAGCATTTCCCCCAAATATCTGTGTTTAAAAACAATCATCACTCTGTGCAGATAAGAAATTGGGCTTCTAGCTCTTTCAGGAGCAGCCACACACTCCCAGTGTGGTACTAGGGCTCTGTGTAATTTTTGTCCTGCCCTCGGTCTGTGAAATTCAGCATGAAACCCAGGAACTGAACAATGGCTCCAGGACTGTTTCTGACTGTTGTGGAGCCCCAGTGATTTCTGCAAAGCATCTCAGAGATCCGCCTTGGCTCATTCCCAGAACCACCACGCCTAGGCAGCAGGCCCCTCTGTGTCTCAGACAACGGCCTCCTAGACAGCCCTCTCATTCCCACCCTCCACGGCTCATAGGACACCTGGGTTCTAGCTGGACTGATGCAGCACTTCCCACTGGAATGGCAGATTGTAGAGACTTTGTCCATGAAGAGATGAGCTTGCATAGCAACGTGCATAACTGACACTATGTCTAGGAACTTCTTCAGTTTTCAATCATTTTAGCCGATGGTGGTGATGACGATGATAGTGATTGTTATTGTATTGTATCACATAAGGGCATTTTCAACAGGTGCATAATGTCCTTTGAGCACATTCTCCTGGTGTGTTTTTGTTAATGAGGTTGTTGTTGAAATGATGAGGAATTATTAAGGAGAAAGACTCCTTACCAAGCTTGCAGGGAAGGTGCTTGCTGAGACTGGCCTTTGTTCCAGGTTGTGCTGAGGCCTGTATTGCTCCTCTGTGCTATTAAAACCCCGAATATACAAGGGGAGGACCAAGAGAGGACTCAGTCTATTGCTGAACTTAATTTTTTCAATTCTTTTTTGATTAAGCCCGAATCCTGACTATGTGAAGTTTTGGTAAAAGCTGGCAATTCATTGGAAAACCATGTGTGTGGTGGGCACGCTCAATGTACTCAGTGGTCTGTAGCCATTTAAACTGTTTGCTGTTCTTTGGAGAGGAATGTGTCTTGTAAGAAGGCATTAAGGTATTTAGAATGTTTCTGGCCAGAGTGATCACCTCAGAAGGTGATTGAAAACCGAGGCCAGTTTCAATCAAGGGGCTTCAAGTCCCTGTGTGGGACTCTGCGCTATGAGATGGTGAAGCCGGTGAATGCTTGGTTTCCGTGCCTCAGTGGAGCTGCTTGTGGCCTGTTGGTGCTGAGAGTGAAGACGGACCAGAGGGTAAGGTACCAGCCTGTTCCCGTCCCTGAGGCAGGCGCCAAGCAATGTGCTGGGCTGTGTGTGAGTCTCCATCTTTGAGATGGAGACTTGGGCGAGGAGGCTTCATGCTGCAGGGAGAGCAAGAGGCCATTAGTGACCGTGATGATGAAGGGGAACGGTGTAACCAACTTCCTTGTCAGACTAGCTTTTGTGGGACCACCAGCTCCCCAATAATGACTCAGAGACTTAATATTATTATGAAAACTTGGCCATAGCTTAGGCTTTTTTTTTTCCAACTAGCTCTTATAACTTAAATTAACCTGTCACTTTAATCTACATTCTGCCCTGTGGCTCAGTTACCGCTGTTCTGTACTGTATGTCCAACTTCTTCTGAGTCTCTGGTAAAATCCACATACCTAGATTCCTCCTCCTCTTCCAGGGAAATCCCGCCTATGCTCTCCCCTAGCTATTGGCCATTCAGCTCTTTAATAAATCAGTCAGAAGCCACTTTAGGCAGAGACACATCTTTACAGTGTGTATGATGTTCCGCAACAGAGAGGTAAAGAGCACATCGCTCAGAATACTCACTCTACACACACAGTGTTCTGAGAACTTTCTAGAAACCCATAGTCTTGGGCTCATCCAAAGCCTACCGAATCAGAAGGTTAGAATCATCAGTCTGGGTCAGAGCAAACCTTCCAGACAGTTCTGTTTCACAGTTAAGTTGGAGAAGTTTGCATGCATTTTCTCACTTAATGCTCACAACAACCTCTTGAGGGAGATAGTATACCTCCATTTTGCAATGGAAGACAGTGAAGTAAGAGCAGAATGGAGAAGTGACCCTGGAACCACCTAGTATAGTCACTGCCTGCTTAGCAGTGGGATGTGTTCTGAAAAATGTGTTGTTAAGTGAGCCCATCCATTGCTGGGTAAATCTCAGAGTGTACTACTCAACCTGGACAGTTAGAGGTCACTCAGTGGGGCCCTTCGATGTGACTGAATATGTGGTAAATATGTGGTGTACGAGGCTGCCACCAGCATAACATGGCAGTAAATTCTTACAATAAACTTTGGCCTGGCCTGGAGATTTAGGCCTGTAATGTCAGCACTCAGCAGGCTGAGGCAGGAGGATCAGGAGTTCAAGACCACCTATGATGGTATATTGAGTTTGAGGTCATCCTGGTCTCCATGAGGCCCTGTCTCTAAAGAAATAAATAAAACAACAGTAAACAAGACAAGTAAATCTGTCAGCCTACACAGTGGGTTGTTACCATTATCAAGTGTTATACATTATCGTATTTGCTGTATTTTTACCTGGCTGGCTGCCCAGTAAGTCTGTTTACAACATCACCCCAAATGGGAATAATGCTTTGCGTTGTGGTGGTTCAGTAGCTATGCCATCAGTAGATGACATGAATTGTTCAGCCTCCTACACAATGTTATGGGATCATCGTAGTATGTAAGACCCATTACACTGTGTAGCATGTAACCATATCTTTCACCCTGGGGACTGTTGCTGTGTGACCTTAGTGTTAAAAGCATCTGCCTCTCCAGAAACAGTTATTGCCTGGCTCCACCCTCCCCCACTGTTGGCACTTAAAGAAGGTCTGAGACACACCTATCCTCTCTCTGGTCCCCTACTCTCACCCCAACTTCCCCTTGATCCTTTCTGAGACAGAATTTCCCTATGTAGTCCAGGCTGACTTTGAACTTGTGTTCACTTGTCTCAGTCTTCCATGTGCTGGTGTGCACCCCCCAAGGCCTTTTGAACCATTTCCACTCCCTGGCTGAGGCTGGACCTCCCCTTTCTCAATGTCTTCCTCCCCCTTCTCTCCCCTGCTTGTGCCTCAGAGCTCCTGTCTTTCTCCTAGTCTGAAGCTGATCTGTGTTGTATGGTTGACTTGAAAGCCCATCTGCCAGCGGTGTGGCTTGTCTGTCATTGTCCTGCCTGGCAAACAGCGGGCACCTCGTAAACATTAGTGAATGGATTTCCACGTGGGAGTGGGACGCGCACAGAGCTGGGTTGTGACAGAGAGAAATCTGATGGCTTTTGTGGAACAGAGACTGGAAGGAGGGAGACCATGAGCTTCGAGGGCAGGATAGGAGAGAGCTGTGGAGAGGAACAAGAAGCTTCTAGAAGAGGAAAGGGCTGCAGAGGGGAGGCAGGGAGAGACCAGAATGAGCAGGGTTTGTGCTTGTTTAGTTTTGAGACGGGCAGGAGAGTCTAAGTAGGTGGAAACACTGGTTCCAAGCAGAAGCAGCTGGGGGCATAGACTTCACTTTGGGATAGGATGTCTAAGGAAGGACACGTGCAGGGAGCACAGGTGTCTGTAGGAAAGTGAAGGTTAACGACTGAGTTCCAGCTATGTGTGGGAACCAGCCCTGTGTTAAGATCACTTACTACCCAGCTTTCTTCACGTTCTTCTTAACTCTTCAGTTAGCCTAGAACTGCCCACGAATCTCTTGTTCTCTCGGTTCAGCTGCTTGCAGAGCCAGTCAGTCTCTTACCCCATCTGCCTGCTCTGCTGTCTGCTCTTCGCCTTCCGGACTGTGTGCATGCACACGCCTGCTTCCCCACGCTCCCACTATATAGAGATCTGCTGCCCGAGTGTCCTCCCCTGGATTTCAACTCGCTTGTCCCATTTTTGCTACAGTGGTCTTTGTAAAGCACTTGACTATGATGCTCACCGGAAGGGCCTGTTGTGGCTCTCAACCAGAACTTCCGGTTTGAGATGGTAATTCTCTGTAACCCACCCCAAGACTGCAGGACCTGCGACTGGAGGTTCTGAAACAGCTGCTGAAGAGGCGCGAGGAGAACCAGAACGAGATGGACATGAGGCACCTAAACGCCCAGTGGTGTAGACTGCAGGAGGCCAAGGAGGCAAAAATGGCGCAGATCCAGCACACACACGTGTCAAGTAATGCGGCATGCGCTGGTCAGGGAGGGCACGCAGCTTTGGGTTTTTGATCAAGCCTTACTGAGCTATGATGGAACTCTGATTTGGTCCTAGTGAATCACATCGGCAAGAGAGAGAGATGAGTTACTTTTGAAAGGTGGACATTGGAGAAAAATTAGTAAGAAAGTCAAGTGGCTGTGTTCTGACAGATAGTTCTGTTATTGACACATGTGCATATGCCCGTGCTGGTATTAGGTTCTCCACGTTCATAGCCCAAGGCTCTGATTAGGAAGTCTATTGATTGACTTTTTTAAAAAAATTTTTGCCCCCTAAGATATTTTAGTCTTCCTTTTTCCTAATTGCTTCTCTCCAAGAAGTTTTTAATGTCACAGATATATTTATGCTTATACATCCTATACATTTTCATTTTATGTATAAACACAAGAAATAATCACTTTACTATTTATTCAGGGCAGGAGTAACAATAACTACATCAGAGGCTGAGGAGCTGGCTTAGTGACTGATCACACTTGCTGTGTAAGCACAAAGACATGAGTTCAGATCCCCAGAGCCCCTGTGAAAACTCAGGTGTGGCCATGTGTGCCTGTCACTCAATACAAAGGAGGCAGGAGAGGAAGATTTAGGCTTGATGAACCAGTGTATCTGAAATAGCGAACTCCAAGTTCAGAGACCCTGTTTCAAGGGCTAGAACAGAGCACACCATGTCCTTTTCTGGCCTCCTCTTCTGGTCCCTGCATCTGCTAGCACAGGTGTGCACCCTCCCACACGTGTGTGCATTCACCACATGAACATACAACACACATAAAGAAGAACTAAATTAAAAATACTAAGTTAAAATTTTCAGTAGAAATTTGAATCATTAGCATTTAATTTTGTAGTTTTTTCCTACTGAGAAAACTTTTACAATTGGCTATAAAATTGGATTATTGAGGCCATTGAGATTGTGAGTAAACGTGTTTGATCCTTAGGACCTACACAGTGGAAGAGAACTGACTCCTCAAAAAACTGTTCTCAGTCTTCACACCTGTGCACACCATGGCACTTGGCAGTCTCCAACACACATACATTCACACACACAATAGAAGGTAATCAGTTTTTTAAACATTGCATTACCTTTTAAGAAGGTTTAGCCAGGAGAAGAATAGAGAGCAGGGTGAGAGTCATTATAGGTTTGAGGAGAGATCTGGCACTAGTGAGATTTCCAGAGATCTACAAGGATGACACCAACTGGCAATCTAAGCTACTTTAAATACCCTTCCCAATATTGAGGTTGACAACTATCTTAGAGCCTTCATCCAGTGGCTGATGGAAGCAGAGGCAGAAACCCACAGCTAAACACTGAGATGAACTCCTGGAATCCAGTTGCAGAGAGGGAGGAGTAATGAGCAAAGGGGTCAAGAACAGGCTGGTGAAACCCACAGAAACAGCTGACCTGAACAAGGGGGGAGCTCATGGACCCCAGACTGATGGCTGAGAGGCCAGCATGGGACTCATCCAGACCCCCTAAATCTGGGTGTCAGTGAGGCGGCCTCAGCAATCTATGGGGCCTTGGGTAGTAGATCAGTATTTATCCCTAGCATACAAATGGACTTTGGGAGCCCATTCCACATGGAGGGATGCTTTCTCAGCCTGGACACATTGGGGAAGGGAGGCTAGGCCCTGCCCTGGATGATATAACAGACTTTGGAGATCCCCCATGGAGGGCCTCACCCTCCCTGGGGAGTGGAGTGGGGATTGAGTGAGGGGTTGGGGGGCCTGGTGAGGGGTGGAAGAGGGGGAGGGGAGGGAGAGGAAGCTGGGATTGACATGTGAAACAAGCTTGTTTCTAATTTAAATAAAAAGAGACAAAAGAAAAGTGTTGACCCTGGTTAGTTGCCACACCCCACTGGAAAGCTATAAACCCAAGAATTCATGAACAGCACAGTTTAGACTTGATAGATGAAATAAACAAACAAACAAAAATAGAACACTAAATTGGGTGTATAGGAAAATGGGAGTGAATCTGGGAGAACTGAGGAGCAGGTGAATATAATCAAACCACACTATACAAAATTCTCAAAGAGCCAATTTAAAAAGTAAATTTAGAAACAGTCCTGAAAGCTTTCCAATTGCCCCAAATTCATGAAAAAAAATTGAATAATTTTATTACCAGTGGACCCAAATTAGCAGTTTATATAGCAACTCAATCACATTTTTAAAAAAATAGATGAAGTGGTTTTTTTTCTGAAATTAAATTCTTACTTAAATTTCCTTCTAGTGAACTCAGCGTTTGTTTTTATTTTCTTGATCTAACCTTGGTCTAGCTGTTGGCTGTGTATTTAGAAGTTGTTGACATTTTTCTTTTCAGTACATGGCATAGCTAGTGATGATTTGACTAACTTCTATAGATCGTCAAATGCAATTTATTTTACTAAATTCCAACGCAGCAAGTCACATAAAAAGCCTGGCAGATGAGCCGGGCGTTGGTGGCTCACGCCTTTAATCCCAGCACTCGGGAGGCAGAGGCAGGCGGATCTCTGTGAGTTCGAGGCCAGTCTGGTCTACAGAGTGAGTTCCAGGACAGCCTCCAAAGCAATACAGAGAAACCCTGTCTCGAAAAACCAAAAAAAAAAAAAAAAAAAAGCCCAGCAGATGAACCATGAACAAGGGTGCAAGGCAGCAGTGGCTCTGGGCCTCCTGCAGCGTGACCCCTCACTCTTTTGTGACAGGGTTTCACACCTATTCACCTGTTCCCAGTAGCCCAGGGAGAGCTGTGAAAGGGGATGGCTCTATGGAGAGAAGTGAATGGAAGTGAATGCATGACTGCCCAGATGAGTGTTTGGATGTGCACAAAAGCACCTTCTCCCTCTACCCAGCAAGCCAGGCCGAAGCTATGAGCCAGGACATCTTCTGAAATCCTGGTGTTGGCCAGCATGAGTTGCTTCCAGCTACTTCAAACTCTATTAACTTCTTCTTAGCCCAGAGCTTGAGGTTATCAAAGAGATGTATGTGCAGGCTGGCGCATGTGCGCCTGAGTGACTCCACACTGAGGACACTAGCTGATCCATGGTACTCCTGCCTGTCATGGTACTCAGAGCCACACAGGTGGCAGACCTGTTTCTAGCACCTCATTCTGGTTGTTGTGGGCCATCGTAGAATTCACTCAGCTCTGTATCTTCCTGGCAAACCAAACTAGAGTTGCTTTGCTATTCTGCATTTATAACTTAGAGATGTATCCGGGAGAGAATCATGACAGTGCCTTTTCTTTCAGACATCAGAAAACTCGTAAGAAAAGGGAAGAACATAGAAGGGAAGCTGCAGAGGAGAGACATCATCAAGGAGTACTCCGATTTTGCATCTCAGGTCTATGGACCTTTGTCCCGCCTTGGCCGTTTCCCAGACAACAACTCAGAGGACTTTGTGGTCAGAAACCACTATCTCAACACCTATGAAGGTAAACAATAGGATAGTTGAAAAGCACCAACAAGCAGAGTCCATAGGCTGGCCCATACAGCTTCGTTTAAAGTAATACAAACTCAGAATCAAAGAGAAGAAAAACCCATAGAATAATTTAACAAAGACTAATTCAGTTAGCTACTAAACTTGGTAGCTAGGTGTAGTAGCAACTGTCTGGTTCCAACCCTCAGAGCTGGAGACAATCAGATCACCAGAGTCCTGGAGTTTGGGGCTAGCCTGGGCAATTTTCTTTTAAGATTTCTACTTAAGAACAAATGCCAGAAACCAAGTTTTAAAGTAAATTTTCATTAAAAAGAAAACCTCTTTATGCCAGGCTTATGAAACAAACAAAATACTTATAATGAAATCAAATGCACCAGAAATCTAGAAGGCAGAGCAGAGTCACCAGGTAGTCAATTCATGAAGTGTTCTGTGCCTCTCATGAGGCAAAAGAGACTATTTAAATCCTTAGAAGCTCAGCTCACAAGCTGACACATCCTCTGGCCAAGATGATGAGTTAGTGATCAGACTCCTGAACCTAGAGCCCTGGCTGCTGTCTCCAGAGCAAAATACCATGAGTTGGTGAACACTCACTTTAGAATGGGGGCACCCTCTGTCATAAAGCTGTGTGGGCTTGCTGCTGGCTGCTGGCTATCCTTTCTGTAGGAAACACCTTTATTTTAGAATAGTTTCTCACTGTGCCACACAGGTCACGGAGCAGATGCTAGCTTCACATACTTTACATTTTAGAAACAGTTTATCCTTTTAAGAGAAGGCACCTTCCAAAGCTGAAAGACCTAACAGTGCACTCTCAGCACGTTAAATGTAAGCACTGGACTCTTAAGAGCCACACACTTCCTCCCACAGGGTTAGTGGAACTTGAATCATGTCTTCCTGATTTTGTGACACAACCAAGGATCAAACCTCCAAAGCCCAAAATCATTACCACCAAGGCCGGTTTTCTGAAGAGGACAGCAAGGATGGATTATGAGTTGGCAGAGGTTCACAAGGTACAGTCGGGCTCTGAAGACTAGACGCTTCCACTCTGACTTCTACAGAAGAATACTGCACCCTGAATTGCATTCGTCATGGGCAGCAGTGACTGTACACCTGAAATACAACCTACATTCTCTTTCCTCTCTAACTTCCTCTCTCACCAGTCCCATGTGGGGTCCTGGTCTAATGAGCAAGTCCACCTTCATTTCAAACTATGACAGGACTTTCTAGGGGTTCCCTTCCCCTATACAGAAGTTATTTTTCTGAAAGTACTTCCACTCGGGCTCTGTATAGGGTAAAATCTGAAACTATGAAGATTAGCAAATTCTAGTATTAGGAATTACTTTGTTAAGAGTTGTAACTGGTTCTGTTTTCTTCCTTTTATGTTTGCTGTGAGGGCACCATGAGGAAGATATTTGACTGATTTCTTTTCATCTAGTTTGAAAGTCAGCTAAGAAGGAGAATTTGATGGCCATCAGATGTCTCGCAGCAGAGTCCCACGGAGGGCTTGTTAAAATGCTGTGCTAGGCTCCACCCCCAGGTTTCTGCTCAGCAGATCTGGGTGAGGCTGTGGAGATGGGCGAGCTTCACATGTCTCCAGGTGATGCTGTTGCTGTGGGCCTAGGAGCCACACTTTGGAATCCCTGGTTTATGACATCCTCCTGTCCACAGATATTTGCTTGTGCACTGATTCCTGTAACATATAAGAATCTATGGGAACTCAAACTCAACATGAAAAAAATAGGACTTTGAGGACTGGGGGGATGGCTCAGTCTGTAAAGAACTTGCTGGGCAAGCATGAGGACCTAAATTCAACCCCCAGCACCCAGGTAAGAAAGCTGGGTGTGGTAATGCAATTGTAATCCCAGAACAGAGAAAACAGATGCAGCATCCCTGGGGCTCATTGACCAGGGAGGCTGGTGTAATCAGCAAGCCCCAAGTCCTTCTGAGAGATCATGAGAAAACCCAGGGTTGGATCTGGAAGAACAACACCCGAGTCTGACTTCTGGTTTCCACACACATGGGCATGCACATATACGAACACATACAAATGTGAATATACACACATGCACTTTGAAAAAGCTTAGGACCTTGATAGTGATCTCATAAATCCTTTTCCCTTACGGTGTCCCCGTTTGCATTCACCTTTCTTGAATACTGTGCTCACCAGTCTCATTCTTTGTAAGAAGTTTTTCCTGTACTTAGTATCAGGTTATGGAAACTCTTTTCCTCCTGATTTGCTAAAGCCTTTGACTGGGTGCTTACATTACTTTATCCAATGCTCAACTGTGTTTCCAGACTTTTTACAAATACTGATCTGTCCTGCATCAGTGGGTGACCTTGCTCATTTGAACACATCATCAGATCTAGTTTAATGTTTCAAATCTCTGTCCCTGGGTGAGATGGTGCTCTTTATTTTTCTTCTAATTTGTCCATGTGTGATACCAGAGTTGAGCAGAGCCAACCTGGGAGCCTCCCTTCTTGCTTCTTCTCTGAGAGGAGTTTAAACAAGATCTGTCCCTTCAGTGTGGAAGGATACGAACACAGCCTAGTGTCTGCACGGGAAAGAATTTAACCTGAGCTTCTGATTCTCCATAGCATACTTGTGTTCATTTTGTAAACTGAATTGTGTAGAATCTCACTCCATCTGTTCAGTCTTTGACATGCTCTCCCATCATACTGTTTTTATAATACTTTGTTCCATATATAATCGTGTTCATTTTTTATCATTTATAGCATTGTTTGTATCTTAACTCTTTTTTCACCAATCCATTTTACTGGAGGGTTACACAATGAATTCACACTACTTTCTTCTCTTGTATTTATTATATCTCTTTGTCTTTGAATTGTTCTGTGAGTATTTTTCTATGCTAGGAGAATTGAATGTGTATATTATCAATTTCAGTCATTCATCAACTTTATATAAGTATTTCAGACTAAACATTTCCCTTCAAAACACAGATTTTGGCTACATCTCATTAGTTTTGATATGTGATGTTTGCCATTCTTATTTTCTAATATCCAAAAGTATCCAGCGTTGCATTGATCCTGTATTTAATGTGGTATAAAATTTCCCAGTATGTAGGAATTTTAATTCAGTTTCTGGCCAGCTTGTACCTTTAGGGTGCTGTGGTTAGAGACCAGAGTCACTTCCATGCCAACACTGTGAAGTTAGCGAGGCTTTGGGGTTGAAGGCGTGAGTCAGGACACATGATGTCCAGCATGTACAAGGCCCTGCTTTAATTCCTCAGCAGTGCTGAGAGGGTGGGAGAGAGAATGAGGAGAGAGCAGGGAGAGGAGGGAGAGAGACTAGGATGTGACCATACTTACCAATTAATAAACGCCCATGTTCAGATAACATACATTTTATATTATGCCTCTCCGGTGTGGGGACAGATTGTTTCCAAGGCCCCCTTCATCCTTGGGGCATTACTGTCCTTCAGCTCACTGACCCTTGTGCTATAAATACACAATATATTTTCACTCTGTTTTGATTTCTTTGAGATGGGTCTCACACAGCCCCAGGTAGGCTTTGAATAACTGTGTAGCTGAGGAAGACCTTGAACTCCTGATCCTCTTGCCTCTACTTGCTAAGTTCAGGGATTACAGGTGCATGGGCATGCACGCATGTGTACACACACACACACACACACACACACACACACACACACACACACCACCGTGACACTAGTATCTTAAAAATTAGGAAAAAACAAAAGTTTTATTTCACCTCTGTTTACTCCTTCTCTGCCCCCTGTCTTTACAGATGTGTACCTCTCTGACCCCTGTCATTTTTCTTCTGCCTTAAGAATTTGATCATTTTCAGCATGGCCCGTCAGCAGTGAGCTCCAGGTTTTGCGTTCAGTCTTTCTCCTTTGCTTTCAGCTGGGGGAGGGGGTAACCATTCACTTACAATAAAGCCTGCCTTTAGCGTATACAGTTCAATGGCTGCTAGCACATCCACAGTTTGCGTCTGTCATCACTATTCAGTCCATCATCCCTCACAACAAACCCCATACCTCTTAGCAGTCACTTCCGCTCCTTCCTGTCACCCCCTGGCAATCTCTGCTCCACTTCCTCTTTGCGGACGTGCTTGTTCTGAACATGCTGTGTTGGCAGAGTCCTACAGTAAATAGCATCTCTTGACTAGCTCTGTCCATGTAGCATGGTGTTTTTGAGGTCCCCTCATAGTCTAGCACAGTTCCAGGTCTTCATTCTTGTTTATGACCGCATAATACTCCACTGTGTGGGTATGGCACATTCTGCTTCTCCACTCTTAATCTGATAGGCATCTCAGTGCTGTCTAGCATTGGTCATGTAGGCCTGTGTGTTCTAGCTCTGGATAGACATGTTGTTTTGTTTGTTTGGATGTATCTCTAGGAGCAGGATCATAGGTCATACAGCCCTTGTTTTACCTTGTGAGGAACTTCCTGACTGTTGTCAAATTGACTACACTATTTTTATCTCAGTGGTAGTGTGTGTGGGTTCATTTCTGTACATACTTCCTGTCTCTTACTGTCTGTTTTCTTCTAGCCATTTCAATATGAGGGAGATGGTGTCCCCATGGGGTCTTGGTTTGATTTCCCTGATAACTGATGACACACTAAGGATCTTTAAAAGTAACTGTTGGTAATTTGTATGTTTTTTGAAATGCATGTCTATTTGAATATTTTGCCCATTTAAAAAACTAGCTGTGTTTTTATTACTGAATGTTAAAAATATTCTAGAGACTAGATCTTTATCACTTTCAAATCACCCTCCCATTCTGTAGGTTATCTTCTCACTTGTAGTGTCCTTCAAAGCACAAACGGTTTTGTTGTTGTTTGATTTTTTTTAAGTCTTTTAACTTTTAAAAATATTTATCTTATTGTTTTAAGAGAGAAAGTGTGTGTGTGTGTGTGTGTGTGTGTGTGTGTGTGTGTGTGTGTGTGTCAATGCAGGTGCCAAGGAAGCCAGAAGAGGATGTTAGATACCCTGGAGCTGGAGATACAGGTGGTCATGAGTCGCCTAATGTGGGTGCTGGGAACCAAACCCTGGTCCTCTGCCAAGAACAGCACATGGTCATAACTCCGCAGCCATGTCTCCAGCCTGAATCTCACTGCCTTGGACAGAACTTCACCCTGGGCATTTTTCTCCACTTCACCATCTTATTGATGGCTGGAAATCTGTCATTCTCATTGTCGTCCCTCTGTAGGAAAGGTGGCATTCACACATCCTCTGGTGTCTTTCAAGTTTGGGGCTTTCTTCAATTTAAGGAGTATATGTCTGCACTTTGGTCTTTATTTGAGGCGTTTATCTTGTTTGCTGTTCCTTAAGTTTCCTAGATCCCTAGTGGTATCTGTAAAGTAGTTTCTTAGATCCCTAGTAGCATCTGTAAAGAAGTCTCCTAGATCCCTAATAGTATCTGAAGTCTCCTAGATCTCTAATAGTATTTGTAAAGTAGTCTCCTAGATCCCTAATAGCATCTGTAAAGTAGTCTCCTAGATCCCTAATAGTATCTGTAAAGTAGTCTCCTGGATCCCTAATAGTATCTGTAAAGTGTCTGACCAGTTTCAGCCATCACTGCTTGAAATATTTCTTTTGTTCTCCCCTTCCTTCTTCCCCTCCCTCCCATTTTTTTTCCTCTTTGCTCTGTTCTCCTATTTCTCCCATTTCTTTGTCTTCTTCTTTTCTTTTTTCAGACAGTGTCACATAGCCCAGGCTGGCCTCAAACTCACTGTGTTGCTGGAACTAACTTAAACTTCTTATTGTTCTGTCTCAACCTCCCGTGAGCTGCAGTCATGGTGGAAGCCAAGAGTCAAGTCCTAAGAGTTGTCGTTTGATCGGCGCATACACAAGCGCATAATGCGCACACATACACATTCACACCCTAACAATAAACAAACAATATTTTAAATGTATCTAGAGTGAGATAAAATTTCACTGTGTGGCTCAGGCTAGCTTGGGTCTCATGACCTTCCTGCTTCAGCCTCCCAAGCCCTGAGATTACAGGAACAAGCCACCATGCCCAGTCTCATTGGACTTTTTAAAAAGGTGCAGTGTGTGTGTGTATGTGTGTGTGTATGTGTGTGTGTGTGTGTGAGTACATATGTGTGTGCACATGTGTGGGCCAGAGGTAGATGTTCGTGTCTTCCTCCATTGCTCACCAGCTTACTGTTTTTTGAGAAGTGTCCTTCACTGAACCTGCAGATTGCTGAGTTGCCTGGCTGACTAGCCAGCCCCAGGGATCCTCTTGGGTCTGCCTCCCCAGGGTCAGGAAACAGGTACACTGCTATGCTGCAGCTTCTGTGTTTAGCTTCTTAAATAGATCGTTAGAAGTGAGGCTCCTTTTTTTAATATTAAAAATTTTATTTTAAAATTTAAATTCAAATTAGAAACAAGGTTTCTTCACATGTCAATCTCATGTCCTTCTCCCTTTCCTTCCCCTCCTCCCACCCCCTCCCACCACCCACCCAATACCCCCTCCTTTCCCCAGGAAGGGTGAGTTCTTCCATGGGGGTGTCCATAGTCTGTCATTTCATCCAGGACAGGGCCTAGAACCTCCCCCAAGAGTCCAGGGTGAGAGTGCATCTCTCATTGTGGGATGGGCACCCAATGTCCATTTGTATGCCAGGAATAAATACTGGTCAACTACCAAAAGCCCTGAAGATTGCCTAGGCCTCCTCACTGACATCCCCATTCAGGGGGTCTTGATCAGTCCCATGCTGGATTCCCATGCATCAGCCTGGGATTCAAGCGTTAACCCTTGTCAGGTCAGCTGTTTCTGGGGGTTAAACCAGCCCAGTTTTAATCCCTTTGTTACTGGCTTTCTTGAGTTCAGCTCAGTGCTTAGCCGTGGGAGTCTGCCTCTGCCTCCATCAGCCACTGAATGAAGGTTCTGTTTCCCTGGGATTGTAGGCTGGCTTCCTGGTCTCGGAAGTGAGACTCCTTATACTTGCTCGGCAAGCACTTCACTGACTGAGGACTCCCCCAGCCCCCTATAGGCATCTTTTAAAACTTCTTTCTCTTTGGTGCTGTGGAATGAACTCAGGACTCATGCATACCAGGCAAACATTTATCACCGAGCTGCAGCCCTAGCCCTAAGCTTCTTATATAAGTTATAAATATATAAAACACACTGTTCTGCTCTTTTTTTAAACTTGATGTCTTATGACTATTACCAGAACAGCTCTCTTACTGCTTTTTACACTTTAAAGATGGATTGTTGTATGTGGTCAAAATATGGAATCAGCCTCCTTCCTAGTAGATATTTAGGCTGTTTGGCAATTTTTAGCACTGATCCCAGTGCTCCGGTGACTCTTGCCTGCACTGTTTGGTGGATAGATGAATGAACAATGTTCTTAGACACAGAATTGTCTGTGTCTGGGTGCTGTAATGAACTTTTCTTTGGGCCATCAGCTCACAAATAATGACACAGAGACTTATTATTAATTATGAAAGCTTGACCTATAGCTTAGACTTGTTCCTAACTAGCTATTTTTTTTATTTAAATTAGAAACAAGCTTGCTTCGCGTGTCAATCCCAGCTCCCTCTCTCTCCTCCACCCCCCAGGCTCCCCAACCCCCCTCTCAATACCCACTCAGATCCCCAGGGAGGGTGAGGCCCTCCAAGGGGGATCTCCAGAGTCTGTCATTTCATCCAGGGCAGGGCCTAGATCCTCCCCCAAGAGTCCAGGTTGAGAGAGCATCCCTCATTGTGGGATGGGCAACCAAAGTCATTTGTATGCCAGGGATAAATACTACCCAAAGCTCCATAGATTGCCTAAAATCCATATATGAGTGAGTACATACCGTGCCTAACTAGCTCTTATAGCTTAAATTAACCCATATTTGTATTGATCTATATTCCTCCATGTGGCTTTTACTTCTATCTCATTCTGTGTGTCCTACTCATTCTGCATCTGGCTGGCTTCTCTGCCTCTCTTCTTCCCAGAGTCCTCTCTGTGCCTGGAAGTCCCGCCTATACCTCCTGCCTAACTATTAACCCTTAGCACTTTATTAAACCAATCAGAAGGTGCCCTGGCAAAAACACATCTTCACAGTGCGCAAAAAGATAACTCCACAAGGTATGCATTGATCATTTTGATGTATATTGCCCAATTTTCTTATATAAATATCTGCTTCACCAGTACATACAAATGCCCACTTTTCCACATCCTTGCCGACCTTCAGTCCTGAATGACTGATGTGGTTTTGTGGAATGACTGATGTGTTTCTGTGACTTCATGTGGTATGGCCCAGGGCTCTGCTCTCTGAGCTCCCCAGCCTTTGGCAGGTTAATACCCGCCCACTGCTGGGTCCTTCCTGCTAAACAAGCAGTGACTGTCCAGCGCGTACGTCAATCGCTGCCAGTTTTATTTTGGACAAATCCAGAGGTTCTTTTATCTATTCCAATAAGGAGGTGCTAAATTACACTTCTACTTTGTACATTTTTACCAGTTTCAACTTTTACAGTTTATTTATTTTTAAAAATCACCTGCCTGCGTTTTTACAAAAAATACACTGCTAAAATGATTTTATGACAAAAATTAACTAAGGTTTTTTTTTGTTTGTTTGTTTTACGAGACAGGGTTTCTCTGTTTTGGAGGCTGTCGGTCCAGCCTGGCCTTGAACACACAGAGATCCGCCTGCCTCTGCCTCCTGAGTGCTGGGATTAAAGGCGTGCGCCACCAACGCCCGGCAACTAAGGTTTTAAATTACAGCACAAGAACTTGGTACTTTTAAATCTAAAGTATTCCCCTATGGCTAAAATGGAATTGCTGAAATAAACCTTATGGATAATTTTGACAGGGCTTCTGGTGATACAAAAAGGGGCAAACATACAAAGATACAGAATACACACTCTACCACCAGGAAACGAGCTGCTTTTTTAAAATTCACATGCATCTAGGTCAAAGGGAAGGTCCCTCTCCAGTTAGAGACAGGTGCTGTTTAATATTCTCCGACTCCTCTGTAACAGCAGGACCGGATACAACATTTAATGACTCGCTACACAGTAGAGTCTCCTATTTTTGATGTTTATTTAAAACAATAAATTGGTAAAGTGTGAAAGCTGGAGCTTGTACTTACCTATGTAAGGACAAAACCTTTTTTAAAAATCCCACAGATCTTTGATGGAAACTGATACAAAAACAGGTAGGGGCTCAGCAATTATTGCTCTTGCGAAGGACCCAGGTTTGGTTTGCTGAGGTCCAGGGTTCAGTTCCCGGCACCTCCATGTTCCAGGGGCATGACTCCTGCTTCTAACCTCTGAAGGCTTCTGCACACACATAGTGAATATATGTACACTGCAACATGCACACACACACAGAACACAAAATTAATTAATGCGTATTCAAAAATAGGTTCTGTGTTCATTCAGTGGTTAATATATTCTTAGGAATGTCATAGCACATGGTGGGAAATACATGCAACCCAGTTAGAACTTTCTTGGCTAAGCTTGCATATAGACATGGAGACTTGGATCGATACCCAGGTTTACAGTTTAGATCTGGCACTGAGGGGAGGGTGGAGAAATAATAGGTGACATTTGTTGGTATTTATTTCAGATGCTGCTGGATAACAAGAATAAAGTTCTAGAAGGAAAGAAACCTCTGCGATTCCTGCAAAGGAACCCTCTTCCCCAGGCTCGGCTCCCAACCCCCACACTGGAGGAGATAAGTTCGTATGTAAGTCTGAGACTTTAACTTGAACACTAAGTTCAGGACTGCAGGCAGTTCACACGGATAGCAGTTTGGGTTAGTAACGAATACGAGCTAGCAGTGTTAGTGTCTCAAGCACTGATTCAAAATCAGTTTCCTCTCTTTTACATTTCTTTTGAGGTTTATTTGCTTTTTTATTGTATGTGTACAGGCATTTTGCCTGCATGTGTCTGTGCAGCATATGTATACATTGGCCACGGGGGCCAAAAGAGAGCATTGGATTCCCCTGGAACTGGAGTTACTGTGAGCTACCATGTGGATGCTGAAAATGGAAATCCAGTCCCCTGTGAGAGCAGCAGTGCCCCTAGCCACTGAACCATCTCTTCACCCACCCACCCCAGTTCCTTCTTAATTTGTATGTATCAGGCATCTGACACATACAAATATAACTCATGTGAAATCTAAATTTTCAGTCTTCTCAAGAATCAAAACACAAAGAATGAAAAATAGCTATTAGAAGTAATCTTCATGTATTTTACCAAAAAAAAAAAATGGAGGAGGAGGAGGGAGAGGAGTAGGAGATAGTCTGGCCCGGCATGCTGGCACACCCCTGTAATCTCAGCACTGGGGAGGCCAAGGCAACAGGATCATTGAGATGACTACCCTGCACAATTGGAGGTCACAGCAAGTGGGTGAGAAGTCTCCAGGGTCTATCACTTTCCCTGGTGGGGACCCTGAAGAGAGCATGACTGGCTGAGCCAAGAAAGTGTCCCCTCCAGACTCTGCATTCCTTTGGGTACTCACTACACTCCTCCATTGCCCTGTTGCTTGCCTTTACATGCATATAATGTATTTTCATCAGGATTTCCATTCTCTCTTAATTCCTCCCTTATCCTCCTCCACCATGGTTTCCTCCCAGTCGAATGTGCTCCTTTTGAAGCCCACTGAGTTTGGCATGTGCACGGCACAGGGCCATGTATTGGAGCACGGGTAACTTCTCAGGGGTTGCATCCCTGAAGAAAACAATCCCCCCACCCTCCTCCTAGCATCATAACTGTTACATAAATTGATTTCTGTAGCTGATGAGTCTTACCCACTATACTCTGACTTTGCTGCTTTAGCTAACTTATGTGGAAAGCACTCGTTCTAGCTACTTTCTTCATTGCTCATAAGCAAACATGAAAATCCCATTGTTGAAGGACATTATTAGCTGTACTTGTGGATTCAGAGTGATTTTGCCAGGAGGGGCTCCCGCGCAGGGCTAGCTCGGCAGTCCCACCATTACTTTCTTTTAGGTTCTCATAATGGTACATTATTCATAATAAAAATAATGCATTTTAATGATACAGTAGGTAATACTGTGCGTTTGACAACAGCAGATCCACGTCTTAGTTTTCTTTCAGTTCTTTTGGCATCTACTACAGTCATACACCTGAAATAGGTCCTCAAAAAAAAATGTTTGATGCACTTGGCAGTGGTGGCGCACGCCTTTAATCCCAGTACTGGGGAGGTAGAGGTGGGCGAATCTTTGTGAGCGTGAGGCCAGCCTGGTCTACAGAGTGAGTTCCAGGGCAGCCAGGACTGTTGTATAGAGAAACCCTGTCTCGAAAACAAAACAAGAAAACATTTGCTGCTTTGGCTGCTGCTGTCCTCACGCTGATTCTCCTTTGTCTGTTTAGGAGGAAGGAGAAATAGAGATGGCTGTGATCTACTTGCAGAAGTTACTCCGGGGCAGAGTTGTACAGAACATGGTGCGTAGGTCAGCCCGCTGGCCCGTGTTTCTCCCTCAATAGCAGACAATGGAAACTGCATCTGTCCTTGCTGCCAAGGCGAATTCCCTCCTGCACCCTGCTCTCCTACTCTGTTATACTCTAGAATGAACTCCCTTTCTCTCTGGTGCCATCCTTGTCCATCTGGGTCACACACGGTCAAGATGAGAGGTACTGCCTGCCTGTTTTACACCACAGTTGCTAACTCAGACTATGTGAACTGCTTTCTTCTTTTATGGAATTGCTGGCTCCCTAGATTTACTCATCGGAATTTTGGCAGTTAGACCAAGAGGGGTTCCCTAATTTCCTACTATGTCTTAAAACAATTACTTGAGTTTGCACAGTGAGCAATATCTGGATTATAAACACAAAGCTGTTACAGTTTTGAACCCCTGCTTATGTCCACATCATCTCCTGTGTGTATCCTCTCATTTCCTTTTTCCTACCAGAAATCTCACTTTAGAGGGAAGCAATCTGAGTCTGAGGGATGTCCTCTTAACAACCACCAGGCCTAGTGCTGGTCCTGACTTTAAGCTTTGAGTAGATGATCTCTGTCACTGCAGCAGGCACACCTCACTTTAAAACACACAAAGCCCTTTTATGGTTTCCTTCTGAGGACTTCAGGTCCTGATAGACCATGCAGGCTCCAGGGCAGCTGGTAAACAACTTGCTCAACGCTGTACTTTCTCTCAATGCGCTTCCCTTCAGACAGCAGATTGTGTGCTAATGGGACTCCTTCACTGGAAAAACTAACTGGCCTTGAATAGTGCCATCACAGGGTTTTTTGTTTTGTTTGTTTTGTTTTTTTTTAAAGGGGCACAGGAATTGAGCAGAGGACTCTAGTTTTGCTGTAGTTGCTACCTTGTCTTTGGGAGGCGGAGCAACTCACGTGAACGCGCACGCATGCACACACGCGCGCGCGCGCACACACACACACACACACACACACACACACACACACACACACACACACTGTGCATGCGCACCCGCACCCATCCACAGAAGGCACATGGAATGGGGGGGTTCTTGTTGGTGAACAGCAGGCCCAGAACCGGCTACTCGCACATGCCTCCCAGCTCACTGCGTGGCCCTCGCAGTCTTGACACAAGGTAACAGGCAAACCTTTGCTTTGGTGCAGATGTTTGAGGGCAAGGAGAAGCGACTCGAGTTGATCCTGGAGTTGCGCACCAGCCACGCCCTGCAAGAGGATGACAAGCTAGTGAAGAAAGCAGAGAAGCAAGTGACCCTGGCCCTGCAGCGGCAAAGGAACCTGCACGAGAACAAGGTTCTCCCTTGCGCCCCTTGCGCCCCTTGCAGCTTGCTGCGCTTTCCCCTCGAGGGGTGGTTACTGTCGAATGAGCAGCGCTATAATAACGTTAGATGAAAAGATTCTTTTGTTTGTTTGTTTGTTTTTTCGAGACAGGGTTTCTCTGTGGCTTTGGAGGCTGTCCTGGAACTCCCTTGGTAGTCCAGGCTGGTCTCGAATTTACAGAGATCCGCCTGCCTCTGCCTCCCGAGTGCTGGGATTAAAGGCGTGTGTCACCAACGCCCGGCAAATGAAAAGATTCTTAAATTTCCTCTAGAGCCCAGGCACACAGCGTTCTGCAACAGCCCACAATATGAGTGGGGTGTCCCCTTGCTGAATCGAAAGGGTGCTCTTGTCTTTACTTAAAAAATAGAAACCTCACCAGGAGGTGGTGGCTCACACCTTTAATCCCAGCACTCAGGAAGCAGAGGCAGGTGGATCTCTGTGAGTTCGAGACCAGCCTGGTCTACAAGAGCGAGTTCCTGGACAGCCTCCAAACCACAGACCCTGTTCGAAAAACAAAACAAACAAACAAAAAACCAACCAAACAAACAAACAAAAAATAGAAACCTTGAAATCAAACAAATGACTTTTTCCAACCTTAAGATTTTCCCTTTCGAGTTTTCTTAAACGTTGAGTAATGCTGCTGAACTCCTTTAAGCCTGGGCTTAGCAGAATCACTAAACGAGTAACAAAAAAAGTAACACGGGAAAAGTACTGTTTGAGATTTCTTTTAAAACACTGCCGTTTACTGCAGAATTTTGGAGCCACGCGTGAATTGCTCTTGCGGGTTAAGCCAGCCATTACATATGTCATTGTCTCACAATGTTTGGTGACTTTTGTCAGGTTCTCCTGCTCTGCCGTCTGACATAAACTAACAACAGCAAATCCCCCACCCACCCAGCATTCATGCCTCTGTGCTTGCTCAGGGTTACGACTACACTGTAGCTCTTTACTCCTGCTCCCAGACGCCTGTAAACCAAACCTAAGCATGAATCGATTTGCACAATTCAGGGTTGAAGTAGAATGCTTACTGCCACATTGTTTGACCTGCCTTTAATAAACACATGCTATATGGGAACTGAGCACAAGTAATAACCACCTTGGGAATGACAACAGCTTTGTGTTCTTATGGGACTGCAAGGCCATAGATGGTCAGTGAGCTTGGGGGAGGAGGTTCAGTTTTATATGACATCAATGCCATTGATGTTCAGTGGGCTTGGGGGGCGTTGGCACAAGGAGGTGAGGCAGTAAGAGTGCCACCTAAAAGTAGGACTGATGAAATGTGAGGATAATGTGGACCTGGGTGTCTGAGTCTTGTGGTCCTGGGGTCTTGGAGGTGTTTGGACAGGGAGTGGATAGCCTCGAAAGCAATAGGCCCTGAAGTGGGGTGGGAAAAATCTCCTTCTTGGCCCTTTGAGGCACATGGGGCTAAGTCAGCTGTGCAGTGAGTATTCATGCCAGCCAAGCGAGAGGGGAAGGTCTTCTCCAAAGACTGCCTAACTTTGGTCCTATCAAGGTACCCAGTGCAGGAGTGCGAGGGACGGTGTGTGTGCTGCACATGTTTAGCAAGGCTGCCTGGTCTCCTTACCTTTTTCCATTTCCATGGGAAACTGTTGAGGAAACACAAGTCCGTTTTGTGGTGAATTAATGATACAGCTGCAGGAGTGCTGCCTCCCAAGCACTTTCACTTGCAAATTGCATTTCCCTACCTGAGCATTTCTGGCTACATTTCCTGGAAAGGAAGAGGCTGGACATAAGAGGGCAGCTGTGGACCTGAGGTCAGCATCTGCCCATACCCTGGAAGTGGGAACATTCAGGTCCCCGGAGACAGGGAGAGAATCCCCCTTTCTAGGCTGAGCAACCACTGTTGATACATGAGTGAGCAGTGATGAGCCCTAACTTCACCCTTTCCAGTGCCCCTGTTAACAAACAACGTTGAAGCCAAGCATTGGTGGCACATGCCTTTTTAATCCCAGCTCTCGGGAGGCAGAAGCAGGTGTGAGTTCGAGGCCAGCCTGGTCTACAGAGTGAGTGCCAGGACAGGCTCCAAAGCAATACAGAGAAACCCTGTCTCGAAAAACCAAAACAAACAAACAAAAAACTAAACAACATTGAACTTTAGGGCTTGAAAGTATGTTGTGGGCAGGATGGGGATGAGGGAACAGACAACTAGTGACCTCATTGCCAGAGACCTGAGACTATTCCTTCCCTTTAGACACAAACCAGAGAGGGCGCAGAGCAGAGCCATCAGTGTTAAAGCAGCACACAGTGGGAAGAAGGGAGAATATTCTCTATGCTCGGGACAGGGGAGGGAAGCAGGTCAGTTATCTTAAAGGCGAGTCTGTATGAAAGCCAGGATATGATGTCCACACATCAGTGGCTTACTCCTGGCCGAGTGCTCCACAGACCCCTTATTTTACCTCAGTGATACATGGGCATTTAAGCTTTATCCTGGGCTGTTTCAAAGGTGATTGCTAATAGCTTTGAAGTTATTAAAAGTCTAAAAATTACCAAGGTTTTCCACTTTCATGCTATTCAGTGTTTTAAAGCTTTTCAGGCTTGTAGAAGACTATGCATTTAAAAAATTAAAAGTTCTCATGAGTAAATTTCTAGAAAGTTCTATTTTATTAAATTGAATCCAATGTTATCTTTATTAAGAAGCTTCTTATTTTCCTTCATGTCTGACTTTCTACATAAAGCAGAGAAAAATAATATTGCGTGTGTTGCTCAGAGAAGATTTCAGTAAGTCCTCTTCACGACTTGAGGGCTCTGATCCATGGGCACTGCCTGGGCACTGTGCTTTCTCAGATCCAAGTTCGTATGACATTTTCCAATAAGTGCCCGGGGGGGGGCGGGGTCACTGGGGCATGTCATTCTCCGTCAAGGCTGTTGTAGCTGTCTCCTTGCTTGGTCCGTCTGAGTCAGTCACCGACTCTTACTAACCACCGCTCTAAGCCGCGCTCATCCTTACAGCCCTTACTGTTCTTCAGGTGTCGGTCATTGAAAACCATCTGGGTGACCTGGAAGGACGAGTGCTGGCAGACATGTTTGACTTTCTGTCCAAAGAGCTGGTGAGATTGCAGGAGGAGAGGAGGATCCACGCCTTTGCCATGCTGGCTGAGCGCCAACGGCGCATGCGGGAGGCGGAAGAGAGTGGCCGACGGCAGGTGGAGCAGAGGCGCCTGCAGCAAGAGGACCAGATATTTATGGAGGCAAGTGGGGCAGGCGGGTGTATGATAATTCCCTAGACTCTAGGGCCTAGAGGGAGCCCACAGGTTTAACCAAAGACATCTCATACTGTGATGTCTCCCAAAATCATACGCATATTTCATGACATAAAGTGGAATTTGTGTTTTGTTTTCATTTTATTTAGCATATACACAGAGTTTTCACTCTACACTAGGGAATACAAGAGCATTGTGGGTACTCTGGAGGGAAGACACAGGCAATTTGAATGACACAAAACATGTGCACAATTATAGAATTAGAACTGCCACGAAGGGAGCAAGGATGGGTCCTTGTCAAGGAATTATGGTCAAAGGGAGACCCAGGGAGAAATCAGGAATGATGGCTAGTCTATGGCTTATGCAGCCGGAAGCTGTAAGTGTAAGTGGAGAGGATAGGTCAGGGGCAGAAGTACAATTCAGCTGAAACTTAGTTTGGGACAGTCAAGTGGAAAAGGCAGAAATTTCCATCACATCTGGGAAGGACACACAGAAGTTAACAACGTTTCCGGCCCACCTTAAGGATTGCTTTGTGCAAGCCATGTGGGGCGGTATTGAGCTCCCCTCACCTGTGTTTTATAACCCAGCTATCTAGTGTTCTATGTCTTTATAGCTTGCTTCATGAGAGCAAGCATGCCATGTACTCAGTGTGCTTTCTGCACCGTCAGCATGAGCCCCAGACATGCTAGACATTCCACAAGTATGTCTTGGTTGGTAACATATTGACCTGCCATTAAGAAGCTAACAGCAGGAAGGCATGGGGCTTAAGGCTGATATTAGGGTCCAAGGTACCTAAAGAGTAAGAGTAAGTATCACATACATAGGTTGTACTCCAGGCCCTCTAAGAAACAGGTCCTGGATAGTTGTATTATTTCATACCCAAAGAAACATTCAGACATAAAAATGTTTTTTTTTGTCTCTGTGAGACTCATAATCTGTTGAGACATATACATACATGTAAATACATACAAAGCTTAATGTGTCACTGTTGATGCTTGTGATACTTCCTGTGTGAGCATGTGTGTGTGTATGGAACAAACAAGGCTAATTGGTTTTGCCTGAGATTGTATAGCTAGACAGCAAAATTCTAAAGCTAAGTAAGCACTCTCTTGTGTTGGTTGTTTTTATTACTCTTTACTACTCTACTCTTTTGGGGACTCTCCACCCAGCTCCCAAATAAATCATACAGTCTTCTTATTATTTATAAATGCCTGGCTTTAGCTTAGCTTAGTCCTAGCCAGATTTTCTTAAATTATCCCACCTATCTTTTGCCTTTGGGTCTTTTCCTTTTCTTGCTTCTGTAATCTTTTTTATTTTAAAGATTTATTTATTATGTACACACTGTTCTGCCTACACATATGTCAGCTCGCCAGAAGAGGGCACCAGATCTCACTTAGATGAGTGTGAGCCACCATGTGGTTGCTGGGAACTGAACTCAGGACCTCTGGAAGAGTAAGCAGTGCGCTTAACCTCTGAGCCATCTCTCCAGCCCATCTTTTGTATAGATTATTTTCACTCTTATTCCGTGGCTGGCTGGCTGGGAGGCTGGGGGGCTGGCCCCTGATGTCTTCTCTCCTTATTCTCTTGTTCCTTCTTCCTCTTTTCCAAATATCTCCTCCTATTATTCTCTCTGCCTCCTGCCTTGTTATTGGACATTTAGCTCTTTATTAGGTCAATCAGGTGTTTTAGACAGGCAAAGAACCACAGCTTCACAGAGTTAAACAAATGCAGCATAATCAAAACCATCTTTACATGGTTAAACAAATGTTCTAGAGCATAAACAGATGTAACACACGTTAAAATAATATTCTACAACAACTCAGTAAGACCGTTATGAAAGTGGAAACAGGCTTTGGTCAGGAAGGACACAATGACCTTCTTAGGTACTTACAGCAGCTATATGGATACTGGTTTTATCCTAATTCATTATTTTGAACATTTATGTGCTCTGCATTCTATCTCATGATTTCAAGAAATCTTCAAAATGAAATTAAGGAGCATTATGACAATTCAGTAAATCCTTCAGTGACCTGGGGTCCTTCTACCTTCTGCTCTGCATCCTCTAAAATGTGGCCCTTGTGGCAACTTAAGGTGACTACTGTCATCAAAGATTTCATGTCCATGAAATAAAACATAAAAAGAGAGAAAAGGAAGAGAAAAGGGGGGAAGCTAAGTCTTTCTTTGTAAGCATATTTTTGAGAAGTTGGGTGTGTCACCTCAGCATGTGTTCTCTTGGTCAGACCTTGGTCATGTGGCCATGACTAGACCCTACAGACACTAGGAAATGTAGTCATACTTGTTTGCCCAGCTGAAATCCAGAGATCGCGTTATTGAAGATAGGAGACAGAAAGGGTATTGAGAAATATTCCCTAGCCTCTGCTGCAGTTGGGTGGCTTGGCCACATCACACAACTGATAAGGACAACCAGGGTCCAAGCCAGGTTATTGGTCAGCATTTGTTGTAGTGCTTTTCACCAACATCCAAGTAGGACCCGCAGTTATGAGATGAGCTAAATGGGTTGGGCTTCCCAGAAAGCATAGGTAGATGGATGAGAAACAGACTAGTGACTTAATGAAAGAAATGTATGAACCGTGAGATCATCAAGCAATGTTTGTGTGGATTTTGTCTTGTTTACAGTAGAAGTTCTTAGGCACGTGTGTGTGTGTGTGTGTGTGTGTGTGTGTGTGTGTGTGTGTGTGTGTGTAATATATCTGTGTGTGTATGTACATATATATACATATATATATATTAATTTATGCAGGTGATTAAAGTTCACCAAAGTACGGTAACCTCCTATCTGGAAGACATCATATTGAACACTGAAGAGAGTACTGCAGAAGAACAAGCCAGAGCAGAAATCGAGAAAATCGCTGAGGAAATCAATGACATTGCTTATGAAATGGAAAACCGGTATGTATGCATTATGAGAAAAGACTGTGAAACAGATGATGACATATTTATTGTTACTCAGCTGTAATCTTTCAGGCACTTAAGGCCCCACCAGCAATATATAAGTTATGCTTTGGTGTCCGTTGTTTTACTAGTCAACTCACTGGAACTGAGCATGCCCACACCCGTCTTGGTAGGAGCACTGGGGATTGATTCTCAGTTTACCTCTATCCTTCTGGCTTATTTCCATCCTATACATCCTTACAATACCAGAACATAAAAGCAAAGTAGACATATGTATTTGGCATTATTTGGACTTAATCCCAATGTTTTAGACTTCCAAGTATTCACTGAATTTTTAAAATGTGCATCACAGCAGGCTGGACAGTTTCAAATTCTAATTATTTATTTATTTATTTATTTTTTTGTGAAGTCAAACAAACTTTCCAGGAATGTGCTCTTTCAGATCATCCAACCAAAGGAAAGGTGATGGTGGCATTGAGGAGTTGCTTATGTAGGCCGTGTAGGCCTCAGTGCCTATCAATAGCTCAAGGAGAGAAACCAGGAGTGCCTATCAATAGCTCAAGGAGAGAAACCAGGAGTTCCCTTTTTTTTTCATCTGCTCGTTTGCTTGTTTTTGTTGTTTTCCAGTCGAACATATCTTCAGTCAGAGGAAATTGTTGCCGAGTTGGTTTATAGTTTTCTCATCCCAGAGGTACAAAAAACCTTCGTCAAAGAGAAAGGTAAGGGTTGTAACTCTAGACAAAGGTGTGGGGATTTCTGAGAAACCTAACCAGCTCCAGCAGGGGACAGGATCGCTCCAGGCAGGGTGGCAGAATGCCAAGCTCCACCTTCTGTACCAGGAAGGTCTCAAGTTCCCAGCTGTGACACACAGCTGCAGCCTTCTGCAGGCAAGGCTCAGAAACAGTGGGTACCGAAAAGCAGCTGTGCCCCAAGTGTCTAAGGACACTCTGCTGTTTCCCGGCTCACTATAGTGTTTCCCTAGGGCGGCATCTAAGTATACCAGTTTCAGTTTGCCCTTTGTCAAAAATGGCATGTCTTAAAATAATGGTGCTTTTAAGCAATAGAAAAGGAAAAAGTATGTCTTAAAAATAAAAGGATTCAGAAGGATTGGGGGCTGGAGAGATAGATTAGTGATTAAGGGTGCAGACTGCTCTTCCCGAAGACCTGGGTTTGATTCTCAAGTGTTGTGCCCAAATTCTGAACCCCAAATCACCAAGGGGCCATTTTCGATGCAAAAGCAATGTAGTTGTTTAATGAGCTAACCCCCTTAGCTCGAGCCTTTCATCCATTCACCGCTGCAGATGGCTGGAGAAAGATCCTGAGAAACCAAGAGGCAGGGATCTTATAGGGCAGCATAAGGGGAGTGTCTAGGGGTACACAACAGTCTCAGGATTGGTATGCTTCCAGGCTTGGACAATCTGCCCTGTGTTGATTGGTCAGATGGTTGTTATGGCCCATAGGCCCTCCCAGGACGGTTGCTATGTTCTGCACATCACTGTTGTGCACTTGTTCATAAAGCACAGCCCCGCCAGCTAACTTCTGATTGGTTCATTGCCAGGAGGAGGGCATCTGACCTCCTAGTGACCAGGACAGGAGCATCATGGACATGCGAGCACATGTTAGCCTGTCATGGCTGCTAAAACAAGGGGCTGGTCACTTTACCAGCACCCACATCAGGTGGCTTACAGCTTCCTGTAACACCAGCTACAGGGGATCTGACAGCTCTGACCTCTGTGGGCACTTCATATGGACATCCTCCAGTCCACATACACATAATTAAAATAATAACAATACTTTTAAAAAGAAGAAAAAGATTCTTCCAGAACTCTCAAATTATCGAGGCCAGGTCTGATCCCAGAGAGGAATGTCATCATGGCGACACCATAAAAAAACAGCACACAAGCACTTAGCTTGTAAAAACCTCTGGAGAGATTGAGTTAGAAAAGTGTGGCATTGGTTAAGGACAAAAGACTAGTGAGATTCAAACAAATTAGGTCAAAGAATGTTAATATTTTGCCTACACATGGTAGTATAATTTTAAAACAGGTACTCTCTAGCCCTCAGCAGTTTAGTCTGTTTATGGTATCTTTTGTGTTCTTATTGCAATCAGTATATTTACACGCATCCTGGCCACTGTCCTTAGATTCCCAGCACTGTAAATGTTGGACAGCAGGTTTTGTGTGTGTGTGTGTGTGCGTGCTATGTTTTCATTAAACTACCTAATCGCCACACAAAAAGATGGCTTTGCTCCCCCCATGCACTACAGTGGCCATAGTGGCAGAGGCAACCATTCAGACCAAGAAAAATATATTATAGAGTAAAGTTTTCTAGATTCTTAAGAATTAATGGTAAATATTAACCCTTCTTTAGAGCCACCTTTCCTAAGGGAATCGAAAGAGATGGAAGAAAAAAAATGGGCTCAATATTTATCAGTTTGCAATTCCCTTCTGGCAGCAGGAGCAGAAGCCACAATTTTGGTTCCCAGCACCCATGTTGGGTGGCTCACAACCCCTTGTAACTCCAACTCTGTGGGATCTGACACTTCTGGCCTTTGAGGGAACCTGCATTCATGAGCACATACCTATAGCACATACCTATAAAAATTTAAAGATGAAATGATCAAAAAAAGCTTTCTCAAATCTCCTTCTGGCTCCACGGGGACAAATTCAGAGGGGGATAGTGAATTTTGGGAACCTAGAGGCAATTGTCAGTGGGCAGGTTGGTGAGTCCTCAGATTTTTACATAACACTGATTTATTTATATTTTATGTTCATTTCCTTCTACGTATAGACAGAGAATGAACTCTTGGAACTTTCCCTTCTCGTTTATTTATTTATTTGTTCTTTTTATTTTTGAGACAGAGTCTCTCTATGTAATTCTGGCGGTCCTGAAACTCTCTATGTAGACCAAGCTAGTCTTGAACTCAGAGATCCACCAGCCTCTGCCTCCTGAGTGCTGACATTAAAGGCGTGCACCACCCAACACCTAGCTTTGTTTCTCTTTTCAACTAAGAGAGCTGTACTTTTTACACACACTCTCTACTCAAGACTAAGATATATTCATATGCCATTTGGAATTGTCTTATCCTTATTAAAGATTGATGATTTATATTAGCCTGTGTGTGTGTGTGTGTGTGTGTGTGTGTGTGTGTGTGTGTGTGTGTGTATACAAAAGCAAGAAGACTGTATCAGATCTCCTGGAGGATGAAGGTAGCTGTGAGCTGTCTGATATGGGTGCTAGGCACTAAACTTTGGTCCTCTAGAAGAACAGCAAACACTGCTACCAGCTGAAATCTCCCTCTAGCCCAGTTACCTTACTGTGCACACCAAGGTCAGGGTAGTTGGTTAATCATTAGAAACTGCACAGTATCTTAATCTCTTATAATAGTTATAAGTGTATTCTCATTTTTCTGTCAAGGAAATTAGTGATTGAAAACAAATAACTAGCAGGATTGAGTCATGACCAATGTATCCCAAAGGCCCTGCTTTTTTCAACTATATTACTGAAAATTACCCTGTGTGCTCTGCAAATTTCTCTGTGTAAAGCAATTGATACTCAAATAACAAAGAATACATGGTACTTTTTATTTTCCTTTTGGGGAGAGGGTCCCATATATTATATAGTCTAGGCTGGCCCTGAATTAGCAGTCTTCCTGCCTTAGCCTTTTTAGGGCTAGGATTACAGGGATGTACCACCATGCTCAGCCCATGGTACTTCTTATTGTCCTTAACTAGCTAGCTGTATGGCTTGGGATAGATTGCCTAATTAATCCCTTGTGTCTACATCCTTCTAAAAATAAGTCTACTAATAATATTCTTTTTTAAGGTTGTGGTTGTATTAAATGAGTGATCACACGTCAACAGCATATAACAGTGTCTAGCACAAGTTAAGGACAAATGCAGATTGCTAACATCACCATTGTTAATAGCATGAACACGCATCCTTCCCAAGGGCCTCAGCATTTGCTGTTGTCTGCACAAAAGTTTAGTAATACATGTTCATAGGATTTGGGCCTAGGCCCACCTTCCAAACTCACAGTCTTAGCTGCTCCCACCCATCGTCAGTGGATCTGTTGTTCCTGGGCCTTGGTGAGGCAGAAGAAGGACAGGAACGTGTAACTGAGAAAAGATGTTCATGCCCTGGCCCCACCATGAGAATGAGAATGACCCAGAGCCAAGATGTACTCTTCAAAGTCATGCTCTCAATGACCTCCTTCCTCTACTAGGTCCCCTCTCCTATAGTCCATGCAACTATGACTCAATAGATTCCTCGTTATATAAACTTTATTATTTAAAAAACCTTTTAATGATTTAAAATATCACACACCAAAATTAAGCAGATCCAAAGTCTATATAATTCAATGAATTTCTATAAGGTTAGATTTGGCATTTGGATTAACTCATTGGTGACATTAGAACCCTGATAACTCAGTTACCTCTCAATAGTGTCACAGCTGAAGAATATTTCAAATTCAAAAGATATCAGGTCTGCTTTACTTTTAGAAAATGTCCTTCTAAGGCCGGGAGTTGGTGGCACACACCTTTAATCCCAGCACTTGGGAGACAGATGCAGGCAGACCTCTGTGAGTTCAAGGCCAGCCTGGCCTACAAAAGTGAGTTCCAGGACAGCCAGTACTGTTACACAGAGAAACCCTGTCTCAAACACCAAAGAACAGGAAGGAAGGAAGGAAGGAAGGAAGGAAGGAAGGAAGGAAGGAAGGAAGGAAGGAAGGAAGGAAGGAAGGAAGGAAGGGAGGGAGGAAGGGAGGAAGGGAGGAAGGGAGGAAGGGAGGAGGGAAGGAAGGAAATGTCCATCTAAAACACACAGTTGGTCATTTTAATTGAGTACAGTTAACCCAAAGCAGAAAATGTATGTTTTGAAAATGAACAGGTTTTTTCCACTCCTATCTTAAAAACACTGGGGGATGGTTTCAAGCAGAAAAGTAAAGCTTGTCCTGTTGCTTTGGTTCAGTGAGGACTGCGCAGCGGAAGCACATTCTTGCTGCCCATCAGATCATTCACAGCCACACGGAATCTGTGATCCAGAAAAATGCCATGAGGGAACAGCTGAGGAGTGAGACACTTGAGCGACAGCAGGATGAGGACTCAGTCTCTGATATGCCAACTGAAGAACAGACTCCAAGCGAGGGAAACAGCTAGGTGAGCCTAATGTTTCCATCTGGAAGGGAGCCGCAGAGGAGGAGAAGCAGCTCCATTCAGTTTGGGGCCCTACTCAACCAAGCGTGTTGTGAATGGACTGTCCATTGTTTAAAAAAGAATGAAGCATTTCCATGGAAACTGACTCGTCTCATCTAGATTGTGCTACCTATTGTTGAGTTTATTAAAAAGCTAGAGTTGGTTCTCTAGCAATTGGATTCTTGCTACCTGAAAAATAAGGCTGTAGGTTATTTTTTGAGATGGTTCCTATTATAGAAGTATATTCCATCATGAATAAAATCAAAAGTGTACTTATGAAGATGTCACATGGGAACCAGGTTTGTACACTACTGCACAACACTTGACACAACATCATGGAATGTGTGAACATTGTTTGCAAAGCTTATTCTCTTAGGGGTGGACAAGGTGCAGCGTGGTGCATTTTGTTCCATAAGCACAGACACAGCATGGTGCAGAACCTGCCACGTTCAACCCAAACATCTGCAGTGCACCCCGGGGGCTGGTGTTAGAATCAACTAAATGTTTGTGTGCACAAACTAAGGTGGTCCATATTGGGCATGGGGCAGTTCAGTTGGGTAGGTACAGGACCTGCCTAGTATATATGCCTCACATCCCAGAGGCTAGACAAATCTCTTGTAATAATTTTGTTGGCTTGGCTTCCAGAAGCCCCTCCCAAAAGGTTTTCCCACTTAGAAAAGTTAACATAACTGAGAGAGACTCACAGCTCTGGGTCCCCAGTCGCCACTAATAGTAAGTATGCAAGTCATCCCAATACAGATGTGTTTTACCGGTCAGGGCCATTTTTACCTCAAATAGTTTGTTGCTTGGTAACACAGTTCACATATAGCACATTATCTACTAGGTTACTAGGAGAACAGAGCTGAAGAGTCAGTCCACCAAGAGGAGAGTCCCGCATGATCCATGGTTAGTATAAACAACATTCGTTAATAAGAGAGATAAGACAGAATTGTAAAAGATGCTGGCAGTAAGCCAAAGAGAAACAGAGCAAGGACCAGACACAGTGCTCACGACCTCCGGTGTATGCATGTCACCTTTGTCCAAACAAACTCTGCATAGAACATGTTCTTCAAGGAAGAGAAGGCAGAGTGCAGAGAGGGGGTTCCTCATGGAGGAGCAACCATGGTCAAAAGTGTACTACACGTACTTATGAAGATGTCACACGGGAACCAGGTTTGTACACTACTGCACAACACTTGACAACAACAATAACAGAAAACTATTCTTCATAAACATGTCTTCCCCTGACTTTTGTGAGAGCCAAGAGTATGAATTGAAAATATTTAAAAGTTACAAAGCAATCTGGCACACTATTGAATAATGTGTTCTACCCCCCCCCTTAAGATTACGTTAGAAAGGGAGGTGGTCAGGCAAAAATGTGTGTGATATGACTAGAATGTGGGCTGTATACAGTTATAAAGGCATGGATTCGGCTTCAAGTGCCTACCTTCAGTTCCGACCTGAGTTCCCTCAAGGATGGACGGAGTCCTGGGTGAGTAAGTTAAATAGCCCTTTCCTGTCTTCCCTTAAGTTTCTTCTGGTCACCGTGTTTATCACAGCAACAGAAAGCAAACTGGGGACATGTGGCCTCCAGAGAAGAAAAAGGAGAGGGTCCCCCTAATGTACCCATGGGGACCTCTGTGCTGTGGATTTCAGCTTGGACCACACACACCCAAGAAGGATGTTAGGAGATTTTGAGGAAGACCACTGGGTGGCTTCACCTGGATTTACACCATCAATGTGTCATGAATTTAGTTGGCTCTCTGAGTTATACATTTTTACCCACGACCCTGACTGCCTAGGTTTGCCTCTGGAGGGAGCCTCGGGAGCTCATCATTGTGACCACAGCAGAAGGTAGTTGAAATAGAGGTCAGGGTTTCAATTTCCCCTCCTTCCCAGCCATACCTGAGGTAACTCAGGCTCCCCCACCAGGGACCAGTATGGGGTTCTGAGTAACTGCCATGTACAGGGTGTTTTAACTGACTTCCAAATGAAGCCCTGCCTGTGTGAACACTAAGGCCTGGCGGCCCTGCAGGGAGGGTGATATGGCATATCCAGAGGCAGGGAGCCCAGACAACCCTTTAGAGACTGGAGAACATTGCTTTCCTTGGGTAGGCTCCTAACTCGTTCTGGATTCCCCCGTTTCTGCTGTAAATAACTTGCCATTTTTATGTGAGGTGGAAATTCAGACCTTTGTGTGCCGGGAGAGCTTTGGGAGATGATAAAGGCTATAATAATTTACCTGTGGCTCCAGGACTTCTGACCTGCCGCCCCACCTCAGCTGGAATCCTGCCCATTCTCCTCAGCTACAAAAGTGCCAATCAGTACCGAAAGACCTATCACTGGTCGTGGAAATAAGTGTCTCTTTTCAGCCTTCCCAGCCACTTAGGCTGTGGTTCCCAGGGCCCAGGATATAAACCCACGATACTGTCCTGCTACCCCAGAACTTACTGGACAGGCTGTTTACACAGGGACTTCAATTCCAATTTCATTTATTCTAGGTCCCTGTTGAATGCCAAGGCAACCTTGCAGGCAGTGGAATTTATTAGCAACACCTTCCTAGCTCTGGAAGGTTTCCTGCTGGGCCAGCCTTCTAGAAGGATCTGAGGGAAGAAAAAGCTCTCAGAACTTTCCCAATGGTCAGTTGCCTGCTCCCAGACGGCTTTCTGCCCTAAGGTTGGAATTCTAACATCATACCTGTCTCACAGTCATCTCCTTTATGGTCGTGTTTCTCCCTCCTCCTCACATTGCATGCCTGTGTCATAATTACCAGTACCTTTATACTGCCGTCCTGGAAAGACTTGTTTGGAAGTGCAGACTCAAAGACACTTTATCTCCAGTGGCAAACACCCTCAGAGGCAGACATTGGCCCAGAATTAGGGCAGACACTTAAAATACCCTTGCCCTTTTATGTTTTTCAGTGAAGACAACTATGGAAAAAGGGAGGGTGTATAACAAGAGTAAATACGGTAATCTGGTCATTGCTAGTTCAGGAGCTGGACTTGGGACTTAGGAGTGCCAACTGGGGCCTCTTACTACATTGGACCTGGGGTGAAATGTGGACAAGAAAAATCATAGTTGCTATGCCCAGGACACAATAGCCTAAGATTAGCCAAGAAGGAGAAGCAGAGTTACTGTTCATTTTTCTAGCTGGAGACTAACCCTCTGCCTAGGAACCTGACCTTGGCCCATACAAAACACTACAGGCTAAAGCAAGACCTCTGTGTTCAACCAGGCAGCCACAGCAGGTGTGCTGAGTTCTGAGTAGAGCCATCAATCCTGATTCTTCAAAGTGGACCCCAAGGGAGAAATCCAACAAAAGCAGGGACCGCCAAGCAGGTATGGTTTTGCTTTCTTTCTCTTTCTGGGAGTCAAATGCGCCATCTCTGTACCAAAGGTTTACGGGAACATAGCTGGGATCTGAAGTCAGCAATGTGATGGAACATGGAGCATGGTGGGACCTGGTTTGTCTTTCTCCTCTCTGGGTTAGATAAAACATGAAGACAGTTGCTGAACGTGGAGCCCAGAGTTCCTTCTTCCCGGCCTGCATTTGTGTTGCAGAGGAATCATCAAAACAGAAACTTATCTCTGTGCGTGTTATCAGGAGTTAGACAGGCAGTTAGACAGGGTGAGTCCCGGACCTAGGGAACACCACTGCTAAAGATTGTAAGAACCAGGAACAATTATCCCTGGCTCCAGGAGCTTGTCAGGTTAGCATTTTCAGCCCCCAGGGCCAAGGACAGCAGCAGGACAGTCACAAGCCCTCACCTCCCCATTGGCTGTGCCTCAGCACCCACTATACCTTGGCACAGTGGTCAGCTTTGGACTACTGCGCTTTCTATTTCTGTAAGGAAGGAGTGACACTTCACCCTCATATCAGAACCATTCCTGTGTATGCTCGGCACCCCTGGGCCCCTTCTCTGCCCCCATAGAATACCCAGAGACACTGCTTTAAGGTTCCTCCACACCTAGGGCTTCTTAAGAGACACCTTCAAGGCCACCAAGATTTCCCTCTGCATTTCAGGTGTGGCGCTGTCCCTTGCACATGCACGGCTGTTTTTCATTGCTCCTGGAAGGAGATTGGCCACCTCCCAGATGAAAGGTGGCTAGACTATCTACACTGAGATAAGCGTTTTTCTCTAAGGATGTGACCAGAGTCTAAATTACTCTGAGCAAGGCCTCTGAGGCTGTGGCTTAACGCAGTTGGCAATAGTAAGATTATTTATTAGACCACCAAGTACTTCTTCAGTTACACAGTGAACTTAATCTAAACTGGCATGACCAAGTTATAACTCATAGGCCAAATCTGGCCCATCAACTGTTTTTTATCAATAAAGTTTTATTGGAACATGATGTCATGTGGCTGCATTTGCCCTATAACACTGGAAGCAAATGGGCCTTCACAGAAAACATTTGCCAACCAGTCTAAAGGCAATCAACTTGATGCTAAACGATTGTGAAATAAACATAGTTGATCACCACAAAACTAATTAGACTGTTTTTGTAGGTGGTCATTATGTAAATTGTGAGGTGATTAATGATTGCATGTTCCTTGCAAAAAAAAAAAAAGCAATGTAAATTCAACTAACTTCCCCTTTGGCCATCCTGACGATCCTAATCACTGGCTCCCACTAAAGCAACTGGCATGATGTGCTTATGCCAGACCACAGTCTTTGCATTCATGTCTGTATACACGTACTAACAAATAGAACTGTTGTCTTGTTATCCTCTTTCTGTTTCTCCACTACACATGATATAGAGGTCTTCCATGTCCACATAAAACTCTGTCTCATTTGTCCTAACTGCCCTGAGATATTTCGGTGTATATTTTTAAATTATTTTATTACCTGCATCTGTTCAGTATGTATATGTGTACATGCGTACATGCCATGGCATGCATGTGGGAGTTCAGAGGACAGCTTGTGGGAGTCGCTTCTCTCCTTCCACTCTGTGGGTTCCAGGGCAGGAACTCAGGTCTTCAGTCTTGGTGGCAAACACTATTCCCTGCATATGTTCTCTACTTCTGGTCCTTGCGATCTTCCTGCTGCCCTCTTCTGTAAAGATTCCTGAGCCTTGGAGTTGGAGGTGTGATACAGCTATTCATTTGAGCACTCCACTGTCTTATTATCTGTATGTTGACCAGTTATGAGTCTATTAATCACCAACTGCAAGAAAGAACCTTCTCTGATAAAGGCTGAAAGATAAACTAATACATGGGTATAAAGATAAGAACTTAGGGGGCAGTTTAATATGTCTACTTGGCAGAATACTAATCTTGGATTCTCCTCTAGAGCCTATGACCTAGACAGTCATGGGTTTTTGGCCCAGTTAATGGCACCTGGTACAAATTCTGCCTTGTGAAGTGGACATTAAATCCAATCAGAAAGTTGTTGCTTACTCTCCTAGCATTCCTGCCACTTTTACACCAATCTTTATGGTAGCTTGCAGGGTTCAGTGGCAGGGGAGGCCTGTGGATGACTCCCCCCCCCCAGGTTGCATGCATAGAACCTCTCAGTACTATTAAAGCTAGCTCATGGGGTTTCTGGGTCAGTACACACTTGACTTCTCCATGTCTAATAACTCAAGTGCACTGTGTCTGTAGCAATAGTCTTGCCATCAAGTTCTGGAGGGAAACCAAAAGAATGACAACAGTCTGTAATGTTTATGAAGGGTCGATGAAACTACATTGACAACTTGGATATCCCAGCTCTGGTGACCCATACCCAGCTCTGGACCTTTTATTTTATAGCCTGTGGTGTCTGGGGAAGGCATTGTCTTTCCTGACAGAGTAGCTCCATTTAAACTCTTTATTATATTCATATATTTTAGGAAGCTTCCATAGCACTTGTTCCCATGTGGCTTTTTCAAAGGTCTTTAGTGACCATTATCCTTCCCCATCCTCCCTCCTCTATCCTGACTTCCCATCTTGCACTCCATTTAATCCTTCCTATCCCGTTATTCCCAGTTCCTCCTTATGCTACTTTGTTGTAACCCCTTCCTTGAAATCCCTCCTTCATGCATCCACATTTGAGAAAGTAAATATATATAGCATTTGCCTTTCAGGCTATATTTATAGCTCCATCCATTTATCTACAAATTTCACTTTTCTTTACAACTAAAAATATCTCATTGTGTATGTATACTACATTTTTCTACTCATCGGTTGATAGACATCTAAGTCATTTCCATTTCCTAGCCATTGGGAATAGAGTTGCAATGAATGCAGATTTTAGTTTCCCTGATTATGAATTAAAGATGGGTGTTCTTTTAAAAATATTTAACTTTACAACTCTGTATCTGTTCTCGAATGTCCTTATATACACCATGTATGCAGACACCCACAGAGATCAGAAGTACGAGTGTCCTGAAACTGGGTTACTAGTGGTTGTGAACTGCCACGTGGGTTCTGGTAACCAAACTCTGGCCTTCTGCAAGAGCAGCAAGTGCTCTTAACCTCTGAGCCTTCTCTTCAAACACAGATGAGCATTCTTTTTATATAATTCTGGATCATAGTGTTTTTCTTTTCTTTTTAAAAATTTGTATTTTTCTCTGTGCAGCCCTGGCTGTCCTGGAACTCACTCTGTAAACCAGACTGGCCTTGAACTCAGAGACCCACCTACCTCTGCCTCCTGAGTTCTAGAATCACAGGTGTGCACCACCACCACCCGGCCCAAGTTTCTTTTTAGGTTTCCTACACATACCCTTAGCTCATCTTTTTTATTTGTTTAGTTTTTTTGAGACAGGGTCCTATGTAACCCAGGCTAGCCTCAAACTTGCTGTGTAGCTAGGGCTTGCCTTGAACCTCTGACTCTCTTCCCTCCACCTCCTCAATGCTGCCATCACTGGTCTGTGGCTCCATGCCCAGCCTCAGTTCATCTTGTATTGAGTTTTTTTCCTCATCTGGAGGAGCCTGTTGCTTGTGCTTATTCTGGAACCTTTCATTTGAAGGTCCATCTCTTCCAGACATGTTGGAAGCTTTACTTTTGTCACACAATTTGTCTTCTCAGAGCCTTCCCTGAGCCCGTTCCACAATGGACTTCATATTTTCTGATTTTTCTCCTGGGGATCTATTTTGTTTCAGCTATTTTATCTGGTTACTGTATTGAATTTAAAGGCTGCAATAGACTCCTTTGGAATTACTGGATAGACAGCCATAATTTCTATGTACAGTAAGAAATTATGTTCCTTCATTTCTTATATAGCTTAATTTTCCTTACTGCTTTTTCTTGACCTTTATGAGTAAAATGAACAACATCCACGACAGTCTTGGACTGGTGTATTTGACCAAACGGTCTGTATGCTATACTTCCTTGTTTAGTTTTTGAGATTGATTTTTACTTTATGTGTATGGCTCTCTTGCCTGCATGTATGTCTGTGCACCACGTGTGTGCCTGGTGCCCTTGGAGGCAGAAGAGGGCATTGAATTCCCTGGAACTGGAATTGCAGATGGTTGTGAACTGCTTTGTGGTTCCTAGGAATCAAACCCTGGTCCCCTGGAAGAGCAGCCAATCCTCTTAACCACTGAGCCATCTTCCCAGGCCCAGCTACACTGTAATTCTAAGGAGCTTGTACATGGAAATGTAACATTCTTGTCGTGTTCCTAACTATAATTTCACATTGTAAATTCATATATCCTCTGTGGGAACCTTCTCTGTGGGATTCCTTAAAGTTTTGGCTGACTCCATTGTCCTCTAGAGGATTTCAGTACTGACTAGGACTGATCACACTGGCGGCATATTTGGAACACAGGTCGATTTGCTTATGGGCTTTATGGGAATTCTCAAAGCAAATATTTCTTTCCATGCCACCTGGAACCACACCAGGAAAGGCTATGAACTTCTGTGTTGGCCTCTGTGGCATCACACAGAGCAATAACCCCGAGGACACCCTGGTTCACGCTGAAGACCATGACCTGAGCACCATGCCTCCTTAGCCAGGCATCCGCCTCCTGTGTTCCTGTTTCACCCCAGGTCTGAAGGAAATAAACCTGTCTGTACATACTGGTGATAAACCCTGGATTCTCTCTTTACTGAGGAGCTTGTTTGTGTATCAAGGTCTCTGGGAAGTGGCCTGTGTTAAGCTCTTTTTTTTTTTCTTCTTTTTATTCCCTCTCCCGACCTGCCCTCTGCCCTTCCCCCCACCCACTCCTCCAGTTTCTTTTATTTATTTATTTTATTTAAGTTAGAAACAAGCTTGTTTCACATGTCAATCCCAGCTTCCTCTCCCTCCCCTCCTCCCCTGCCCTCCCCACCAGGTTCCCCAGTCCTCCACCCAATCTCCACTCTGATCCCCAGGGAGGGTGAGGCCCTCCATGGTGGATCTCCAGTGACAGTCAATTC